TGCTGAATACATTGCAAGCTTAGTCCCCAACAGTCCCATGAGCTCCTTCCAGAACTTACTCGTGAATTTGGGGTCTCTGTCCGAGATGAGTGTAGCGGGGATGCCGTGGATGGTGATGATGCAGTCGAAGAAGAGGCGAGCAGTTGTTTCAGCTGTAGCCGTGGCGTTGGTCGGAATGAAGTAACCCATTTTAGAGAACTTGTCGATTACCACGAGTATAGCGTCATGCCCTCGTGAGGTCGAAGGAAGTTCTGTGATGAAGTCGAGGCTAACGACTTGCCATGGTTGCTCCGGTACGGGTAGAGGCTGAAGTAACCTTGCTTTTTTCTGCTTGCTGCTCTTCATCCACTGGCACGTGTCTCAAGAGGTGATGAACTACGGCACGTCTGCTGCCATCCCGGGCCAGTAATAATACTTTTCTATTCCCGCTAACGTCTTGTTGCTCCCGAAATGTCCCGCGTATGGTACGTCGTGAAACTCCTCCAATAGGCTCTCCCGTAGCGGGGCGTAATTCGGTACCCAAATTTTTCCTGAACCCTTCCTTTCTTCTAAGTTTTTCTCCCACTGTAATAGCTTCTTAGTCTATGCTGCAGCAATCTCTGCGTCCACGGAGTACCCATGTTGGAATAGACCCTTGAGCAGAGGGTTCATCCTGTCGAGCTGGATGGCTGCTACATGTCCGGGGCGGCTCAACGCGTCTGCTTTGTTGTGTAGCCCGGGATTGTAGACGATGTCGTAGTGGAAGTGAGTTTCCAGGAAGTCCACCCACCGCACCTGTCGTCGTGAGAGCGTCGGCTGCGACTTCAGGTATTTGAGACTGCAGTGGTCAGTATAGACTCTAGTCTTGGCTCCCTCTAGGTAACACCTCCACGCCTTGAAGGCTATGACTATCGCTAAGGCTTCCTTGTCATGGATAGGGTAGTTCAGTTCTGCTCGGTGTAGCTTCTTACTTAGGTAGGCGATGGGCTGCAAACTGCGTCCGCGATCATGCATCAGTACTGCTCCGACTGCTTGGTCACTAGCGCCTGCTGTGAAGAAATGAGGAAATGAATGAACTAGGAAAGAGGTGGGTACAAGTAGGAAAACCTAGAAATGTTGTACCCCGTATTGTCTACCCCACTACAGCCTACACAGACTATAGCATATAAGTTTGACACACCCCCATAGGCAAAGTGGGGGAGAACAAGAGGTTACAAGACCAGTCAAGCAAAGCAAAACAAGCTCAGGGTGGATCACAACGTCACCACACAGTCCGAGCACAAGTTCAAGGCCACAAGGCCAGTTCACATGCAAGATCATATATAAAGGAAAACAAGCAAGTGCAGGTATAGAAAGATCACAGTACAAGCAAGGTCAAGAAGTGAGCAAGTGAGGTCAAGTAGGCTCAAGACCTAGCATCGTACAGAAGCGCTGATGATCACAAGGCGGAAGTGCCTTGGTGAAGATATCAGCAGTGTTGGCCTCAGAGGCCACGTAAGCAAGGTGCAGCTGACCACGCTGCTGCAGCTCACGAGCAAGGAAGTGGCGAAGAGCAATGTGCTTCGTTCTGTGCTCCAGTCTGTGCTCCCGACACAAGGCCAGCATGGCCTTGTTGTCTACGTACACAACTGGAGGAGAACGAGGCGGCTCTCCTAGGTCATTCAGCAGGTAGGTGAGCCAGCGTAGCTCCTGTGCAGCCATGGCCCCCGCGTAAATCTCAGCCTCACAGCTGGAGCCGAGAACAGAAGACGAGCGGGTAGACCGCCACGAAACAGAGCCGGAACCAAGGCTGAAGGTGTAACCCTGTGACGACCGCTGCGTAGCCTGATCGTCAGCCCAAGAAGCGTCTGCGTGACCTTTGAGGACCATTGGAAGTCGCCCTCCAAGCACTAGCCCCATGCCCGACGTACTGCACAAGTAGCGCAACACCCTCTTTGCTGCAGCCATATGCTTTGGTCGGTGTCTCCCAGGAGCAACATAGCGTGCCAAGATGCTAAGAGGGTATGCGAGGTCAGGTCGTGTGCAGGTCATCAGGTACATGAGGCAGCCAACAAGCTCTGGGTACGGGCCACTCGGCTCTACGGACTCATCCGAAGGCAGAGCTGAGAGCGAGTGGCGAGTAGGCAGAGGAGTGGCCTGAGGCGAGGAGTACGTGAAGTCGAAGCGCTGAAGGACCTGCTGCACCATGTGTTACTGAGTCTGTGTGATGGTGCGGCGTGCTCTGTCCCGGGTGATCTGCAAGCCAAGGTAGCTGCGCAGTTCACCCAGGTCTGTGCACGTGTGTCTCTTTTGCAGCTCGAACTTCACGTGGGCTAGTCCAGCACTGTCAGCAGTGGCAAAGACCAAGTCGTCGACGTACACGAGGATGTAGAACGGCGGCAAAGAGGTGTCGGTGCGCAGAAACAGCGACGGCTCAACTATACAAGGAGCAAACCCAAGAGTCGCAAGTGTAGTCCTCAGTGTGTCGTGCCACTCACGGGGCGCCTGGCGAAGACCGTAGCCTGGCCGCCGGAGGCTCCACTGGGTACCACAAGGAAACGACCCAGTGAAGCCAGGTGGGCGGCGCAGCTAGATCTCCTCGTGCAGGCTGCCCTGTAGGAAAGCTGTGCTGAAGTCAAGAGAGTGAAGCTCGTAGTCGCGCTGAGCGGCTATGTGCAGCAGCACCCGAAGAGTGGTCATCTTCGGGGTGGGAGAGAAGGTATGAAATTAGTCAGCTCCCTGCCGCTGTCTGAAGCCTCGAGCCACGTAATGCGCCTTGAAGACAGGCGGAGAACCGGGCGGCCGCTTCACCCTGCAAATCCACATGCCACTGACGACGTTCGCCCCAGGTGGGGGAACCTCGTCGACGTAGGTTCATGTGGACTTTTAGGAAGCCATCTCCGCGTCCATGGCTGACTGCCGCTGTGAGGAGTTGGGACCCTCGATCGCCTCAGCGTACGATCGAGGAGTCGGGATGTCCGGTGCATCTGGGTCTCCCTCAGGGGCAATCAGCGTGGACACGAGATGAGGCAAAGCAGCAGCAAAACACTGGAACTCCTCCTGCCTGTCCTCAAGGACGTCCGTGCTAAGAGCACACTCATCCTCGACGGACGGAGGACAGACAGACTCAGACTCAGCAACAAGACAAGCAACGTAGTCTAGACGACAGCGAGCAGCGAAGTCGACAAGTTCAGCAACTAAGGCAGACGCAATAGTGGACTCAAAGGAAGGGTCCGTGACAACAGTAGCCAGGAGACGCGTGAAAGTAGGACTGGCAGCACGACGAGAGTCAGACTCCGGGTCAGCAAGGACAGGAAGAGAGGACTTTGGAGGAGACGGCAACGGGACACGCAGAGGAGCAGTGGAAGGACGCAGTGCCATCCGGTGTGTGCCTGGGACCGCAGGAGGACGCGGACGCGGAGCATGACTACTAGTGCGAGCAGCACGAACAGGCAACGCAGGACGAGACGCAGGCTCACGACGCTCAGCAAGACCTCCATTAGGACCAGTGTAGGGAGAAGGAGCAGGTAGAGGGGAGGCGGGCTGTAACTGTGACCGCGACTGGACACGCTGTGGACAATCTAAGGGAGGAGCAGGACAAGTAGAGGGCGGTAGACCAAGAACCTGCTCAAGGAGCGGAACAAAGTACGGCCGCGGCCGCGCATCGCCTCCACAACCAGTAGGGACAGCACCAGTACCCCCAGCGGCAGCACCAGCGCCAGCAGCACCTCCAGCTCCAACAGCGCCAACTCCAGCAACCTCAGAAGCACCAGCGCCAGCAGCACCTCCAGCGCCAACACCTCCAGCAGCTCCAGCTCCAGCAGCTCAAGCTCCAGCAGGACCAACTCCAGCAGGACCTCCAGCAGGACCAACTCCAGCAGGACCAACTCCAGCAGCCTCAGCAGCACCCCCAGTCCCAGCCGCTCCAGTACCGCCAGTACGAGCACCTCCAGGACCATTGGCTCCAGTAACTCCTGTGCCGACCCCAGGGTCAGCAGCAACCGTAGCACCTACAGCTCTAGCAGCACGGCTCCAGCGCCAGGCAAACCACTCGCGCAGCTCCTGCGGAGAGGGTAGCTCCCACCTCGACGAAGCACCGCCAGAGGCCACACGAGTAGACCCAACACCCCAAGGCTCCGCACCCCCAGGCTCTGTACCCCCAGGCTCTGCACCCCCAGGCTTAGCACCTCGAGGCCCCGCTCCCCCAGGCTCGGCACCCCTAGGCTCAGCACCCCCAGACCCAGCACCCTCAGGCTCAGTACCACTAGACTCAGCACCCGCAGGCTCAGCACCCCTAGACTCAGCACCCGCAGGCTCAGCACCCCTAGCAGCACTAGAGTCAACAGCGACCTCGACAGGCTCGACTGCGTCTACGTGGGACACACCTGACGGGGCAGGACCCTGAGGGGGGAGAGGGTCTACCGGGGGAGGACCTGGCGCAAGGAAGAGCGGCAGCGGGGGGAGGGGCGCAGTGCGGTAGGGGAAGAGACGGTAGTAAGGCACCGACTCGTCAAACGTAACGTCCTGAGAGGACAGAACACGGCGCGAGGTGGGGTGGTAAAACTGCCAACCAGGCGCGTCAGGGGGGAAGCCAAGGAAGACGCAGGGAACCGCACGGGGGGACAGCTTGTCCGCAGACAAGTCGCGGACAAACGCCCGAGATCCCCAGACACGGAACGCAGACGCATCGCCAACCTTCCCCGTCCACCTCAGGGTGGGGGAGGTCTCCGGCAAGGAGACACGAGGCTGAAGGTTGATCTGATGCGTTGCGTACCGAACCGCAAACGGCCACAGAAAATGGGGAGTAGCCGCATGGATCATGGACGTACGAACGACGTCCATGACCATGCCATTGCGGCGCTCAGCAATTCCATTTTGTTGTGGAGAGGCCGGAAGCGTGAAGGTCTGGCGGATGCCCTGTGCACGACAGAAGGCTCCCAGACGGGCAGAGGAAAGCTCCCCGCCTCTGTCAGAGTGCAGACGCAAGCAAACGCAGGACCAGACCTGGACGCTGCAGCAAACACCTGACTCAACGCAGCTACCTAACCAGACTCAGCAACCGGAGGGGACTCAGTAGTCAGTGTGCACCGGCTCGACCCCGACCGACGGGTAAACGTGGCCAAGTGTCGGCCCGTCCGAGCACACGTACAGTGGGTCACCCGTTGACCCGCAGGAGTGAACTGGTCAACCCCCCCATCCTGTAGGTCAGCACCACTCACCAAGTTCGTAGAGAACGAGGGAAGGTAGAGACCTGACAGGGTGCCAGAGGGGGCTGCCTGACACGGTAAGACAGTGGAGAAGCGAGCAAGGACAGGACCCCCAGAGGGGTCCGCCAGGGAGACCGCAACCAGCCGACTAAGTGGCGTAAGCGTGGTGCTGTCGCGAAAGAAGGAGCGGGAAGCACCCGAGTCAAGGGTGAAGGTGTGCAAGGCCTGAGCCGACATGGTACCTGAGAGAGCAGACTCACCAGCACATGGGGCAGCAGACGCGCTAGCACCTAGAGCAGCAGCCTCACCAGCACCTAGAGCAGCAGCCTCAATGCCCGGGTTAGGCAGTACACACAGGTAACAGTCACCCTCATCACTAGTAGACACAGCATACATGGCAGCAAGAATAGCATCATAGTCAAGATCAAAGATAGCAACCCCCGCCCTAGACAGCTCTCCCCAGCGAGGGATCTCAGTGGCGTCAGGGAACTGGTGACGCCAAGCGTCCGTCAGGCGGCCGAAGCAGCGTTGGGTGAGCCCTCGCACTGCTCATCAGCGCGGTCGCCGGTACGGAGGACGTAGGTACAGGGACCAGTACCCCCACCTCGCTGACGCCCAGCGTACCACTCACGAAGCTGCTGAGGGGACGGGGTCTCACGAGTACGCTGCTGCTGCTGGCGCTGACCACCACCTAAGCCGCCCCGCTGCGCAGAGCCACCCCGACTAGCTCCACCTCCTCCGCCGCCACCTCCGCCACCGCCGCCACCGCCTCCTCCTCCGCTCCCATCGCCACCGCCGCCGCCGCCTCCGCCGCCACCGAAGCCCCCACCCCCGCCACCACTCCCACCACCACCCCCACTCCCTCCGCCTCCTCCACCTCCACCTCCACCGCCCCCGCCAGCCCCTCCAACGCCCTTGCCCCCCTTGCCCTTGCTGGTGCGGCGTCGCCCGCTAGGGGCAGACGCAGCTCTGACCGACTCGAAGCCAACGAGGTCAAGGGCAGCAGCAGAGGCAACAGAGGGCAACAGGGGGAAGGGGGAGCACCCCTCAAAGAAGGGGGCACGAGGGTCACCACGAGAGGCTCCTACAGCGACTATACTCTTCTCAGCTGCCAGGAGGAGCTCCTCGAGGAGGTCAACGGTGAGTGTGGTGGGGCAAACAGAGAGGAAGTGGTCCCTGACCGAGCAAAGGGAGTCAGGGAGACGGGTGACTATGTAGTAGAGGGTGATGTACATGGGGGGGGGGGGTTCTTGGCGCAGAACTCAGCAGGAAGCGCAGCGCGGTAGTGGGTGTCCCTAGTGCGAAGGTACGTAATGAGGTTAGCAACAGTGGGAAAGGCGGCGAGGTCAGGGAACAGGTACGACAGCATGAGGCGGCTAAGGGCAGTAGTGGCAGGGGAAGAGTAGCGTGCAACTACAGCGTCGTACAAGGTCTTAGCACTCTTGTACTGACTTAAGTGCGCACGCTCAGCGGTCGGTAAGTGGCGACGCACAGCAAGACGGGCAGCAGCATCGCGGGTGGCCCACTGTGAGCGAACAGTGCTGTTAGCATCAGCAGGCAGGGCAGGAGAGGCACCAGAGGTGAGATCGAACAGGGAGAGTCCGTGTGCCCTTTCGCACTGTAGGAAGAGCTGGAGGTCATCGACCTAGACCTTGAAGTCAACAGCACGACCCTCAGCATCAAAGGTAAGGACACTGGGGGTAGCCATGACAGCAGTGGTCTAGCAGGGAGTGCTCTAACCAGTCCAGGTGGGTAGGGCCGGGGCGCGCCGGAAGGAACAGGGCGGCAACCGCGGTGGCAGCGGCTCGGCAGTGGTGGCTCGACGGCGGCCTCGGCGGCTCGGCGGCTCGGTTGCTCGGCGGTTCGGCTGCTCGGCTGCTCGGCGGTGAAGGGGCCGGGGAGGGGCTGAAAGGGGCGGCGACGGGGCCGCAAGGGGCGGCGACGGGGCCGCTAAGGGCGGCGACGAAGCCGCGAGAGGGTGGCGACGGGGCTGGGAAGGGCGGCGACGGGGCCGCTAGGGGCGGCGACGGGGCCGCGAAGGGCGGTCTGGTCTCTGTTTGTGCTAAAAAGTGAACCCTGAACACTATAGTTTTTGCCCTGATAGGTCAGGATTAGTTTCTGCACAAGCCCTGAACATACAGGAAGGCTTGGAAAATTTGCCCTGACAAATCAGGGCATTTTTTAAGATTCCAGAAAAGTGCCCTGAGGGCTCAGGATGCCCCAAATCCTAGCACGGGCCCTGCCAGTTGCAGAGGCAAATTTGGTAGTACGTGAGTCAGCACGTGGCCGAATTCGCGTGTCGCAAGGTTAAAAATGTACGCGGTATTTCAATTTTCACTATAATATATTGCAGTTTCGATTATAAGACATATATGTCTTATCTCGTACACACAAATAGGGGCCGTATAAAAAGGCTAGCCTGTTTATAAGAGACACCCGTATAATAGACAACCCTTGTCTACTATTCAACACTGTCTTATATCCGGGCGATGACGGTATTACGCATTTGCAACTCGTTGACAAGTTACCCAACAGTGCCCCAAAACCATGAGCCTCACCAGGATCAGCATTTCACCGGCTTCGCCACTGTTCCAAATCTCTGAGTTCGAAACAACGGAATGGTTGAAATTACAAGGGTGAGAGTACAAATACAAACCCTAGAATGCTATCCTCTCTACAATGTGCCCTCACCACTGTCAAACAATATATTTGTCAGGTACTCTCTAGAGGGTACAACCCAATTAGGGTTTACTACTCGTATCTCATTCCTGTTAGTCATTCTCATTTCCGTTGTTCACGCTTCTTAAAATGGTATGAGACGCTAGGTTAGGTCCATGGCTACCGCTCGTTACCCGTGCCTGTCCGACACACCGCTGCCCCTCGTGCACTCTGCCCGTACGTTGCCCCGCGTGCCACGCCTGCCCGCAAGCGCTACCTTGGCCCCGCGCGCAGCGCCTGCCCGTACGCTGCCCCGTGCGCTGCACCTGCTCGCGCGGTGCTGCCCTACCCGTGCGCTGCCCCGCACACCGCGCCTCTTGTACGCTGCCATGTGCGCCGCACCTGCCCGTGCTCTGCGCGTGCACTGCCTCTCGCGCTGCGTCTGCCCGCACGCTATCCTGCGCGTCCGCGCTGCCCTGCCCGGCGCGTCCACGCTGCCCTGCCCCGCGCCGTCGCGCTGCCCTGCCCTGCATGTCCGCACTGCCTTGCTTGGCGCCATCGCGCTGCTCTGCCCTGAGCGTCCGCGCTGCCCTGCCCAGAGCGTCCGCACGCGGCCCCCTCAGGTTTCACCGACAGGCGACGGGAAAAGAGGGGGGGGCAATGCACGTGCCCCCGGTGCGCCGCGACAGGCGACGGAGCATGGCCGGGGCGGGGCCGGGGCAGGGTCGGGGCAGGGCCGGGGCAGGGCCGGGGCAGGGCCTCGATAGGGGCGGCGACGGGGCCGCAAAGGGCGGCGACGGGGCCGGTAGAGGCGGCGACGGGGCCGCTAGAGGCGGCGACGGGGCCGCGAAGAGCGGCGACGGGGCCGCTAGGGGCGGCGACAGGGCCGCGAAGGGCGGCGACGTGGCCGCGAAGGGCGGCGACGGGGCCGTTAGGGGCGGCGACGGGACCGCTAGGGGCGGCGACGGGACCGCTAGGGGCGGCGACGGGGCCACGAAGGGGCCGCGAGGGGCCTAGAAGGGCGGCGACGGGGCCGGTAGAGGTGGCGACGGGGCCGGTAGAGGTGGCGACGGGGCCGCGAAGGGCGGCGACGGGGCCGCTAGGGGCGGCGACGGGGCCGCGAAGGGCAACGACGTGGCCGCGAAGGGCGGCGACAGGGGCCGCTAGGGGCGGCGACGGGACCGCTAGGGGCGGCGACGGGGCCTCGAAGGGGCCGCGAGGGGCCTGGAAGGGCGGCGACGCGCCGCGAAGGGGCTGCGAGGGGCCAAGAAGGGCGGCGACGGGGCCGCGAAGGGGCCGCGAGGGGCCTGGAAGGGCGGCAACGAGGCCGCGAAGGGGCCGCGAGGGGCCTAGAAGGGCGGCGACGGGGCCGCGAAGAGTAGCGCGAGGGGCACGCCACGGGGCGTGCAGAACACAGAGTAGCAGCGGAAGCAGTTAGGTGGGCCCACAGGCCAGGAGCGTAGATGCTCTGATACCATGTGAAAGAATGAGGAATGAAGAAGAGGGAGGGGTTTGCACTAGCAGCAGTTGGCATACATATAGGAAACTCTAATTGGGTTGTACTCGCTATAGAGTACCCCACTGCAGGCTAGACAATTATAGCATTCTGACATGCCTCAGTGTCAGCAGTGGCAAAAATCAAGTCGTCGACGTACACGAGGATGTAGAACAGCGGAAGCGAAGTGTCGGTGCGGAGAAACAACGACGGGTCAGCAGTCGAAGGAGTAAACCCAAGTGCCGCAAGTGTCGTCCTCAGTGTGTCGTGCCACTCATGAGGCGCCTGGCAAAGACCGTAGACTGGCCGTCGGAGGCTCCACTGGGTACCCTAAAAAAAGGACCCATTGAAGCCAGGTAGACGGCGCAGCCAGATCTCCTCGTGCAGGTTGCCGTGTAGGAAAGTTGTGCTGAAGTCTAGAGAGTGAAGGTCGTAGTCACGCTGAGCAGCAAAGTGCAGTAGCATCCGAAGAGTGGTAATCTTCGGGGTAGAGGAGAAGGTCTCGAAGAAGTCATCTCCCTGTCGTTGACTGAAGCCTCGTGCAATGTAACGAGCCTTGAAGACATGCGGAGAACCCGGCAGCCACTTCACCCTAAAAATTCACATGCCATCGACTGCATCGACGTAAGTGCCTGTGGACTTCCAGGATGCCATCTCTGCATCCATGGCTATCTACCACTGAGAGGAGTACTCACCCGCGATCACCTCAGCGTAAGAGCGCAGAGTCGGGATGTCTGTGCATCCGGGTCTCCCTTAGGGGCAAGCAGCATGGCCACGAGATGAGGTGCAGCGGCTGCAAGACACTCAAAGTCCTCCTAACTGTCCTCAAGAACGTCTGTGCCTAGAGCACACTCACCCCCGACGGACGGAGGACAAACAAACTTAGACTTAGCAATTAGACTAGCAGCGTAGTCGAGACGACAAGCAGCAGCAAAGTCAACAAGCTCAGCGACTAAGGCAGACGCAGCAGCAGACTCAAACGAAGGGTCAGTGCCAACAGTAGCCAGGAGACGCATGACAGTAGGACTAGCAGCACGAAGAGAGTCTGACCCAGGGTCAGCAAGAGCAGGAAGAGAGGACGCAGGAGGAGACGGCAGAGGAACACGCTGTGGAACAGAGGGAGGATGAAGTGTCATAGTGTGCATCACGGGGACAGGAGGGCGCTCATGAGGAACACGGCAACCAGTGCGACCAGCGCGAACAGGCAAGGCAGGACGAGATGCACGCTTACGACGCTCAGTAAGACCTCCTGTCTGCTCAGTGTAAGGAGAGGGAGCAGGCAGTGGGGAGCCTAGCTGAAATGGGGGACCAGTAGAAGACGGGAGACTAAGACCTGGCGAAGCACCGAGCCGGCGGGGGCAGAGACGATGGTGACGGCGAAGCGAAGAATAGACGCGGCAGTGGAGCACCACCAGTACCAGCTCCTCCAGCACCAGCACCTCCCGTACTAGTACCAGCAGCTCCAGGGTCTCCAGCAGCTCCAGAAACTCCAGCTCCAGCACCTCCAGCTCCCGGGTCACCAGCTCCAGCGCCTACAACTCCAGGGCCTCCAGCTCCAGAGTCCGCAGCACCACCAACTCCGGCCGCTCGAGTACCTCCAGTACGAGCACCTCCGGGACCAGTAGCTCCAGCACCTCTTGTACCTCCAGTAGCAGTAGCACCACCAGCTCCGGCAGCTCGAGTGCCTCCAGGGCTAGCACCTCCGGACCTGTAGCAGCAACATCATCACCACCAGCTCCAGCAGCTCTAGTACCTCCATTACGATCACCTCCGGGACTAGCAGCTCCAGCACCTCGAGCAGCAGCACCACCACCAGCTCCAGCAGCTCCAGAAACTCCACTACCTCCAGCACCTCCACCACTAGCGGCACCACCAGCTCCGGCAGCTCCAGTGCCACCAGCACGAGCACCCCCGGGACCAGCAGTGCCAGCACCACCAGCACTAGCAGCTCCAGGGCCTCCAGCCCCAGCAGCGCCACTCTGAAGGCTACAGCGCCGAGCGTACTCGCGCAATTGCTGTGGTGAGAGAGGCTCCCGTCGGCTAGACTGCTCAGGCGAGGCACCACTGGGACCTCTAGGACTAGTAACTCCACCACCTCCAGTGATTCCAGTACCAGCAGTACCTCCAGCACCTCCAGGACTAGCAGCTCCTGGGCCTCCAGCTCGAGCAGCGCCAGTCCGAAGGCTACAGCACCGAGCGTACCACTCGCGCAACTGCTGTGGTGAGAGAGACTCCCGTAGTGTAGACACAGGACCCCTAGGCTCAGCACCCCCAGACTCAGCACCCCCAGGCTCCGCACGCTCAGGCTCAGCACCCCCAAGCTCTGCACGCTCAGACGCAGTACCCCCGGGCTCCGCACTCGCAGGCTCAGCACCTCCAGGCTCCTCACGCTCAGGCTCCGCAACAGCAGGCTCAGCACCCCCAGGCTCCTCGCGCATAGGCTCAGCACCCCAGGTTGCACATGCTCAGGCTCAGCACCCCCAGCAGCACCAGAGTCACCAGTGACCTCGACAGGCTCAACCAAGGAGAGAGGGTCCACCTGAGACACACCTGAAGGAGCAGGACCTTGAGGGGGGAGGGGGTCTACCGAAGGGGGACCTGGAGCAAAGAAGAGCAGCGGGGGAGGGGGAGGGGCAGTGCGGTAGGGGAAGAGACGGTAAAAGGAAACCGACTTCTCAAACGTGACGTTTTGAGCGGACAGAACACGGCGCGAGGTGGGGTGGTAAAACTGCCAGCCAGGCGCGTCAGGGGGAAAACCAAGGAAGACAGAAGTAACGGCGCGGACGGAGAGCTTGTCCGCGGAGGTATCGCGGACAAAGGGACAAGATCCCTAGACCCGAAACACTGCTGCATCGCCAACCTCTCCCGTCCAACGCAGTGTCGGCGAGGTCTCCAGCAAGGAGACACAGGGCCAGAGGTTGAGCTGATGCGCAGCGTACCGGACCGCAAACAGAAACAGAAAATGGGGAGTAAACGCATGGATCATGGAGGTACGAGCGACCTCCATGACTAGGCCAATGCAGCGCTCAACAACCCCATTCTACTGTGGAGAGGCCGGAAGCGTGAACGACTGGAGGATGCCCTCCCCACGACAAAAGTCCCTCAAGAGGTCGGAGGAAAACTGACCACCTCTGTCAGAGTGCAGACGCAGGACTGGAAGGTCCGTGTCGAACCACTCGCGGAGCTGGAGACGGACAGCGCGGATCCAAGGGATCAAGACATCAGAGACCTCACCCTTGCTGCGCAAGGGGAAGACCGTGGTGTAACGCGAGTAGTCGTCAACAACCAGCAGAAGGCATCGCTCGCGGCCCCGTCGCTGGACGCGGGTTGGGCCCCACTCGTCCAAGTGGAGAGACTGCAGGGGAGCAGTCGTCAAGGGAAACGAAGAGGAGTGAGGAGCGGCGCGCTGCCGCCCCTCGACACAGGGAAGGCAGGGAGGGGCAGGCGAGGGTGGGAGGGGAGGGAGAGACCTGGGAAGACCAGAGACAAGAAGGCGAGAGTGCATGCCACGGAGGCGTGGCAGGGAGGGGTGACCTAGGCGGTGGTGCCAAAGGAGAGTCTGGTGCGACAAGACGCAACCCGAGCAAGAGGCTGCTAGCTGACCTGACGCGGACGCAGACGCAGCTACCTGAGGAGGCATAGTAGTCATTGTGTACAGGCTCGACCCAGGCCGATAGGCGAACGTGGCCAGGTGACGGCCCGTCCGTGCACACGTGTAGATCGCGACACGCTGTCCCCCGAGAGTAAAGGTATTAACCCATGCATCATGAAGGACGGCGTTGCTCACCAAGTTCGTAGAGACGAGGGGAGGTGAAGACCTGACTGTGAGCTAGACAGAACCGCCAGACACGGGAGAACAGTGGAGGAATGTGCAACAACCGGCCCCCCAGAGGGATCAGCCAGAGAGACTGCAACCGGTGCTGCGAGTGGTGTGACTGTGGTGCTGTCGCAAAAGAAGCAACGGGAGGCACCTGAGTCAAGCGTGAAGGTGTGCAAGGCCTCAGGAGGCGCAGTACTAGAGAAAGCAGACTCACTAGCACCTAGAGCAGACTCACCAGCACCTAGAGCAGACCCACCAGCACCTAAAGCAGCAGCCGCTATACTAGGGTCGAGCGGCACATACAGGTAACATTCACCCTGAGTACTAGCATACATGGCAGTGAGGATAGTGTCATAGTCTAGAGCAAAGATATCCACCTTGTTCTTAAGTAGCTCTAGCCAGTGGGGGAGCTCAGCCATGTCTCCAAACACTGCACACCAGGCGTCGCTCAGACAGGCGAAGCAGCGAGCCTTTGTATGACCAAGTGTCTCGCAAGTCTGACCAGCCCAATCACCTGTCATTGTACCACTCACGAAGCTTCTGGGGCGTAAGGGTCTCGCGCGGACGCTGCTGCAGCTGCATCTGGCCACCGCCAGAAACTCCGCACTGAACAGCTCCACCACGACTGCTACTGCTGCTGCCGCCACCACACCTACTGGCGTACCACTCACGAAGCTGCTGGGGCGTAAGAGTCTCGCGCGGACGCCGCAGCAGCTGCATCTGGCCACCGCCAGAAAGTCCGCACCGAACAGCTCTACCGCGACTGCCACTACGGCCGCCGCCACCACTCCAGCTGCTGTCACCACCGCCGTCACCGCTTCGACCGCTACCACGAAGAGAAGTCATAGCGGGCCAAGTAAGGAGGCGTGCGACCAGTAGGGCAGTACGGAGGGAAGGCAATAGCACGAGCAGCAGCAGCAACAGTAAGAGCAGTAGAGCGGCTCGGTGAGGCTAGCCTGTAGCACCTCCAGCACTCCTAGCAGCACCTCCAGCACTCCTAGCAGCACCTCCACCAGCAGAAGCAGTAGCACGAGCAACAGGGTGGATCGGGTTGGGCAGGGCAGCTCGAGCTGGGCGGCGCGCGCTGTGCAGGACAGCAAGGCGCGACGCGCGGGCAGCAGGGCGCGGTGCACGGGATGCAGCAGGGCGCGACGCGCGGGGCAGCAGGGCGCGACGCGCGGGCTGCAGCAGGGCATGACGCGCGGGCTGCAGCAGGGCGCGACGCGCGGGGCAGCAGGGCGCGACGCGTGGGGCAGCAGAGCGCGACGCGTGGGCTGCTGTAGGGCGCGACGCACAGGGCAGCAGGGCGCGACGCGCGGGCTGCAGCAGAGCGCGACGCACGGGACAGCCGTAGGGAGCGACGTGCAAGGCAGCAGGGCGCTACGTGCGGGCTGCAGCAAGGCGCGACGTGCAGAGCAGCAGGGCGCGAGCTGCAGCAGGACGCGGGGCAGGGCAGGGAGTGCGCGGGGCAGGGAAGGGCGTGCGCGGGGCAGTGCGACGCGGGGCAGGGCAGGGCGTGCGCGGGACAGCGCGACGCGGGGCAGGGCAGCACGACGCGGGGTAGAGCAGGGCGTACGCGTGGCAGCGCGACGCGGGGCAGGGCAGGGCGTGCGCGGGGCAGCGCGACGCGGGGCAGAGCAGGGCGTACACGGGGGAGCGCGACGCAAGGCAGGGCAGGGCAGGGCGCGCTAACGGTGCAGCGCAGGGTAGGGCATAGGGTAACACAGTAACCGCAGTCGGTCACTAAGTAACGGTGGGCCCGAAAAAAAACGGTCCTACGGACCTACTGCTCTGAAACATGTCAGAAACTAATGAGCAAGAATGATTGCATTGACATCAAACTGAGTACCGTATACTCCCGGACAAAACACCCCCCCATAATTGTACACCCCCGGGTAGCTTGTGCGGGGTGGGTGTTATGATAGACCTCGTTTCTACTATACCCCCCTTTTTGGCTGATTTTCTATAACACCCCCCTTTTCTTACGGATTCATTATTATAGTCGTTAACGAGTAGCTGCAATACGGAAGAATATCGTGTGAATTTCTCCCTCGATGAAATTTCGCGGTACATTCAAAGGCAATCTGCCGAGATTTGCCCCCTCCCACTATTTCTCTGTCGCCACGTGCAGGTGAATCTTCCAGTGCAAGTGGCAAGAGAGGTGCCACATGCAATTTTCGTGGGGGCGATGAAGTTCGAGGCCGAAACTCACATTCGCGCCTCAGGCAGTGATGCTAAAACGACCAGCAAAACACCCACATTGACTAATTAAAAAAACACTAACACTAAAATATGCCATATGTAAAGACCCGGGTATTATGTATTTTTTTCCTATGAGACCCCCCCCATTTTTTCCCTGTATTTTTAGCTATACCCTAGGGTGTTATGTCCGGGAGAATACGGTACAAATATAAACCTATTTGGGTTGTACCCCATATAGGCTACCCCACTATAGCCTACACAACATAAGTGGCATTATTGTTTGACAGACGGGTGTGAACCGCCAGCAACCCGTCCCTCCCTTCCCTCTTCCTCTCTTCCTGCAGCACTAATTGCTGTAGGGGGGGGGGATGAGAGAGGTTAAGGGGGGATGAAAGAGAGAGAGAGAGAGAGAGAGAGAGAGAGAGAGAGAGAGAGAGAGAGAGAGAGAGAGAGAGAGAGAGAGAGAGAGAGAGAGAGAGAGAGAGAGAGGTTTGCATTTTCTGGTTTCTCCTTGTCTGTTCTCCATCCATTGTATCTGGGCGCCTTCGTCTTTCCTCGTCGCGCGCACACACCGGGCATCCACAGCGGGGGTTGAAACCGCAGGCGGGCAATCCACCGTACCCGGCGGTGGGCCCAGCACACGACACGGTGATTGTTGCCCTTCGAGATGAGCCCCTACACTAGCTATACTTCACACACACATAGCAGTTGTGCATAGCAGAGCTGTGACAAAACTGTTGCCTTGGACTTGGCGCCTGCGAGGTGCTAACTGGGAATTGAGAAACGAGAACGATATGGAAAATGATGGTTGGAAAGGTAAAGGGAAGCGCTGGCGGCGGCGGCGGCGGCTGAGAATTCGCGCTGGCGGCGAAGCTAATGGCGAGAGGGGCGAGAGAAAGATGGGAAGGAAGGGAGTGGGGAGGGAGGACAGTGAAGGCGGCAAAAAGGGAACGGGGGCAGTGGGAGCGATGGGAGAGGAGGGGAGTGAGGAAAAACAACTGGAGGGTGGTAAAGCACCTACCAAATCATGCATCAAATATAAAGAAATATTAGACGAATTAACTGGCAGCGTAAGTAAGTAGCTCTAAAAGAGAGGAAGGGCAACAGAAGAGAGACATAAGGCGACGAAAGGGCGTTTTGTGGGGAGCGCGAGGGTGACGAAAAGGGTGATGAGAGGGAGGAAGAGCACGGGGCCGGCGTTTCAGAGCAAGAGCGAAGGCAGCGAGGTGGGTGATGGGAGGGGAGAGAAGAAAGGCGAAGGGGGGAGGGGAGGGGAGGGGGGGGGGGGGGGGGCGTTTCGGGGCGAGCACGAAGGCGAAGAGGTGGGCGATGAGAGGGGAAATTGGGTGGGGGACGAGAGGGCGTTTCGCGGCGAGCGCGAAGACGACGGGGTGGGTTGGGAGAGCGCGAGGGCCGGGGAGCGGACAGAGGAAGAACGACGGCCGGGGAAGGGAGAGAGGAAGAACGACGGGAGGGGTGGGGAGATGGCGGGTGAGGGGAAGGGAATGGAGATCGCGACAAGAGAGACGATAAGCGACAAGAGAGAAGATAGGCGACGGGAGAGAGGATGGGCGACGGGAGAGAAGATGGGCGACGGGAAGAGAGGAAGGGCGACGAGAGAGAGGAGGGCAACGAGAGAGAGGAAAGGCGAAAAGAGAGAGGAAAGGCGACGGGGGAGAGGAGAGGCGACGGGGGAGAGGAAAGGCGACGGGAGAGAGGATGGCGACGAGAGATAGGATGGCGACAAAAGAGAGGAAGGCGACGAGAGAGAGGAAGGGTGACGGGAGAGAGGAGGGCGATGGGAGGGTGTTTCGTTGCGAGCGCGAAGGCGACGTTGCAAAGAGTGACGCCGCGACGGCAAAGCGAGGCCGATTTTGGGCTAGAATGTGACGATGCGCGATATGTGGAAAAACATTTCGCTATTCTACGAAATTATTACGCATCCAAGCTAAAACATAATCTACGCGCCTAGGCAGAAAATGTCTAGGTTCTCAGCTATAGTATGCTAGCTTGGAAAGTAGAGTCTTCAGGATCAGAAACTAGCTAGTAGTGAACCCACGCACAACTTGAACCTGAAGCAAGGTTCTACGATCGAAACTATCGTCGTGCAACCGACGTGCAGGTGTACAAATGCGACTCCTTGTACAAGCGGCAAAATTTGTTTGGCGGGAGCCAATCACGTAAGTCCGATCTGTTTGAAAGCCATTTTCAAGCTGGGCTGGGATTCACTTTTTTGCATTCTCGTTTCAAGGGGGGATGTCATAATTTGTAATTCTTATATATTTGCTTGTTTAGTTAGTGTAGTATCACCTATCTTGTCTTAGGTGGTCTACCTTCTTTCACCACCTCCCCCATTTCCTATAAGTTGTACTGCATTCTATAGTGCAGCCCCACTCCTTTGGCCACCTCTCTCTTCACAAACCCTAGCCTCTTAGCTACTATTTTAACACTAGTGATCATGAACATTCCTACAGATGATGTCAAGCTCCTCCTCCAGTTGCCTACAATTTAGTGAAGCCTGTTGAACTTCTGCATCTAACTGCATGGCTACTCTCTCCTGTTTTCCACCCCTCAGCTCCCTATGTAGGCTTTCAAGCTGAGATAGCACATGGCTCATAGTCGGTCGATTTGATACGAGCTTTGCAACACATGAGAGAGAAATGTCAACTAGCTTGGAAGCTACACCATGTGGTGCATTGAGATCCCTGCTGACAACAGACGCACTTCCCCCTCTTTCCACCTCTTGTTCCACCTGCCAACATTTTGAGGAAGAGACAAGGGGAGAGTGAGAGGTGGTGTTGGAAGGAGGGGGTGAGAGGACAAGGAAGAGGCAGGGGGAGCAGGACAAGGAGGGAAGTGAGGGGGAACTGGAAGGAGGAGGAGAGATGGAGAGAGTGAGAGGGGGTATGGTAGGATATTCATGAAAAAAACAACTGCGGTGTGACTGGAGGTTTTCCAACATACCAAAAGTCAGAGAAAAGGTAATTTTGGTTGGAAGGAAGAAGAAGGAGCAGCAGCATACCCAGTCCTTGGTGTTGATTTGATATCGGTCTTGCGCCATACTCTCAGCGAGCAGCAAATTTAGTTCAGACTTAAAAGCAGAAGACAGTAAAAAACTGCCTGTACTTAGAAGCAGCAGCATACCCAGTCCTTGATGTTGATTTGTGAACCATTTTCACATAGCTGCACGACATGCTTGCAGGTCAGTAGCTCCATCATAAGAATTCCGAAGCTGGGGAGGGAGGGAGGGAGGGAGGGAGGGAGGGAGGGAGGGAGGGAGGGAGGGAGGAAAGCAGAAAGAAAAAACTAAACAAGATAAGAGAGCAGTGTGCAGGACATGTGCAACCACGTGCAACCATGCGCAACCACGTGCAACCATGTGCAACCATGTGCAACCATGTGCAACCACGTGCAACCATGCGCAACCATGCGCAACCATGTGCAACCATGTGCAACCATGTGCAACCATGTGCAACCATGTGCAACCACGTGCAACCATGCGCAACCATGCGCAACCATGTGCAACCACGTGCAACCATGCGCAACCATGCCCAACCATGCGCAACCATGTGCAACCACGTGCGACCATGTGCAACCATGTGCAACCATGCGCAACCATGTGCAACCATGTGCAACCACGTGCAACCATGCGCAACCATGCCCAACCATGCGCAACCATGTGCAACCATGTGCAACCATGTGCAACCATGTGCAACCACGTGCAACCATGCGCAACCATGCGCAACCATGTGCAACCACGTGCAACCATGCGCAACCATGCCCAACCATGCGCAACCATGTGCAACCACGTGCGACCATGTGCAACCATGTGCAACCATGTGCAACCACGTGCAACCATGCGCAACCATGTGCAACCACGTGCAACCATGCGCAACCATGTGCAACCACGTGCAACCATGCGCAACCATGTGCAACCATGTGCAACCACGTGCAACCATGCGCAACCATGTGCAACCACGTGCAACCATGCACAACCACGTGCAACGCGAGCACATGAGTGAGACGAGAGATGAACACATGCATATGCACGTGTGCGCATGCACACGCCTTCCCACCTGTACACATCAGCACTTGGAGTGGCCTTGTGAGTGATGGAGTAGACGGGGTCCACATAGCCTGGTGTGCCCATCACTCGAGTGGACTGCAGTGACCCGCTGCCGTCGCCCATTCTCAGCAAACCAAAGTCTGACACTTTCGCCTGCAAAATGGGCAAAGGGGCAGCGTTTCCCGCATGAGACAGTGACGAATTGTCAAATTGCTGGCCTACAACACGGCTTGCTGCGTTTCGAATCCTTCATTACTCCGAAAGGGGCACCGTTTCCCGCATGAGACAGTGACGAATTGTCAAATTGATCCTGATGGAATGAGGTGTTACAGAGTCGGTACTCGACTCGCCTACAATGTTGGCTTCTCATGAGATGCCCATCAGCGCATGCACTCGCATGCACTCGCATGCACTCGCCTGCATGTTAGCATCCTGAGAACAAGCTCACCTGCATGTTTTTGTCGAGCAGGATGTTGGCGGGCTTGATGTCGCGATGCATGATGCCAAAGCTGTGGAGATACTCCAGCGCTCGCGCCACTCCTATCAGAATGTCCACCCGCTGCTGCAGGGTCAGGGGGGTGTCACCTGCCCAACAACACAAAAGAGAAGAGAAGAGAAAGAAGAAGCTGTAGGGTAGATTGAAATCCCGTGCCACTCCTATGATCCTATCAGAATGTCCACCCGCTGCTGCATGGTCAGGGGGGGTATATTACCTGAAGAACAAAGCAGAAGAGAGAAGCAATGGAAAGGGATCAGAAAAGAGCAGGAGCAGAGCAAGAGCAGCAAGAGGAGGAGCAAACAGAGGTGCCCACGTGTGCCATCACCATGCAAACAGAGGTGCCCATGTGTGCCATTGCCATGCAAACAGAGGTGCCCACGTGTGCCATTGCCATGCAAACAGAGGTGCCCACGTGTGCCATCACCATGCATGCGGTGGTATAGGTGAACTCATAGATGCTGATCTGCTCCATGCGCTCCGTCAGACGTCTCAAGAGTGCTCTGGCTTTTGAGTCGACTCAAAAGTGCTGTGCCCACCTGCATCATTGCCGTGCATGCGGTGGTACAGGTCCCCGTTGGGCATGTATTCATAGATGGCCATTTGCTCCATGCGCTCCGCAAGAGGAGGAGCAGGCAAGAGTAGCAAGAGGAAAAGGGGGTGGTGCGGTGGTGCCCACCTTTGCCGTTGCCGTGCATGCGGCGGTACAGGTCCCCGTTGGGCATGTATTCATAGATGGCGATTTGCTCCATGCGCTCCGCTGCCGCATCGTAGTCCAGGCAGAAGCCCAGCAGCCGCACCAGGTTGGGGTGGTGCTTTGATGCCATCTCGTTGATCTGATGGGGAGGGGGATGGGGAGGGGGATGGGGAGGGGGATGGGGAGGGGGATGGGGACGGGGATGGGGAGGGGGATGGGGAGGGGGATGGGGAGGGGGATGGGGAGGGGGATGGGGACGGGGATGGGGAGGGGGATGGGGAGGGGGATGGGGACGGGGATGGGGAGGGGGATGGGGAGGGGGATGGGGACGGGGATGGGGAGGGGGATGGGGAGGGGGATGGGGAGGGGGATGGGGAGGGGGATGGGGAGGGAAGAGCCGTCGACTATTGAGTCGACTCATCAGTCACAACAGCCTCACCTCGCGTTGGAAGTCGTTGGTGAGCACTCTGGCGCGCTTCACAGCCCAGGGCGCGCTTCACAGCCCAGGGCGCGCTTCACAGCCCAGGGCGCGCTTCACAGCCCAGGGCGCGCTTCACAGCCCAGGGCGCGCTTCACAGCCCAGGGCGCGCTTCACAGCCCAGGGCGCGCTTCACAGCCCAGGGCGCGCTTCACAGCCCCAGGGCGCGCTTCACAGCCCAGGGCGCGCTTCACAGCCCAGGGCGCGCTTCACAGCCCAGGCGCGCTTCAGCAGGGCGCGCTTCACAGCCCAGGGCGCGCTTCACAGCCCAGGGCGCGCTTCACAGCCCAGGGCGCGCTTCACAGCCCAGGGCGCGCTTCACAGCCCAGGGCGCGCTTCACAGCCCAGGGCGCGCTTCACAGCCCAGGGCGCGCTTCACAGCCCAGGGCGCGCTTCACAGCCCAGGGCGCGCTTCACAGCCCAGGGCGCGCTTCACAGCCCAGGGCGCGCTTCACAGCCCAGGGCGCGCTTCACAGCCCAGGGCGCGCTTCACAGCCCAGGGCGCGCTTCACAGCCCAGGGCGCGCTTCACAGCCCAGGGCGCGCTTCACAGCCCAGGGCGCGCTTCACAGCCCAGGGCGCGCTTCACAGCCCAGGGCGCGCTTCACAGCCCAGGGCGCGCTTCACAGCCCAGGGCGCGCAGCCATCGTGTGCACTAAGAGTCGACTGGAAACACACACATCACAACCAGCCCACCCACCTCGCGCCGAAAGTCATTAGTGAGCACTCTAGCGCGCTTCACAGCCCAGGGCGCGCAGCCATCATGTGCACTATGAGTCGACTGGAAACACACACATCACAACCAGCCCACCCACCTCGCGCCGAAAGTCATTAGTGAGCACTCTAGCGCGCTTCACAGCCCAGGGCGTGCACCCGTCGAGGGGGCTCACTCCCCGGTACACGTCACCATACCCGCCGCTGCCTATGCGCCTGTCCGCCGCCCACCCTCCTGTTGCGCGCAGTACATCCGCCATGCCCACCTGCTGGCACAGCAGCGGCACTGGGAGGAGGGCGGAGGAGGAGGGGGCGACAACAGGAGGGGGAGGAGGGGGAGGAGGAGGCTGCGAAGGAGGGGTGGAAGGATTGGGAGGTGTGGAGGAGGCAGGGTCAGTGTGGGAAAGATTGTGCCATGAGTCCAAATGCTCATTTCCCCTGTTGCCTGCAACGACACCCCCCCCTCCTCCCTGCAAGTCCCCTTCGTGATTCTCCCCCTCTTCCTCCATCTGCCTCAGTGCTGCTGCCACATCATCACGCACTATCTCCAGCTCAGCAAGAACTCGTCCCAAGGAGGGCCGGGAGGAAGCAGGCATGGCGGTGCATGCGAGCCCAACACGAGCCAGCCGCACCAAGCTAGGAATAAGAGCATTCGGTATCAGCATAATTACTGTTCCCAGTCGGTCGGGAACATTGGGAACATTGGGAACACCCAGTGTAGTATCAGCAGCGCTCGCAGCTGCTGTGCCTGCTGTGGTGGTGGTGCTGATGGTGCTAGAGGGTGCGCTGGTGCTGCTGGTGGCGCTGCTGGTGGCGCTGCTGGTGGGGATGCTGGTGGGGATGCTGGTGGGGATGCTGGCGCTGGTATCGGTGGTGGGTGGGAGGGAAGAGGAGGCGAGCGCGGGATCGAAGAGAGCAGCCAAGTTGTTGGCTTGAAGCTGCGTGCCAACGTGGTGTGGGGTGAAGGGCGGGAACATAGAGGGTGGGGTGGAGCATGGGGGACAGCGCAAGGGGGGAGAAAGAGGAGGTGAGATAAGTCGATTTTTGAGTCGACTAAAAAAACAGAAACACTGTGACCCAGAGAAGGTGGGTACATGTGGGGAAACATGTTGATGGAGCAGCATGGAGGGAGAAGCATGGAGGGAGGAGCATGGAGGGAGAAGCATGGAGGGAGGAGCATGGAGGGAGGAGCATGGAGGGAGAAGCATGGGGGTAGGAACATAGATAGAGGGTGGAGCATGGAGGGAGGGGGCATGGGGGACGGAGCACAGGGGGAGGAACATAAAGGGTGGAGCATGGGGTGGTAGAGCATGGGGCGGTAGAGCATGGGGCGGTAGAGCATGAGGGGAGGAGCAAAAAAAAAAAACAAAAAAACAATAATAATAATAAAAAATCGGTAGTGATAAGGAAAGGGGTTCTCTTGTTTTCAGCATCAGTGGGTCTGGGTGGTTGAGTCTCTTGTTTCAAGTGGGGGGGTACTTCGTTTCAGAAGTCTTTGGACCAGACTCACACTTGGAACACTGCCAGCCATGCAGGTACTGCGCTGCTGGCATGCCTCTCAGCACTCACCACTCGCCCTCCCCCCAATGCTCCTCTCAGCACTCACCACTCGCCCTCCCCCCAATGCTCCTCTCAGCACTCACCACTCGCCCTCCCCCCAATGCTCCTCTCAGCACTCACCACTCGCCCTCCCCCCAATGCTCCTCTCAGCACTCACCACTCGCCCTCCCCCCAATGCTCCTCTCAGCACTCACCACTCGCCCTCCCCCCAATGCTCCTCTCAGCACTCACCACTCGCCCTCCCCCCAATGCTCCTCTCAGCACTCACCACTCGCCCTCCCCCCAATGCTCCTCTCAGCACTCACCACTCGCCCTCCCCCCAATGCTCCTCTCAGCACTCACCACTCGCCCTCCCCCCAATGCTCCTCTCAGCACTCACCACTCGCCCTCCCCCCAATGTTCCTCTCAGCACTCACCACTCGCCCTCCCCCCAATGCTCCTCTCAGCACTCACCACTCGCCCTCCCCCCAATGCTCCTCTCAGCACTCACCACTCGCCCTCCCCCCAATGCTCCTCTCAGCACTCACCACTCGCCCTCCCCCCAATGTTCCTCTCAGCACTCACCACTCGCCCTCCCCCCAATGCTCCTCTCAGCACTCACCACTCGCCCTCCCCCCAATGCTCCTCTCAGCACTCACCACTCGCCCTCCCCCCAATGCTCCTCTCAGCACTCACCACTCGCCCTCCCCCCAATGGTCCTCTCAGCACTCACCACTCGCCCTCCCCCCGATGCTCCTCTCGCTCTCACAGCCTCTCTGAAAAACTCGGGCATGGTCTTCCCTGAGGCGAGTTGATTTTTGAGTCGACTCAAAAATCCTCTAGCACGCAACATCAAATCCTCTCACCCTCAATACTCACAGCCTCTCTGAAAAACTCGGGCATGGTCTTCCCTGAAGCGTCGGAGATGCGGCCTGAGAGCAGCTGCAGCAGCACCACTCCCAGACTGGTGGGAGCGGGCGAAGAGGCGGAGCAGGGATGGGTGGGAAGAAGGGGGAGCAGGGATGGGTGGGAAGAAGGGGGGGCAGGGATGGGGAGGAGAGCAGGGACGGAAATGCGGCCTGACAGCAGCTGCAGCAGCACCGCTCTTAGACTGCTCGCCACTCGCTGCAGCCTTTTGAGACGTCTCTATAGTACAGGGACCCGCACTTGTAGAGGTCATCTGTGGTTGTTAGCGGTTGTTAGTGGTTGCTAGTGGTTGTTAGTGGTTGTTTAGTGGTTGTTAGTTACTGCGTGCGTGGTTACAGTGGTTACAGCGATCTGCACCTTAGAGGTCATTGGTGGATGTGTGCTGCTGGGTGAGCAGCAGATGCAGGTTCACATGTGACGTACCCACGCACGCCCACCACCGCATGCTGCTCGCCACTTGCTGCAGCCTTTTGAGACGTTTCAAAAGTACAGGGACCCCTACGGGTCATTCGTGGTTGTTAGTGGTTGTTAGTTATTGCGTGCGTAGGTACATGGTTCCGCACCTGTAGAGATCATTGGTGGGTGTGTGCTCCTGGGTGAGCAGTAGGTGAGGATCCACATACCCCCGCACGCCCACCACCGCGTGCTGCTCGCCACTCGCTGCAGCCCTGCGCGTCGTCACATAGTCAAACCCTGCAATCTTCGCCTGCCGTGGCGTTGTGTTGGGCAAGTGTAGCGCAGTGACGTGCGGGACATGCGGGGTGGCATCATGTCATGTGGCCGGGCAGGATGGGGGGGGAAGGGGGAGAGGGAGAGGGGGAAATGCTTTCTACAGCATCAGTGTAACAGGGCAGGGTAACCCAATCCTATATGGACGCTGCTCCACACCACACAGCACACTCATGTGTGGAGTCATGTGGGCGGGTCATGTGGTGTCGTGTGGTGTCATGTGGAGTCATGTGGTGTCGTGTGGTGTCGTGTGGTGTCGTGTGGAGTGGAGGATGATGGTGCCCTCACAGCACACTCACAGCACACGCACAGCACACTCACAGCACACTCACAGCACACTCACAGCACACTCACAGCACACTCACAGCACACTCATAGCACACTCACAGCACACTCACAGCACACTCACAGCACACTCACAGCACACTCACAGCACACTCACAGCACACTCACAGCACACTCACAGCACACTCACTCACCTGCATGTTGCCGTCCAGAAAGATGCTTCTAACGCAAAGGCAGCGATGCACGATTCCAAAGCTGTGCAGATACTCCAACCCGTGCGCCACCCCTATCAGAATGCCCAGCCGCTGCTGCAGGGTCAACGGCACGCCGGTGCAACCTGCGAGGAGAAGAGGAGAAAGAATGCGCTGTAGGGTAGATTGAAATCTCGCACCAACGTAACGGAATACTTTTGAGTCGACTCAAAAGAGAAATGTGTTTGATTCGACTCAAAAGAAAGCATAAAGCGCGAGCGATGGGCAGATGGTAGGTCAAGGGCAGGCAGACCTAGCAGGGCCAAGGGGGAAAAGGACAGGTAGGCAGACCTAGCAGGGCCAAGGGGGAAAAGGACAGGTAGGCAGACCTAGCAGGGCCAAGGGGGAAAAGGACAGGTAGGCAGACCTAGCAGGGCCAAGGGGGAAAAGGGAGCTAGATGCACAAAAGAAGCACACGAGGCAGAACAGGCAAGGACAAGGGCGAGAGAGGGGCAGAACAGGCAAGGACAAGGGCGAGTGAGAGGCAGAACAAGCAAGGACAAGGGCGAGTGAGAGGCAGAACAGGCAAGGGCAAGGGCGAGAGAGGGGCAGAACCAGCAAGCACCTACATGTTTGGAGTTGGCATGGATGCTTACTGCACTTACTGCGACATGGGCTCGGTCAGAAAGAGAGGTGTGTGATGGGATGGGCCACTATTTTCTAGTCGACTCAAAACACGGCCCCTCGTCAGAAAGAGAGGTGGGTGAAGCGGCATGCCTCACCTGACCCACCCGGTTGAAACAGGTCGAGAAGGCTGCCAGCTGTCATGAACTCATAAACCACCTTCTCCCACCGCCCCTGCTTGTCGCATAATCGCATTTTGAGACGTCTCAAATCCCACCCGGTTGAAAAATATCAACAGAACTTCTGGCAGTCATGAACTCATATACCACCACCTTCTCCCACCGGCCCTGCTCGTCACGTCTCAAAAGAACTTTGAGACGTCTCATAAGGTGTGATGCGGCATACCTGAGTCCTGACCCACCCGGTTGAAACATGTCGAGCAGGCTGCCAGCTGTCATGACCTCATACATACACAACCACCTTCTCCCACCGCCCCTGCTTGTCACGCCTCATAAGGTGTGTGATGCGGCATGCCTGTTTCCTCCTAACCCACCCGGTTGAAACATGTCGTGAAGGCTGCCGGCAGTCATAAACTCATACACCACCACCTTCTCCCACCGGCCCTGCTCGTCACGTCTCAAAAGAACTTTGAGACGTCTCATAAGGTGTGATGCGGCATGCCTGTTTCCTCCTAACCCACCTGGTTGAAACATGTCGTGAAGGCTGCCAGAAGTCATGAACTCATACACAACCACCTTCTCCCACCGCCCCTGCTTGACACGCCTCATAAGGCGTGTGATGCGGCATGCCTGTTTCCTCCCAACCCACCTGGTTGAAACATGTCGTGAAGGCTGCCGGCAGTCATAAACTCATACACAACCACCTTCTCCCACCGCCCCTGCTTGTCGCGCTCGTCGCAGTACCCCAGAAGCCGCACCAGGTTGGGATGGTTCTTGTATCCCATCTCCGCCACCTGGGGGCAGGCAAGGCAAGGCAGGGGGTGGGGCGTGGGGAAGGCAAGGCAGGGGGTGGGGAGCGGTGAAGGCAAGTCAGGGGGTGGGGGGGGAGGGAGAGGGCAAGAGGAGCAACGCTTCACAAACCCCGCCCACGCTTCACACGTGGCAGTGTGGCAGCGTGGCAGTGTGGCAGCGTGGCAGTGTGACAGCGTGGCAGTGTGGCAGCGTGGCAGTGTGGCAGCGTGGCAGTGTGACAGCGTGGCAGTGTGACAGCATGGCAGTGTGGCAGCGTGGCAGTGTGACAGCGTGGCAGTGTGACAGTGTGGCAGTGTGACAGCGTGGCAGTGTGGCAGCGTGGCAGTGTGGCAGCGTGGCAGTGTGACAGCATGGCAGTGTGACAGCGTGGCAGTGTGACAGCATGGCAGTGTGACAGCGTGGCAGTGTGGCAGCGTGGCAGTGTGACAGCGTGGCAGTGTGACAGCATGGCCTTATCAGACGGACTCCCCGTGGCGTGGGGGACGACACGACAATGCAGAGCGGTTTTCCTTGGGAAATGTGTGCAGTGCGATCTGTGTGCGACTTGAAACAGCAAAATCTAGTGGCTAATCTAGTGGCTAATCTAGTGGCTAATCTAGTGGCTAATCTAGAGGCTAATCTAGTGGCTAATCTAGTGGCTAATCTAGAGGCTAATCTTCTAACCAGCCCAGTTGAAGAAGCTTCAGAATCTCAGCCGTGCCTCACTTTCCTTCCCTCTCCTCCTTTCTCTGCCTCTTGCATCTTCCCCCTCTCCTCCCCATCACCCCTCCTCTCTCTGCTCTCCAAAACCAAACCCTTCCGCCCCCTTCCCCCTTCTCTCCCCATCACCTCCGCTACGAATTCTTCAAACTCTCGGGTGCGGCAGCGCAGTGACTTATGAGTCGACTGAAAAGTCAACTCAAAAGCATTCCCGCGCTCCCCCCCTCACCTCCGCTACAACTCCTCAAACTCGCGGGCGCGGCAGCGCTTTAACAGCCACAGGGTGACGCCGTCTCGCAGGTCTACGCCGTTTGAGTCGACTCAGAAGCCCCCCCCTCACCTCCGCCTGAAACTCTTCTGAGGCGCCTCAAAATTCAACTCAAAAGAACCCCCACCCCCCCCCCACCCCCTCCCCCTCACCTCCGCCTGAAACTCTTCAGACTCGCGGGCGCGGCAGATCTTCAAGAGCCACAGGGTGACGCCGTCTCGCGGGTCCACGCCTTTGAACATGAGGCGGTACCCGTTGCCCACGAGCAAGTGCGGTGCCCAGTGGTTCGTCGCGGTTAAAATGTCCGCCAGGGAAAACCGCACACAGGCGCCCTGGATGGGGGCGGCTGCGGGGAGGGGGAGGGGGAGGGGGAGGGGGAGAGGGAGGGGGAGGAGGAGGGGGAGGGGTGGGGGGTTAAGCGGCGAGCAAGGATTCTGGGTAGGAAGAGGAGGAGGGGGTGCGGCGCGGGAGGGAGGCAGAGAGGAGCAAGATACACAGAGAGGAGGAAATACAGAAGCCGGAACGAGCGGAAAGAGCGGAATGAGCAGAAAGATTGCCGGCTACGAGGGCGTGTGGGAGGCGGGCGGATCGGGGCATTTGCGAAAGACTTGAGGCGTCGCGAAAAAATGATGGCTTGGCTATTGCTAGGCGTTCAGCAATGTACCGACATGAAGCGCGGTAAGGATGGCTTGCCTCTCGAAGCCTCCGCTTGCTTGGCCTTGCCCGACTTGCCAAGAATCTTCCGCATCCTCGTCCACGTCAGCACACCACCACTCACGGCGAACCACGTGGCAGTAAGGGCCGCGCTGATCGTGCCACGTCACACATACGTGACCAATTTGAGTATTCACATCCTGAAAGCCAGCGTATAGTACGGGTACTTTTACGTGTACGTGTGCGTACTCCGAGCAGGAGTTGAATAATTCCTCGTTGCTTTTCACTCGCGATGCTCACATACTAAAACGATGCTGCCAATGTCGCGCGCATGAGTTGTGCACCTGCCGGCCATCCTGTTTTGAAGGACGTCGCAAGTCGCGGGCTGAGATAATGTACGACTAAACGAACTCGTACGACCTATTCGTTATGTTACACCGAGACTGATGGACGTTCAACAAAATCTGAACAGGAAATGGGAGAAAGTATCGCAGCGCAGATTGCGCAAGATTGGGGGCGTGTCATATGGTTCGTTTGATTGCGGTGAAATGGGATGGTGTGCATGTACGAACGGTTTGTTTAAAAAACTTTGCGTTTCGGTAGGGTTTCAAGCAAAATTGAACTCCTCATGACACACCCTTGGTTTCTTGCTCAGGCTTGACTGCTGGGTAGTTGGGAGTTGAAAGGGAGAAGTCGATATTCCAGGGTTATCTTGGTGTTCCTTACACCCCCGAGGGCTGAAGTTGACATGTTCTGAAGCTGCCCACGAAGGTGTGATGGCAGATGGGACGGCACGCCAGAAGAGTTCATTCGACACTACTCAACCGACTGAAAATATCAACAAAACGTTCTTCAACGTAGTATATTTTGCCAGACCGCTGGAAGTGACCTCATTGTAGTTTTATGCGCATTATGGGATGATATACCTCAGCCGACGAAAACAGCCGCCCAATTTCGCGGTTGCGATAGGACAACGAACCCCCTCGGGATTGACGAGCTTCTGACGACCTGCGAGTGGCAAACTGGGGCGAGCTGGCAGTCCTCCGGGGCTCTGAACCCCTCGGGATTGTCGACTATCTGACGACCTCGGGTTTCGCTGAGAGAAACCCGAGAAGGATACCTCAGCGGACCCTGAACCACAGCTCGACACGTCGTGCGCCGAGCCGCGATTACGGCCACGTGGCCTAGTAGGGACGGCCGAGATCGAGCCTGACAATCGGGAGGTGCCACGACGGCGCCGACGTGGCCCCGCTTCGCACCACCGGGTATATTTCACTGCGCGTGAAAGTTGGCGCGCCGACGAAAAATGTCACCAACGTCCACGCGGCGAAAGACGACTGGCATGTGTCCACCACCTAGATAGCCAGAGAACGCGGGGTATTGAGATGTCGGTGTCGCCCGAAGATCCAACCGCAGCAGCACGACCCACGCGGATGGTTCTGTGCGGACCAAACAATGCATAGGCAAAGAGAGCCCCAGACTCAGGGAATGTCGGCGTCGACCAACCCTCCGGCCACGCGCCTACTCGCAGGTCGATGAGGTTTGCGCGGGAGAGCAGGACGCTACGGCATTTCGGGAGAGTGGAACTAGGTGATTGGCATATTGCACGCGGCGCACGTGAATTCCACCGTGGCAAGGCACCGGCGGGAGTGCCGTTGAGCGCAGAGCGGCGTGACAGTAGACATGCATCGATCGTGACACGTCATGCACGTGCACTGCGGCGCTTGCAAAGAGGGCTGCGTGGAGCGCGGCAGGTGCGCAGTGGCCCGCAACCATACCCCTCTTTGACCACGCACAACGCTCTCATTCTGCCGGTTCAGCTTCGTGTTTCTCTCATGCTCCTGTGCGCCATCTGGCACTTCGTTTTCTTCACAGGACCCTCGCTATCTTTGCGGGTCCAGCTTACCCGACGGCCGAGTCGACCGAGCTGCGGCACTCAGGCGTCGACCTGGAATAGACTTAGGTCGGCACTCAGGCGTCGACGTGAATCACTTCCGTCTCTGGTTTACCAATCTTTCCCTCTTCCACGGCCGGCGGTAGAGCATACGAGCGGTCATGGACGACGTCGACATGCCCGACGTTGGTACCCCAACCGACCACAGTCCGTCCTCTGCCCCCGTAGAGACGCTGAAGTTGCTTTACGATCTTGACAAACTGACTCTGATTCCCGAAGGGGATTACACCAAGGACATACCGAATCCGCCAATAGGGGAGTTTACGAAGAAGTCGACACCGACGTCAGATGGGCAGCCTGGACCTTCGTCGGTGCCGGCCGGCTCGGAAAACCAAGGTGATGACGACGACGAGGACGAGGAAGAGAGCGACGACGAAGTCGACGACCGTCCTCCGCGTAGCACGAATCCGCGCACCTTGGAAGAACGCCTTAGGCGGGAATTTGAATACATACATGACATGCTCGAACAGGACGAGAAGGAGGACAATCAGCACATGGTGGTGCCGCGCGAAAGGTGGAAGGCGACGGACTTTGTAGTGGACGACATGGTGTACTCCAGCATCGACGTGCTCATAATGGACGCCCTACGACACCTACAATGCTTGGAGAAGGATAGCACGCTCAGGCTGTACACCGCGTTCATCTACCACTACAAGAAGTGGGCGGCGAAGATGCTGAAGCAGATACGCGACAAGCTACCCCATGAGCAACGACTTCGGCACGTCGACGAGATCGGCCACTACATCCGCGACAACAAGAAAAAGGATTGGTGCAACGAGAAAGTGGTCCGCCGACAGTACATCTGGCTGCACGGCCCTAGGGTCACCGAAACCCGGCTGCGCGCCTACGTGAAGCAAATGAGCCGTGAGTGTAACCTCATTGTTGACCAGCCCGGGGAGGAGAACAATGCCACGGGAACGGGGCCTGCGAGGTCGACAACTGTGCACACGATCCTCGGGCGCATAAAGGCATGCCAGATGGCGGCGAGGGTGGAGGCGACGCTGTACCGAGAGAAGGAGCTGGGCATCATGAGGGAGATCTCGGTGGTCGGATCGGAGGTGCGGTTCAACATGCGCCACAAGAACGAGAGGGACATCAAATAAGTTGGTCGACAACCTTATTCTATATCACTGTGCACTGTGAAGTCGACGCAGTCTAACAGATTTTCCCCGCCGATTTGCATTCAGGAACTACGCCGACCGCCGACGCGGCACCATCGGCAATACCTACACCGCCGAGCAGTTCTGCCAGATCATGATGAGGGTGCTGCCGACATGGGCGGCGGCGGCGTGGAACCCGCGGGCAACCACTCCGTCGCAGACGCTGTGGCGATTCCTGCTCGTCAAGGTGCTCACGCTACTCTCCCACCACTCTCTCCTGCGCGCCGCCAGCATCCGCGAGATCACGCTCCCCGCCGTCTTCTTGTACCACCCGGCGAGCACCTCGGAGGTGAACCCGGATAGCCAGCCGGTCGTCATGGTGATCGCCGCGCGTAACTCGAAGACTTCCAAGGATGCCCGTCTTCAGCAGAGCTACGCGGCGCGACACCTGGAAGCGGAGCTGTGCGCCATCGGCGAGACCGGCCTGTGGCTGCACTTCATCCTCGACCAGATCGGTTAGTTCTCCGGCACCGACTTCCTTCCGCCGCTTGACACCACTGAGCACGAACGCTGGTACAAGAAGCATCTCTTCTTCGCCAAAAACAACAAGGAGCAGGAGGAGCTCCCCGCCGCCACCCACCAACGTTGGACTCGGCAGATGTGGACGACCAACAAGGTGTTATGCAAAAGGAACGTGCACGCCGCCCGCGCCGGAGGTGCGCAGGAGCTAGCCATCGGAGGGACTCCGCGCGCGGAGATCGCCGAGCTGGGACACTGGGCTCTCAACAAGATGACGCGTGCGTACATCACGGCCATTCCCGTTGGGGTGGTGATGCGGAAGGCCGGCTACTCGGGACTCAAGCAAGACTACTTCTTGGGGCGCAGCAGGGTCGAGCCCTCCGACAAACTCCTGGACCTGCTCGCCGAGCACATCTTCCCCGGCGTGGATGCTATGCTGCGCGATGTATGTCACGCGACGCCGACAATGTTTTCCAGTCGTCGTGGCCTAGTTGGCTGCCCAGCTCCCTACTAACCCACGCCACTTTCCGACTTGGAGGCGGAGACGCGTGCCGTCAACGGGAGCGACGCCGACAAAGCCGCAGTGCACTTCTTGCGCACCCTCGTGATGTTCCGACGCATCGTCGCCGAGGACCTCGCGGTGAAGCTCGTCTGCACATCGTGGCACCCGTACGTCCAAGGTTCCAAGCTCTGAAGGATTGCCCTCTTCCAGCACTGGGCGAAAAGGGTCGAGTCGGTCGACACCGATACGATCAAAAAGCGCCGGGACCCGACTCAGATTCAGCCGGAGGTGAGTTGCCGACCATGTCGGCGTCGTTGAATTTTAGCCGGTGAATTCTAACCTCTTGTCGCCTTTCCGCACACTCAACATTGCAGGAAATATCCATCCGCATGGACACCCAGTATCACAACATGTCCCTCAAGGAGGCGCTGAAGAAGGAGGTCGAGCGCTCGGCGCTCGAGAAGCTAGGCCTTCAGGAGACGATCGAGATGCAAAACGACACCATTGCGTCGCTCACCGCCGAGCTTGCTCGAGTCACCGAGGCACTCCGTGTGTCAGAAGCCCGGAGGATGCCGGCGGCGCCGCCGTCGGCGACCGATCAAGCTCCGGGCGAGGGTGGCTCCGCGGATTTGGCCAACACGGGGACCGGAGCTAAGAGAGATGATGGGAAACCCCCGCCACCCCCCAAGACGGCAGAGGAGGCCAGATACGAGCTCAACGTGGTGCAACCTTGGCGGGATTCAAAGACCGTGCGGGACGCTTGGCGCCTCTGGAACTCCGCCACCGCCAATGACACCCGTCGTCTTTGCGACAGGGTCACCGAGCCGGGGTTCATCGACTGCCACACCCTCCTCCAAGGCGCGACCCAGGGTGCACTCAAAATGAGGGTGTGCCGCATGCTGAAGGCCATGGATGCGGTGCGCTAGCTACGCGCGAGCGACGGCGATGCCGACACCGAAGCCGTGGTCGATGCACTGAACACGATCGCGGCACCGGGCATTGGGACCTTCTGCGATGCCCTCACGGTGCTCAACCCGGAGACGGCACCGACGATGTCCAAGGAGCCTGGCATGGGCGTCAAGGGGCTTGCCCCCAAGGTGGTCTCGAAGCTACGCCTCGCCTGTGCGCTGGTGGCGCTCGAGCTGAAGCCGACGACGTGGGTCAACCACCTGTTTCTAGACACCTGGGAGGTGCAGATGCCGAAGACCGTGGCCGACTTGGCGAAGCAGACCGCACCTGCGCAGCGTCCTCCGTCAAAGCGCAAGAAGTCGGCATGAAGATCCTTGGTGCATATGTGTTAGCGTAGGTTGTTGATGCCCTAATTTAGCAAACCGTAGTGATCCCATCGTACTTGTTGATGGTGATGCAACACGAACATACATGATCCAACACATACATCCGAACCAGATATGTCGGACTCCGACATAGTCGCCACCATGTGTGTGCAATTCATTGTGCCTTTTTCATGTCGACATCGCTGACTGCATGCAAACGGCGCCGATCACGCTATAACCGAGCAATCATACCACCTAGCGCTCCCTCCGCGCGCCGACTACGCATCCGTGCTGTCCATGCCCGCTCGATATGCGCGTCAAACGGCACATCGATGCCGACCTCCTAGAGTTTCGGCCACCTGGGCGGCGCGGCACATTCCCCAAAGCGCCGACCATTGACCATCTCGGTCTAGCCGACGAGGCTCATCGCCGAGTACATACATGCATACAGCCAGACGCACTATGTCGACACCGTACGACGCCGAGTTGTTATACGCCGACGGGGTTCATCGAACCGGGCCCGCATTTGAGTAACATGGTAGAGATCAGGTCGACCTTGCCGAGGAGTGTTCTAGTAACATGCACTACCAAAAAGTTACAGCCAACAAAAGAAATACGCAACCACAAACGAAAAGAAATCCCAACGAAAAATATACAATCAAACGAAAAAAAATCCCAACGAAACCTACTCAATAGACGCCGCCCATACCAGACCATCCTAGCAAGAAGACCTACTTGCGCTCCCTCCTGCCGCCCATGGCAGATTGTTATGCCGACTACGCCGCCGTGCTGTCCTTGCCCGCTCTGCCCTTCTTCCCCTTCTTCCCCGAGCTGTCCTTGCCCTGCTTGCCCCTCTGCCTCTTCCTCCCCCTGTGTTCGATATCGTACTCCATCTGCGCGTCAAGCGGCACCGCGATGCCGATCTTCCTGAGTTTTGGCCCATCCACGGGGCACATTCCCCAGAACGCGAGGGTTTCCACCGTCGCTCGTGCGATCAGTTTGGCCTCGGCATCAACATCCAACCCCGGATAGGCTTTGGCCAGAGCGGTGGACTCCAGCGCCGGTGCGACGTTGTGCGCAACCTCCCCGAGGGGTTGCTGCCTGCTGATCGCGGCCTCCAGCACCGCCGTCATGACCTTCTTGAACTCGGCGGCGGTAGTCTCGCTCGCGCCGACCAACATCGCCGCCGCCTTCCCTTCGCGCACGGCATCAGCCACCTGGGCGCCGTCGCCCTCGACTAAGCACCACAGGGCGCAAGCGGAGGCTGACAGCGCCTGTGCGACCTTCGCCGTCGTCTGATCCGTGTCGCCCTCCATTCTCGCCGCGGATGCAGCGACCTTCCCATACGCCGCGCACAAGGACACGCGATCAATCATGGCCGACATCATTGCATCCGACTTCTGCTTCCCTTCCTTCGTGTCGGCATCGACGGGGAACCAGATCGCGGGCAAAGGCGCGTCGTGGTGCGCATCGCCTGATGTCTTGTACACTCGATACTTCCCGAGGATATCATCGAACCTGTCACGCAATCACACGAAACTGGCCGTTAGGAACGCCGACGTCGACATCATCGCTTGGCCGACGTTTATCCGACTTACCGTGTCTTTGGGAGGAACGCGCCCCGTGCCCATATCACCGTCCACATCCCAGTCGGCAAGAACCGGACTTCCTTCCACACCGCCCTCCACTGCTTCATCACTGTTTCCTCCAAGCCGGTGAGCTCGGCCATGAGGATCTTGCTGACGTAACCGTCGTACAGGAGGTACACAATCGAGTGAAGGTACGCCAGCTCCATCTTCTCGCGGGACTTGCTGATGTATCTGCTCTCGTTCCCGACCACCTTAATCTCGCCCACCCACCCTTGCTTGTCGCCCGTGGTGTCGTGGCGGATGCCATGACCCTTCCGTTCTTTCACCTTCACCTTCTCCTCCTCCGTCGCCGCCTCCTCCTCCTCCACCTCCGCCTCCTCCACCTTCTCCTCCTCCTCCTTCTCCTCCTTCTCCTCCTCCTCCTCCTCCTTCTCCTTCTCCTTCTCCTCCTCCTCCACCTCCGCCTCCTCCACCTTCTCCTCCTCCTTCTCCTTCTCCTCCTTCTCCTCCTCCTTCTCCTTCTCCTTCTCCTTCTCCTCCTTCTCCTCCTCCTTCTCCTCCATCTCCTCCTCCTTCTCCTTCCCTTTCTCCGACGCCTTCTCCTTCACCATCGCCGTCGCCATCCCCTGTCCTTTCTGCACCGACTTCACCATCGCCGACGTCGCCCGTGTTTTCTTCTTCGAGCTCGGCCTCGCTTTCCCTGCGTCGACCGTCCCCTTCCGTTTTGACTTTCCCGCGCCGACCGCAGCAGTGGTCGTCTTTGGCTCCGCTGTACAACCGGTGGGACTCGCCGAGTCCAAGATGGCCAGCACTGGGGGCTGCTTGGGGCGGTTTACCGCTTCCAACAGGTCCTGGATGGCAGCGATATCGGCGTCGTTGTGGTCCTTCGCCGCCTGTGCAGGGTCAACTGATCCGCCGCCCGTGGCTAGCGTTGCACTCACGCCCTTCTCCGCCACCGCCTCGACAGTAGCCGCACCAAGTGTGTGTGCAGCTACGGTCACCGACGTCGGCGTCGCGCATGAGCTGGATACCGGCTGAGCCTGTGCTGGCACTGCCGCAGTACGTGCGCCTAACCGGGCGCGAAGCAACGCGGACTTTGGGTCCACAGGAGGACGGGCGGCGATGATAGGCGCGGTAGGTGGGGCACTGGACGTTGTGGCGGCGACCTGGGGAGTGACCGAGCGTCGTGCTGTTGTGGCCGGCGCGGTACCGACCACGGGAGGTTGCTGCACGTCCTGTCGATGGGTCTCCATGCGGCTGAGCATCTCCCTGAGCGCGTTCGCCTTTGGGGCGGACGCACCAGCGCGGTTAGCCGCAGCATTCACCGCGTCAACCTTGGCGGCAGACGTGCCTGCTGGTGCTGGAGTAGCCGCAAGGGACGGCCCATCATTGTTGGCGGCTGACGGGGCGACCGGCGCGCTGCTAGCCGCAGGGGGTTTGCTGGGGATCGACGTGATCCCCGCCACTCCGCCGGACGGTCCCTTGACGGTTTTGGCGCCGCCATCTATCGCCGTTGGTGCGGTCGCTAGACTGGCCGGCTTCTCGGCGACCAATGGCGGGGCTGTTGGTCCAGCCTCTTGAGCGGCAACCTGGTCGGCAGGGCCCCCCTCCGCACTCCTGATTCCATCGCCCTTGCTGTGCGTCCTTATCACCTTGGCCCCGTTCTTCTTGAGCTGGTCGACCACGCTCGTACCTCCGCTCCCATCGGCTCCCTTGCTCCGCGAGCCGCCTGGACCCACCTGGCCGACGCCGCGGCTCCCATCGGCTCCCTTGCTCCGCTTCGAGCTCAACGCATCATCTCCGCCGCCCGCCCTTTTCGCACCCTTCTTGTCGGCCTCGTTGTCCGACGGCAACGACCCATGCCGACCAGGCGCCAGATGGCCGATCACCTGGGTCATGAGGTTTAACCCGGACGCAACAAATGACTGCTGGGTGGCCTCAGTCACCGCCTTCAACACATCCGCCTTGAAAGACTTCATGAGCTCGTCCGGGAAGGCTGGCGGTGGGGCGGGCGGCGTGGGCGGCGGGACGGCGACGCGTTGAGTTACCGCGGCGGCGATGTTGGTCTGCGCGGCGACTAGGTGCTTCGATATGTATTCCTCCAATCCCTTCCTCGCTTCGTCCACGTGGTTGCCCATGGCGACGACCGCGTTCGCACGTTGCACCGCCATAAACCCCTCCGGATTCTCTAGATCGTCCAACCAGCACTCCGCCCTCTCGGCGTACGCCTTCATCGCATCCCATGCTTCACCCATGTTGGCGGTGATGTTCTCCGTGACGGTCGTCGCCATGGTCAAGGACGCGTCCATCAGCCGACTCGACGCGTCCTGGTCGGAGGCGGCGACCTGGTCGGCCAACGACCTGAGCTTGTCCACGAGGCGGCCAATCCCCATCGCAAACTTGTCCACCCGACCCCTCTCCACTCCGAGCGCCGTCTCGAGACGAGCATTTTCAGCCCTCAGCCACATGTTCTCCTGTCGCAGCTGCGCGACGACGGCCGGCGTTGCCTGCCGACCAGCTGCTGAGGAACCCGGTTGACGGCCCGCCTCTACCGCTCCACCCCGGCGTTCCACCCCTGCGTTCCCTGTGGTGGTCTCCACGCCCGTCGGCGTCGGGGCCGCGGCGTTATCCTCCTCCTTCGCGTCGCCAACCACATTGCCGACCACGTGCGTCTCCTCCACGCCGACATTCTCCACATCGGCACCCTCCCCTCGCACGTACACAACATCCGCCGACATCCCACCCGTTCCCTCCACCACCGCCGCCGCTCCCTCCACGGCCACCGCCGCCGCTCCCTCAACATCCTCCATCTCGAATTCGACCCAGGGGAACTCTACCTCCTCCTCCCCCTCTTGCTGCTTCTCCCCCTCCGCCACCTGCTCCACCGACCCGAAACCCTGCTCCACGGCCTCCACCGCCGCCGCCTCCTTGTCCTCCTCCTCCTCCTCCTCCTCCTCCTCCTCCTCCTCCTCCTCCTCCTCCTCCTCCTCCTCCTCCTCCTCCTCCTCCTGCCCATGCCCCTGCTCACGCTCCTCACGATCCTCCTCGTTATCATCCTGATCATCGGTGTCATCCTCCTCCTCCTCCTTTTCCTGATCCGCGGTCCTCGCCACAGCCCTTTCTGCCTCCTCATCTGCCTTGTTGACGCCGTCTCCGGCCTCTCCGCTGGTGTCGGCGACACCGACTGCTTGGGATGCCGAAGGGGGCTCCGCGGCGTCGTCGTCACAGGCATCGGCAGCAACTCCGACATGGCCTGACCGTTTGCGTGCGACGTGTTCCTTGATGTATGTGATCATCCGAATCCGCACCTCCTTCAACCCCGAAACGAGGACCTTGTCCATGCTGGTCGCACTGCGACGATCGTCGCCGGTCAGGCGATCCATCCTCTTCACCACCCAGCACAGCGCGCTCATTGATAGGAGGCCAGAGCCTGCGTCGCTGTCCCGGACGGTGTCGCGCACTTTCTGCAAACAATAGAGCAGAGAGCAAGGATGAGCACCGACGGCGGCAATGGCATCGCGCTAGGACGGTAAAACGATCGGTACTCACATCTCGAACGGGTTCATCGCAGTCGGCGAGCCTGTCCGCCACCTCTTCAGCAGAAGGCTTCGGCCACTCCCACTGCCGGCCATCGCGGCCGAGCTCGGCCAGCACCGCCGCCCGGAAAAACCTGAAGCAACATGGCACATATCGTCAGTAGACTTGCTTAACGCCTAGTGGCGAAATTGCATGCGTCGTCGATTACACTATCGAGCTCACTTCAGCACGTGGATCGCCTCGTCGCGGTGCCACTGCTTCACGGTTTGCGGGTCAAAGTGCCGGACAGAGGTCCTGATCGTCTCCCCCCCGGCCCGCAACAAGTCGCCGGGGTACAGGATGACCACGACGCTGCAATGTGCCCCTGGAAGCGGTGCGATGCTGCACAGGCTAGGCACCACGACGTCGATCAGAACGGAGCAGCGACATAGGCATCATGGCACACCATCATGACTTAGGCTCACCTTGAATGCAGAGGGATAACAGCTACGTCGGCGTCGAACACCGTAGCAAAGCATGAGTGGTCTTCCTTGCCCATCGCCGCCCGAAGCCGGCCGAGTCCTATCGACCACAATCGCATGTTGGCCGGCGCCGCACAAATCCATGCGTACCTGCACGCATGCATGGGTAGTAGATGTGTTTGAGGACGTGCACGACACGACGGATGGACACGTGGGTTCTGGAACCGACAACTGACGGGGATGGCGATAGTAGAACGGTGTACCACCGTCGCTACGTTGTAATCAATGGCGCCTACCGATGCGGCCACCGACCTACTGTAGTGATCGGAGTCCGGTGCCGACCTACGGCTGTGTGCGTCACCGAGTAGTGATCTAAACCCGAACACCTCAGCCGAACAAGGTCGTCAGGATGAATTTGCCAGTGTCGTCGAGGGGGGTCGTCAAAGCCTGGGCTGACGGGGCGGAGCACTGACGCGCGTGCGGGCCCGCCAGCCTGGCCCAGGGCTGGGCCGAGCGCACGACCGCCGCCCCGCAGCCCCGCTCCGAATGTGAACAGCGGCCCACGTTACCGGGTGGGGTCAGCGAACTGGCGACAGCTCGCGCGTGGGAAAATTACCCTCGCGCAAAGGCAGCCCACACGTGCCACCTGCCCGCGAGGTCCTAGTAACCCATCGCGGCCTGCCCGGGCGGGCAGGTGAGAGCCAGGCGAAAATTCGGGGCCCCCTCGGGACACTCGACAACTTCGCGACCCGTTGCGGTGACGCCACGTGTTCGCCCGCCTACTTCGCATCGGGCAACATGCAGAATTTGGTACATTGCGAATTCAATTTGGGACATAGCGAATTCGATTTCGATCGCTTCGCGGCGCACATTTTTCGCTTCGGGACGTGACATCGACTTGCTGGCTCGGCGGCGAATGAGAACTTGTGCCACTTGTGCACGAGCCCGCCAAACCCCGCCGAGGCAGGCACCACGAGGGCCGGGCGATGCCTCGACCGTTCCTGTGGGGCACCGACCCCCTTTTCTTGGTGGAAGGGGGTATCGCTCCTCATTTTCGGCATCTCGTTTCCCTTTCCACCTTTTCCCCAGCTCTGCGCCTTCTCCCACATTCACGTCCCTTAGCCTGTAGCCGCTTCCCTTCCCCGCCATGTCGGCCGCCCCGAAAGTCGGCGAAGTGACGCCGACTTCGCAGGACTTCCCTCTGTATCTCGACCTGGGTAGTGGACTCACTGCCAAGCTCGACGAACACGACTACGCCGTCCTCGTAGACCATAGGCTAGAGTTCAACGCCCGTTGCTTGGGATTCGGCCTCAAGTGAGTGTCCGTATTGGGATGTCGACGTCGACCGCTGGATACCTTGCAGGTCGACGTTGTTAGGGTTGTCCCACGTTTTGGTCGGCGCTACTAGTTTAGGGATGATATACCTCAGCCGACGAAAACAGCCGCCCAATTTCGCAGTTGCGATAGGACAACGAACCCCCTCGGGTTTGACGAGCTTCTGACGACCTGCGAGTGGCAAACTGGGGCGAGCTGGCAGTCCTCCGGGGCTCTGAACCCCTCGGGATTGTCGACTATCTGACGACCTCGGGTTTCGCTGAGAGAAACCCGAGAAGGATACCTCAGCGGACCCTGAACCACAGCTCGACACGTCGTGCGCCGAGCCGCGATTACGGCCACGTGGCCTAGTAGGGACGGCCAGGATGCCCCAGACTCGGGGAATGTCGGCGTCGACCAACCCTCCGGCCACGCGCCTACTCGCAGGTCGATGAGGTTTGCGCGGGAGAGCAGGACGCTACGGCATTTCGGGAGAGTGGAACTAGGTGATTGGCCTATTGCACGCGGCGCACGTGAATTCCACCGTGGCAAGGCACCGGCGGGAGTGCCGTTGAGCGCAGAGCGGCGTGACAGTAGACATGCATCGATCGTGACACGTCATGCACGTGCACTGCGGCGCTTGCAAAGAGGGCTGCGTGGAGCGCGGCAGGTGCGCAGTGGCCCGCAACCATACCCCTCTTTGACCACGCACAACGCTCTCATTCTGCCGGTTCAGCTTCGTGTTTCTCTCATGCTCCTGTGCGCCATCTGGCACTTCGTTTTCTTCACAGGACCCTCGCTATCTTTGCGGGTCTAGCTTACTCGACGGCCGAGTCGACCGAGCTGCGGCACTCAGGCGTCGACCTGGAATAGACTTAGGTCGGCACTCAGGCGTCGACGTGAATCACTTCCGTCTCTGGTTTACCAATCTTTCCCTCTTCCACGGCCGGCGGTAGAGCATACGAGCGGTCATGGACGACGTCGACATGCCCGACGTTGGTACCCCAACCGACCACAGTCCGTCATCTGCCCCCGTAGAGACGCTGAAGTTGCTTTACGATCTTGACAAACTGACTCAGATTCCCGAAGGGGAGTACACCAAGGACATACCGAATCCGCCAATAGGGGAGTTTACGAAGAAGTCGACACCGACGTCAGATGGGCAGCCTGGACCTTCGTCGGTGCCGGCCGGCTCGGAAAACCAAGGTGATGACGACGACGAGGACGAGGAAGAGAGCGACGACGAAGTCGACGACCGTCCTCCGCGAAGCACGAATCCGCGCACCTTGGAAGAACGCCTTAGGCGGGAATTTGAATACATACATGACATGCTCGAACAGGACGAGAAGGAGGACAATCAGCACATGGTGGTGCCGCGCGAAAGGTGGAAGGCGACGGACTTTGTAGTGGACGACATGGTGTACTCCAGCATCGACGTGCTCATAATGGACGCCCTACGACACCTACAATGCTTGGAGAAGGATAGCACGCTCAGGCTGTACACCGCGTTCATCTACCACTACAAGAAGTGGGCGGCGAAGATGCTGAAGCAGATACGCGACAAGCTACCCCATGAGCAACGACTTCGGCACGTCGACGAGATCGGCCACTACATCCGCGACAACAAGAAAAAGGATTGGTGCAACGAGAAAGTGGTCCGCTGACAGTACATCTGGCTGCACGGCCCTAGGGTCACCGAAACCCGGCTGCGCGCCTACGTGAAGCAAATGAGCCGTGAGTGTAACCTCATTGTTGACCAGCCCGGGGAGGAGAACAATGCCACGCGAACGGGGCCTGTGAGGTCGACAACTGTGCACACGATCCTCGGGCGCATAAAGGCATGCCAGATGGCGGCGAGGGTGGAGGCGACGCTGTACCGAGAGAAGGAGCTGGGCATCATGAGGGAGATCTCGGTGGTCAGATCGGAGGTGCGGTTCAACGTCCGCCACAAGAACGAGAGGGACATCAAGTAAGTTGGTCGACAACCTTATTCTATATCACTGTGCACTGTGAAGTCGACGCAGTCTAACAGATTTTCCCCGCCGATTTGCGTTCAGGAACTGCGCCGACCGTCGACGCAGCACCATCGGCGATACCTACACCGCCGAGCAGTTCCGCCAGATCATGATGAGGGTGCTGCCGACATGGGCGGCGGCGGCGTGGAATCCGCGGGCAACCACTCCGTCGCAGACGCTGTGGCGATTCCTGCTCGTGAAGGTGCTCACGCTACTCTGACGACCCAGGCTTTGACGACCCCCCTCGACGACACTGGCAAATTCATCGTGACGACCTTGTTCGGCTGAGGTGTTCTGCTTTTCTTTTGAAATTCGCTTGGGTTCATCGCCTCACCCAACCCACATGCTTCCGTGCTTCGGATTTCTGTTCGTCCATGCGCCAACCCATCACCTCACCATTCACTAGGGTTAGAAGCTGGGATACTATTGCCGCCCTCACCCAAGAGTCAGTGATTAGTCGCCGACGAGACTGGAAGCCCAATGTAACAGGCTTTTACGTGACATCATCGTATTAATTTCGCGTGGAGCCTAGTGAACCAGACGCTGCGTAGATTTGTTCGCCATGGCTCCTCCACCACCCGGGAAAGATTTGGCCGATTACACCGCGAATGCGGGGAATGGCGGTCGCGCGGCCCAGCGGCGAGTGCAGCGGAACGTAAACGGGCCCATGGCTGTGATGGCACCAGACGTTTACACGGTATCATACATAAGAACGCTATTTCGGACTCGATACAGCGAAGTTCGATACCATTTGCGGTTGCCAAGCGGTTATTTGCAGTACGATTACTATATCGCCTGTTCCTGGAAGCGTCTCCCATTTTCTTCTCCTTCCCTTCCATACTCCCTCCGTCTCTTCCGTGTCTTTCGCCCTTCGCTGTGAACCGCGTTCACCATGCAGGCTGCCTTCATCCTCATTGTAGTCCTCCTCAACCTGTACAGAGTAAGCCTCTCTTCGCTTTTCAATCTCTCATCGAGCCAGGATCGACTTCTCTTCGCTTGCGGCCATCTCTGCACCTTTAAACGTTCCCGTGTTTTCCCAGTTTCCGAAACAAAGTGTTGCATAATCTCCCATTGCTGTCAATCTTCGCGTGTTTTCAGGCCTCTCTGTGTTGCTGCCGTTGCTGAACGCACCGTAATATACGGGTACCTTGACCTGCCAAGTATATGGTACGTGCCCGAGTGTTGTGAAGCATCCATTTAACTAGGGTATTGTTCATCCACAATCTGGGTGTGCATCATCTAATATTACGTCACATGTAGGTTCTCAGGCGGAGACCATCTTGGCTTAGTGCGATTTAATAACCCTGATTTGTTGTTTGTTTCTTTTGATGGGAGCAGGTTACTATGTGCACAAGCCAATTTGCGCACATCTTGGTGTGTCTAGAACTAGAATGACTTTTGTTTCCCTACTGCTATGTGGCAAGATATCATTATTAACTTTCTGTATAAATGAACAAAATGCCTGGCTGTGGTAGCCTCAAGAAAAGAGGAGTCTATACACTGCACCAGAAGAAAGAGATATTGGTCATACTTCCACAGAAGTGAAAGTGACGATCGTGGATAAGCTCCACTCTGCATATGGCTGGCATCTGGCCTTCCACCGACTGGCATGCCACATGAGGACGCGTTACCTCTTTCAAAACTGGCTGGGTCGGTGTGCACATCGGTGTGCCCACTTGCATTTTTGCGATCGCGGGGCTCCACCGAGCCAGCGCTGGGAGGGACGGAAATTTGTGGTGCAAAATAGCCCGATCGCCTCAATTGCATTATCGATCGTCGGCTTTGGCACATCGATCTCGTGAGCCCTAGGTGACACCTTCGTGGTGACCAATTTTCTGTACATTTTCGACGGTTCAAGAAACGTGGAAACATACTTCGTCAACTCGCATAAGCCTTGTACGCGTGACACACCGATCGTGTGGACGATCGATCGCCCTCCTGAAGAAAGAGGTGACGCGTCCTGAGACAAATTCCACTCTGCACTGCCATTCTTGCGCCATTCCTACATTTCTGCATTTCGCTTCACAGCTCTCTTGACTCAGCCATGGCCCGCACTCACCGGATCGCCTCATCTCAGCTGTCCGCATTTCTCCTTTTCCTACTCGCGGCCGCGTTTTCTTCCTGCTCCGATGCGCGCATTCGCATCCCGCGCTTCCCGGGTTCGTTCCACAGGCAGCAGAAAATCCGGGCGAGCGCGCACATAGATAAGAGCGGAAACATCTATAACGAAGTTGCCGCGTCCGGAGCTTCGGCTCGCGGCAGTTACGCCTGGAACGCCTCTTACTTCACCCAGAATCTCGACCATTTCTCGTTCACCCAGTCGAGCTACGCCACGTGGCAGCAGAAGTACATCTGGTGGGACGGCGCGTGGGGCGGCGCGGAGAGCGGCGCGCCGATCTTCGTGTACTGCGGCAACGAGGGGCCGATCCAATGGTTCATGGACAACGCAGGGTGGATCCGCGAGATCGCTGTCGAATTCGGCGCGCTTGTCGTGGGACCCGAGGTGAGCCGTGCGTGTTCGCGCAACGCTCGACACGCCATAATTCTTTTATCGATTCAACTTATAAGTCGACCCGAAAGCCGCCTCGTGAAAGTCGCTCTAGTCAATAGTACAGTCACTCAGTGCTACACGACGCGTTTTCATTTCTGTTGAAGGCGACAATGCTAGTCTGCTATTTCGAGTCCGCCATTACTCGATCTTGTTCCACCAGCGTTCAGATCTGACCTCGTTTCGCCTGAATTCCCTTGTCCACCCCCACGTTACAATAACACCCAGCATCGGCGGTACTTCGGCGAGTCAATGCCATTCGGCTCGGGAAAGAAATCCTTCAGCAACGCGTTGACTAGGGCGTTTCTCACCACACCACGGAGCAGGCCATGGCGACATGGGGACTCTTGTTGAGGCGCCTGAAAATAACACTTCTTCCCCCCCTCCTCTCCCACCTCACTTCCCCCTTCCCCCCCCCCCCCCCCCCCCCCCCCACTCCCTCTCCCCTCCCTCCGTCCCCTTTCCACACGCCCCCCCGCGTCACAATCACATCCAGCGCCGGTAGTACGGCGAGTCGATGCCATTTGGCACGGAAAAAGAATCCTTCAGCAACGCGTCGACTCGCGCGTTCCTCACCACAGAGCAGGCCATGGCGGACATGGGGAATGTTGTTGAGGCACCTGAAAAAACACCCTTTCTTTCCCCCTCCCTCTCCCCCCGCACCTCCCCTCGACCCCCCCACCCTTCCCACCCTTCCCCCGTTATTATCATATCACATCCAGCACCGGTACTATGGTGAGTCGATGCCATTCGGCTCGGAAAAAGAATCCTTCAGCAACGCGTCGACTCGTGCGTTCCTCACCACAGAGCAGGCCATGGCGGACATGGCAGTGCTTCTCACGGCGCTTAAGGACAACTTATCCGCGCATGACTCGCCCATCATCCTCTTCGGAGGCTCCTACGGTGGCAGTAAGTACTGCTGCTCTTTCTTGTTCCCTCTGTAAGTCCTCCCTGAGCTGTGCCTGGAGTCCTCACAATGGAACAGGTCATGGCGGACATGGCAGTGTTCCTCACAGCCCTCAAGGCGAACCTGTCCGCGCATGACTCTCCCATCATCTTGTTTGGAGGCTCCTACGGTGGCAGTAAGTGGCTTCATTCCTTCGGTTCCTCCTCGTCTTCCTCACCACAGAACAGGCCATGGCGGACATGGCGGTGTTCCTCACAGCGCTCAAGGGGAACCTGTCCGCGCATGACTCTCCGGTCATTCTATTTGGAGGCTCATACGGCGGCAGTAAGTGATGTTTCTCTCTTTCAGTAGAGTTCACTGCACTAGCCCATCCCATGGTTCCTCTGCGCTTCACAGCGGAGCAGCCCATGGCTGGCAGCACAGGGCGTTGTTTCTCACAGCGCTCAAGGGAAACCTATCTGCACATGATTCTCTAGTCATCCTCTTTGGAGGCTCATATGGCGGCAGTAAGTGGCTTCTTGCCTTCCCTCAGAACGAGCCTCACATCAGAGCAGGCTGTGGTGTGGTCAACAGCAGCCCGTGGCGCACGTGGCATTGCTTCCCACGGCGCTCAAAGGGAATCTATCCGCGCATGATTCGCCCATCATCCTGTTCGGAGGCTCATATGGCAGCAGTAAGTGGCTATGGTCAGCAGCACCATGGCGGACATGGCGTTGTTTCTCACAGCGCTCAAGGCGAACCTATCCGCGCATGACTCGCCCATCATCCTGTTTGGAGGCTCTTACGGCGACATTAAGTTGCTGCTTCTTCTCTCCTGCCCAAAAAGAGCCTCGAAAGAGAACAGCCTGTGGTGAGCAGCCTATGGCGCACATGGCAGTGCTGCTCACGGGGAATTCACTTCGCACATGAGTCGCCCATCATCCTGTTTTGAGACGTCTCGAAACGCTTTTTTCTACACGAGCCCATGGCGCACATGGCAGTGCTGCTCACAGTGCTCAAGGGAATTCTGCACATGACTCATGTACGGAGAGAATTCCGTAGAGCTCATGACTCGCCCATCATCCTGTTTGGAGGATCCTATGGTGGCAGTAAGCGGCTTCTTTTTTTCACAACAGAACAACGTGTCCACCATGTTCCTCCTTGTCCTCTTCACAACAGAGCAAGCCATGGTGAACATGGAGTTGTTCTTTCACAGCCCTCAAGGGGAACCTGAGTGCACATGACTCTCCGGGCATCCTCTTCGGAGGCTCCTATGGCGGCAGTAAGTGGTTTCTTTCCTTCAGTTCCTCTTCACAACAGAGCAAGCCATGGTGAACATGGCGTTGTTTCTTCACAGCCCTCAAGGGGAACTTATCCGCACACGACTCGCCATCATCTTTTTTGGAGGTTCCTGTGGCGGCAGTATGTGGCTGCATACGGAGCTACTTGGGGGGCGAAAGCTAGGAAGGAGCACGAGGAAGGAGCTCCGTGTGCACACGAGGAAGGAGCTCCGTGTGCACAGCACAACTCGTGTGACCGCCGCCCAATTCGCCGCCAAATCCGCCGCCACCACCTGCATAATGAACTCCCCCCCATAAAGTGTTCATTTCTTGGTCTGTAGAATTTGATTGCAGGATTGGGGTACTACTTCTGCTTTTGAGTCGACTCGATTGCAGGATTGGGGTACTACTGCTTTTGAGTCGACTCGATTGCAGGATTGGGGTACTACTTCTGCTTTTGAGTCGACTCGATTGCAGGATTGGGGTACTACTTCTTATCTCGAAGCACTGCCCTTGAGTACTTCTTTTTCTTCTGTCTTGTCTTTGGTGTTTTTTTCTTATTTTGTGTTTTCCAGTGCTGGCAGTGTGATTCCGCCTCAAGTACCCACACATAGCAGCAGGCGCCATTGCAGCATCTTGTGATGAGCCGAGCCTACGGAGTCACCTCAAAAGTCAACACAAGTCCCAATGTTTTTCCTCCCCTTCCCTCGTCTTGCTTCCCCCAGTGCTCGCAGCATGGTTCCGCCTAAAGTACCCGCACATAGCAGCAGGCGCCATCGCAGCATCGGCACCCATCTTGCAATACGAGGACATTGTCCCCAGCGAGACCTTCTACCGCATAGTGTCACACGACTTCAAGGTGGGTGGGTGTGTGACTATAACAGGTATGGCAGGTTGCTGTGGGCATGGCAGCCTGTTACAGCATCTGCCCCCATCCTGCAGTACAAGGCCATCGTGTATACTTTCTACCGCATAGTGGCACACGGCTTCAAGGTGGGTGTTGGTGGGAGGGGGAGGGGGTATATCACCTTGGTTCATTGACTGACACCCATCCTGCAATACGAGGACGTCGTGCCCAGCGATACTTTCTACTGCATAGTGGCACACGACTTCAAGGTGGGTGGGTGCTGGTCGAGTCTGTGTGTGTGACTCCAATGGGGACAGGACAGCTCATCGCAGCATCAGCGCCCCATCCTCCTGCAGTACGAGGACATCGTGCCTAGCGATACCTTTTACCACATAGTGTCACACGACTGCAAGGTTAGTAAAGGGACGGAGGGAGTGGGAGGAAAGGAGTGCGAGTATAGGGGCATGACATCATGTTGCAGCATCAGCACCTATCCTGCAATATGAAAACATTGTGCCTAGCGATACCCTTTACCGCATAGTGGCACATGACTTTGAGGTGGATGGGTGTTGCTAGTAGCTCGGTTCATGCCAAGAAATGCTCTCATATGCTATCCACCCATCGCACGTCATGCCATGCAGACAAAGAGCAAGAGCCGCTTCGAGTCCATCGAGATCAGCTTTTTGCCCCTTTTCTCTGTGAATCTGATGCAATATATTGCCGTCATGTTCCATGCCATGCCACGCCATGCCACGCCATGGCACGCCACGCCACGCCATGCGATGCTATGCCATGCTATGCCATGCCATGCCATGCCATCCTGTCCCATGTCATGCCATCCTGTCCCATGCCATGCCATGCCATGCCACCCCATTCCATGCAGATAGAGAGTGAGAATTGTTTCAATGCCATCAATAGCAGCTGGGCGGAAATCAGGGAGGAGGCAGCAGCTGAGGGAGGGCTTGTACGCCTCTCAGAGCAGTTCCGCCTGTGCAGGTGAGGCGTGTTAGTGGGGCGTGCAAGGATGCAGGTGAGGAGCAAGAGAAACACCCTAGACGGGTAGTACCCAAGTGGTTGCCATAGCTGGGCGGCCATCAGGGAGGAGGCAGCAGCTGAGGGAGGGCTCACCCGCCTCTCAGAGCAGTTCCGCCTGTGCAGGTGAGGCATATGAGTGAGGCCTGCCCCCAGTGCACGCTGACTCCTCCTCCCATCTCCCATCCTCCTCTTCTCCTCCTCGTTCCCTCCCCCCTCCCAGTCCCTTGACTGACGCAGATGAATTGGTTGATTGCGTGAGGACCACCACTCTTCATCTTCCCTCCCAGCCCCTTGACCCAAGGAGAGAGACTGATTCAGTGGCTGGAAATTGATGGCATGTACATGCCCATGGTGGACTATCCAGTGCCCTCGATCATCTTCTCCTCTCCCCCTCTCTGCTCCCTATCCTCCTCCCAGTCACTTGACTGACGCTGATGAACCGATTCAGTGGTTGGTAACAGCTTACATCTACATGGCCACGCTGGACTACCTCGTGCCCTCTTATCAGAGTCCTTTTGTTCCCCTCCCCGCTGACGAGCTGATTCAGTGGTTAGAGACGGCTTACATATTGTAATCGTCACCATTGCCATGTATGTTGTAAGTCTGTGTTCTAACCACTGAATCGTCCTCCCTGCAGCCGCGAAACGGTGATCATGCTACTGCTGGAACCATAAGTCATTTGTCAGCTCCTACCCTACTTACGGATCCTGCCTACAGCCTCCTCATCGCGGCCGTTTGCAAACGTTGACATACTCTGGCTCGCCGTCCGGTCTCCATACTCCTTGTGAAGGAAGGCATTGTCGTTTCGCTCCAAGATTTCACCGATGCCATTAGGTGCTTCCCCAACCTCTCACATCTGCACATCAGCGATGACAGCGTAGAGACAATGAACGACGCCTTCATCGATGTCCTAGCGTCGTCATGCCCTAAACTGGTTTCCTTACACGTGGAAGATTCGATCGTGCTGCACGAGTGGGGCAAGCGGGTGAACGAGCATCCGGTGACCGAAGCTGGATTGGACCCCTTCATTCGTCGCTGCACTCAACTACAGCACCTCTCGCTCTACTGCTTGCATCCATACGGCAAGCTGCCGGATGCCCTCTCGCTGCTCGCCAACCTGCACACTCTCGTTCTTACGGAAGCCTCGCCTCTTGAGGCCCCTGGATTTTCGAGGCTGTTTGCTCTCACCTCCCTCTCCATCGACACTACCGACCCCGAAAATTTGAATCTCTCGAGCCTCGCGCATCTCCTAGCCTTAGTGACCCTCTACATCCACCAGGCGGAATGTCTGAAATTGGAAGGTGCCGATTCCCACCCCCTCTCGTTAGCTCGGGTGCCGTCACTGAAAGCGTTAGGTTTCGAATTGCGCAGTCTGCCGTTCGAGCAAGTGTTTCCGCCAAGAGACTCGTTCCGTAACCTCGAGACGATTGTTTTCAAAGAAAGCGAAGGTCTCGAGCGTCTTACTGACCACATCGGAGAGCGACTGCCACTCCTTTGCGATCTGATCTTGTGTAGTTACGAAAAACTCTCCGAGCTGCCGGAACAGTTCACTTCCCTTAGCTGCCCAGAGCATTTGACGATTTCCTCGTGCGCCATTGTCAAGCTGCCCGCTCTAAAGGATCTGAGGCTACTCCGCCTCCAAATTTGAGTCTCCCAGATTCGTTCTACCAGCTGACAGCTTTGGAAACCCTCCTTCCAGTTGGACAGAAGATGGTCTCGAAAATCCTTGGGCCTCAAGAGGCGAGGCTTTCGTAAGAACGAGAGTGTGCAGGTTGGTGAGAAGCGAGAGGGCATTCGGCAGCTTGCCGTATGGATGCAAGCAGTAGAGCGAGAGGTGCTATAGTTGAGTGCAGCGACGGATGAAGGGTTCCAATCCGGCTTCGATCACCGGATGCTCGTCTACCCGCCTGCCCCAATCATGCGGCGCGATCGAATCTTCCACGTGCAGGGAAACCAGTTTAGGGATGACGACACGAGGACATCGATGAAGGCGTCGTTCATTGTCTCTACGCTGTTGTCGCTGAGGTGCAGATGTGAGAGGTTGGGGAAGCACCTGATGGCAACGGTGAGACCTTGTATTGAAGCGACAATGCCTTCCTTACAAGGAGCATGGATACCTGACGGCGAGCCAGAGTACGCCAGCGTTTGCAAACGGCCGTGATGAGGAGGTTGTAGGCAGGATCCGTAAGTAGGGTAGGAGCTGACAACGGACTTAGGGTTCCAGCAGTAGCATGATCGCCGTTTCGCGGCTGCAGTGAGGACGGTTCAGTGGTTAGAGATGGGCTTAGAATATACATGGCAGGGAGGACGATTCCAATGCTGACGAGCAGATTCAGTGGTTAGAGACGGCTTACATAAACATGGCAATGATGGAATACCCCACGCCTCCCCTCTTCCCTTCCTCCTCGTCTGATCCCTGATCCCATCCTCCCCAGTCTCCTGACTGATGCAGACGATCTGATTGAGTGGCTGTATACGGCATACATCTACATGGCCATGCTGGACTACCTCGTCCCCTCTGACTTACCTTCCCCTCCCTCCTCGCACCCTTTACCCCAGTCCCTTGACCAATGCAGACGACCTAATTGAGTGGTTGGAAACCTCCTATATCCACACGGCAATGGTGGATTACCCCGTGCCCCCAACTCTCTGTCTCCTCCTCCCCACTCTTATCCTCCTCTTCTCCTCCCAGTCCCCTAACTAACGCAGACGACTTGATCGAGTGGCTGGAGACAGCATATGTATACATGGCCACGCTGGACTACCCCGTGCCCTCTGACTTCCTCATTCTCCCCCTCCAGCATGACTTCCCTTCTCTCTTCCCGCCTTCGATCTTCCTCTCCTCCAGCTCCCTGACTGATGCAGAGGTCTTGATTGCATGGTTCGAGACAGCATATATGTACATGGCAAAGGTGGACTATTCCGTGCCCTCTGAATTCCTCTTTCTCCCCTCACCCGTCCTCTCCTCTCCTCCCTCGTGGCCCTCAGCCCGTTGACCGATGCAGATGATCTTATCTCATGGTTGGAAACGGCATACATCTACATGGCAATGGTGGATTACCCAGTGCCCTCTGATTTCCTCATGCCACTGCCCGCCCACCCCATTCGAGAGGTACGCATTCGGGAGGTAGCCTTATGTCGTAATATGGGGGTTACTGAAAATAACCTGCATGGTTTGCCCTGGTGGACTACCCAGTGCCCTCTGAATTTCTCATGCCGCTACTCGCCCATCCCAATCGAGAGATGTGTTGTGAATATGTTTTATTGAGAATTCACATGGTAACCTGCATGGTCTGCCATGCAAAAGGTTCAGATGTGGTTGCATCAGTGCGCATGCCTTTGCACGTTCCCGTGCCTATGCATATGCGCATGCGCATACACAAGAATTGAAATTATGACCTTTGACCTGGTTTAACTGGCATCACTTTTGAGAATCCTCAAATTTGGCCTGGCTTTCGTTAGCATTACGCTCCGCAGCTATATGGAAATCACTTTTGGAAATTCTCAGAAGTGATTTCCGCAGCTCACACCGCCCATGTGCCCTCCCTCTCCCCCTCCCCCATGCCCTTCACCATGTCCTCAGCTGTGTCGACGAGTGGACAGTCTCCTCTCAGGTGCTGACCTTCTCGATTGCATCTATGCCGGGGTGGGCGTGTAATCCAGCTACTCATGCCCAGAGGCGTGCTCTAACACGCCCTGCTCTCCCCCACCTTGCACCATCCCATCCCATGTGCCCTCAGCTGTGCAGGCGCGTTAACTCCCTCCCCTCAGGTGCTGATCTTCTCGATCGCATCGCTGCCGGGGTGGGCGAGTATTACAACTACTCAGGTACCCAGGCAGCGCACATTTCCACCCTTCTCCATCCTTAACCCCATGTTGTTCCCCGTGTGTGCTCAGCTGTGTCGGCGAGTTGACAGCCTCCCTGCAAGTGCCAGCCTTATTGATCGCATCGTTGCTGGAGTGGGCGTGTATTACAACTACTCGGGATCTGAGTCGTGCTTCAGCGTTGGCGATACGGATCCCCATGACATGTCCAATGGGTGGGACTTCCAGGTACGGTCAATGGTTGGGTGGGATTACCAACTATGCTATGGTGATTGCATGAGCGTCTTGGTTTTGTTTTGTTTTTTGTTTTTTGTTTTGTTTTGTTTTTGTTTTTTTTTTTTCCATCCCCTCTCCCCCTTACTTCCACCACCCCAGGCATGCACGGAGTACGTAATGCCCATGAGCAGCAAAGCCAGCAACAGTCTTTTCTCTCTTGCTCCTCATGCCTTGCCCCACTTGTCGTCCTTCATTTCCCCCTGTGATCATCCCACCAGGCATGCACGGAGCATGTGATGCCCATGAGCAGCAGCACCAGCATTGGTCTCTCCTCTCTTCCCTGCCACTCTTGCCTTGCCCCTCTTGTCTCTCGTCTCCCCCCCATTCAACAAACCAGGCATGCACGGAGCACGTGATGCCTATGAGCAGTAACGCCAGCAACAGCCTTTTTGAGCCGTTCGAGTGGAACCAGACGGCCTTTGAGGAGAACTGCTTGCAGCAGTACGGCGTGCCTCCCCGACCCACGTGGGCCATGACCCAGTTCGGTGGACGGGTAAGTTGCTGCACCGCACCACACCGCACAGCAGTGGATTGCACCAAATAACACCCCACCGCACAGCGCGACAGAGCAGCAGCAGTCTGTTTGAGCCGTTTGAGTGGAATCAGACGGTCTTTGCAAAGCACTGCACTCAGCAGCACGGCGGCGTGCCTCTCGACCCACCTGAGCCATGACCCAGTCCGGTGGACGGGTGAGTTGCTGCACTGCACCGAACAGCACAGCACGACACCACACCTCATCGCACCAAACAGCACGACATCATAGCTGCTTTAAAGCCAGGGTCTCATGTACGGGCTGGCCGTGCAACTGCAAAGCTCTTGGGCGAAAAGTGGGCTCTTTGGAGAGTCTCGATTTGTCAAAACTTTGGCCCGAAATTTGTAAACCAATCAAACAGGCCCGTTTTTCATCGACTGCAAAGCACTTGGTCACTTGAGACCCTGGCTTTAAAACCTCCCCCCGCCCCTGCGCCCTTCCTGTCCACAACACACCCAACTCTCTCCCCCACCCTCCCCATCCAGCCCTGTTAGTCCATCTGCTCAGCCTTGCACCACTTGGTCAGCAACATCATGTTTTCCCAAGGCCTCCCAAAGCTAAAACCCTAAAGTCTTCCCGCCTCCCCTCGTGCCCAATCCTCCCCCCCATTCACAGTCCATCCGTTCAGCTCTGCGCCACTTCGCCAGCAGCATTGTGTTCTCCCAGGCGGTTCTTGACCCCTGGAGTGACATGTCCCTTAAACCCGAAGCCTTGTGTCCCCCTCCTGCCCTCCTACCCTCCTCCCCCACCCCTCCCCCCCCCACCCCCCCCATTCACAGTCCATCCGTTCAGCCCTGCGCCACTTCGCCAGCAGCATTGTGTTCTCCCAGGGGGTTCTTGACCCCTGGAGTGACATGTCCCTTAAACCCGAAGCCTTATGTCCCCCTCCTGCCCTCCTACCCTCCTCCCCCACCCCTCCCCACGTCTTCCCCATTCACAGTCCATCCGTTCAGCCCTGCGCCACTTCGCCAGCAACATTGTGTTCTCTCAGGGGGCCCTTGACCCTTGGAGTGGAGGCGGGTGAGCTGCCATTAATATCAATCCTTCTCCTTTCGTCTAGAAAACTAGTACTGGTGTGTCAATGTATCAGTTGAAATAATTCCAGTAACCTTATGTTTTCGTTTAAATTTACTTCTGGCTTTTTATGTTCAAAACCAGGATGCGGTGTGTTTATTTCAATGGAAAATCAGTTTTTTTTAATAATAATAATAATAATTATTATTATTATTATTATTATTCGAGTAAAACAGAGACTTGTGACTTCATTACTTTTGTAAGTGGCATGCTTGCATAAAGCATTCTGTGTTGTTTTACGTATTGTGATGCACAGTTTTGGTGCACAAGAAGTTCCAAGATTTTTTGTATATACAATAGGGATGACACGTGAAAACATGGGTTGCGTGCAACAAACATTATTGCTTTGCAATCACTTACGAGTGACAATAAAGCTTCTTCAAAATTGCTTCCAGAGTCTCTTATCAGCGTTTGCAAAAGCAATGATGCTTGTTGCACACAACTCTTTTCTTTCTCGTGTCATGCACTTCATGCTTCAGCACCTACCTGACATTCAAAACGTCTTATTATGAACTCCAAACCCTACAGCAACCACCCCTTTTATTCAACACTGGCCCTCCGCATGCCCTGAATCCCTTCCCACCTTTCTCCTACCACTCCCTTCTCTCTTCCCCTTCTCTCATGCCCTGCCCCTCCTCAAACACTGCCCCTCCTCAAACAACACTGGCCCTCCGCATGCACTGGCCCTCCGCATGCCCTGGCCCTTTTATTCCTTTTATGATACTCTCATGCCCTGAATCCCTTCCCACCTTTCTCCTGCCACTCCCATCTCTCTTCCCCTTCTCTCTTGTCCCCCTCCCTCTCACCTCACCTCCCCCATCCCCCCCTCTGTTTTGTGCCCTCTTTTTCCTATCCACCTCGCCCATCTCCACCAATCAGAGTGCTCGAAGACCTTTCAGACACCCTAGTCAGCCTCACCATTCCTGACGGTAGGTTTGTTGTGACCCAGCCAAGAAGAAATTGTGATGGTTGTTTCATTGTTACCCCAGTTATAGAGCCATTCCTGTGTTTGAGACGTTTCAAAAGTAACCCTAGTCAGAAGTGTTTGAAGAAGTGTTTTGAGACGTCTCAAAACCCTAGTCAGAATCTCCATTCCTGAGGGTGAGTTTGTTGTGGCCCAGCCGAAAAGTAATTCCAGTGTTTTTTTCTGTTTCTTTCTTGCAAAGCCACGACGTCCCTCCTTTTGTTACTCTGGTTCGCATTTTTTTTTTTTAGCTTCAATCATGCCCTTCATTTATTAAACTCATCACCACTTGACCTACATTTGCATATGCATGCCTGATTTTCCTATATCCACACCTCCTCCCCTCCCCCAGGTGCCCACCACCTGGACCTAAGGGCGTCCACCCCGGATGGAGGAGATGCGAGAGCAGTGATAAAAAATAAAGCGTTTCCCCTCCCCTCCCCACTCTTACCCAACCTGCCATGTTTCAGGTGCCCACCACCTGAACCTAAGGGTGTCCACAGTCCACCCCAGATGATTTCCCTTCCGTGCGGAAGCAGAGGAAGGAGGAGAAGAAGCACATACAGAAGTGGATCAAGCAATGCATCCCCCTCTTCCCCACACCTTATTCTCCCTCCCAGGTGCCCACCACCTCGATCTAAGGGCGTCCACCCCAGCTGACCCCTCCCCACCCCTCTCCACTCCTCCCCTTCTCCCCCATGTGCACACCACCTCGACCTAAGGGCGTCCACCCCAGCTGACCCCCCTTCGGTGCGGAAGCAGAGGAAGGAGGAGAAGAAGCACATACAGAAGCGGTTCAAGCAATGCATCCCCCTCTTCCCCACACCTTATTCTCCCTCCCAGGTGCACACCACCTCGACCTAAGGGTGTCCACCCCAGCTGACCCCCCTTCCGTGCGGAAGCAGAGGAAGGAGGAGAAGAAGCACATACAGAAGTGGCTCAAGCAATGCATCCCCCTCTTCCCCACACCTTATTTTCCCTCCCAGGTGCCCACCACCTCGATCTAAGGGCGTCCACCCCAGCTGACCCCTCCCCACCCCTCTCCACTCCTCCCCTTCTCCCCCAGGTGCACACCACCTCGACCTAAGGGCGTCCACCCCAGCTGACCCCCCTTCGGTGCGGAAGCAGAGGAAGGAGGAGAAGAAGCACATACAGAAGCGGTTCAAGCAATGCATCCCCCTCTTCCCCACACCTTATTCTCCCTCCCAGGTGCACACCACCTCGATCTAAGGGCATCCACCCCAGCTGACCCCCCTTCCGTGCGGAAGCAGAGGAAGGAGGAGAAGAAGCACATACAGAAGTGGATTAAGCAGTGGCACAAGGACAGGGAGGAGGCAAAGAAGCATGGGAGGAATGGCCTTCGTTTCAGGTAAGGTTTTCCTTCCATCTAGCAGTTTCTCATCCTCGTTTTCTGTCTCTCACTCATCCTCCTTATCCTTCTCTTCCATCCCACTCTCCCGTCCCTCTTGCAGCTTGCTCTCTTCCTATGAAGGACGTCTCCTCCACCTCCCTCGTCTCTCTTCAGCCTCACCTCTCCTCTCGTTGTGTCCTTCTTGCCTTCATTTAATGACTTCTCTCGCTCTCTCCCATCCCCTGTTCCCTTCCCCTTTGCAGCCTGCTCTCTTCCTTCTAAGACGCCTCGTCCACCTCCCGTGCTCACTTTGCTCTCTTTCACAGCCACGTGAAAGGAGTGTTTTCAAAGGGAGGTGAAGGAGACGTCTCAAAACACTCCTTCTTTCACGTACCTCCCGTGCTCACTTTGCTCTCTTTCACAGCCTCTTGCGTCATTATTCCTCCTCTCTTCCATCCCGCCCCCTCTCTTTCCATTCCCCCTTGCAGCTCGCTCCCTTCCTTTGAAGACATCTCCTCCACCTCCCTTGCTCTCTTCATCCTCTCTCTCGCCCTCCTCGCCACATCCGTCGCCGTATCCCTCTCTGCCACTCGCTGGGCACGACCCATTGCCACCACCTACTCACCCGCATTGCGCCATCGGCTCATGGGGGAGAGGCAGTGAGGCAGGAGGCAGCGATTATGCCTCCCTGTGACTTTTGAGTCGACTCAAAAGTGAGGCAGGAGGCAGCGATTATGCCTCCCTTCCCCTCTCTCGCCCGTCTTTCATTAATCGTGATTCATCTATTGGGCAAGCCCATCCCATCGGCTCCAGCTGCTCACCCCCATTTCGCCATCTGCTCATGGGTGGGAAATTGTGAGGCAGTGCGGCAGGGAGGCAGGGGGGCAGGCAGAGAGGATGGCAGGTTGGCAGGGTGGGAGGCAGGGAGGCAACGAATAATTGATTATGCCACCCCCCAACCTCCTTCTCTTCTCCGGGCATGCCGCATCACTCCCATCCTCTACACTGTGCAACGTTTCCCATTACAGCGTATGCTAGCATGCCAGGCAGACCAGCACAGGAGCCTGAGCACGATATGTTGATAACTGTGCTCGTGTCTGCAGCTTTTGAATTAGCTCTTATGATGGTAAGGTACCTCTTGAAGAACCTGTGCGGAAGTTCTGTGGAATGGGAACCACTGAATTTTTTAGGCAATGAAGAAATGGATGAACACAATTACTTCATGTCTGCAGTTGTTTGCTTCTCCGACCTCTTTGTTTGAGTCTAACCCACATTATTGTCTTGAACCTGCACATGACTGAAATTGACAGCCAATGCTGCAAAAGCCAGGTTCATACCAGTTGATACTATTGACAGCTAACATTAACAGGTGGTAATGACACCTAGCCAAGGAATAAGGTGTGTAATACCGTATGAGTAGGAAACTTCCTCCCTACAATACTGCGATGGGACAGTGGTCACGAATACAAAAAGATATTGTTTGCAAATATTTGTAAACATCTAACCCTAGAAAGTCCGATTGCACCACGCCTTATTCCGCTGTTGGCCACGGCATTCGAGATTGCAGTTTCCACTCCAATTGTCGCGTCACTTTCTACGTCCCATGGCTGGGTGGGGTACGTTGTGCTGACTGCATTGCATTCCTTCAAAGCTCACATGGAATGCAAGCCTTGCGTTTTGGCTTGGCATGCGTGCTCAAATGGAATTGGTGCTGGATGGATATTGCATACTGATGAGCTTCGTTCTGGATGGTGGAAGCACGTAGACACCATCTGGCGTAACATTCTGCCACGAGTCGCATTTCGAGAATGTGCGGTTCAAAGTCGGCAGACGAGTCGCGGAAGTTTTTTAGGGGTTGAATGCATTTTGCCAAATTTGTCCGCCGTGGGATGCGGAAAGTTGCCAATTGCACCACGAAAGAAAGAAACCGCACGGTTGAGTTGAGAACTTGAGTTGAGAACTGTACAGTTTGAGAGATCGTAGCGCGTCAAGACATGACCTGACCAGCACGTGAACATCGTGAGGGAGATATTCTGCATTGGTAAACGAATTCCTCACTCCAACTCCTCGGTATAAAACGAATTAGATACAAGAGTGCTTCCGGTTTTACTGGGAACAGCTTGTAGAAGCTAGCCACGCTAATATCTTCACGGTAATAGATCATGTGCTCCAACGATTTAGGCAAGTCCACATTGACCCGCATCTACTGCAGCAAAGAAGCGAAGCAGATAATACAGGAGCAGATGTCGGGAACCTTTCCAAACCAGCCCGACCGAAGCAAGTAGCTGCTCTATATCCCTAAACCCTCAACCAGCTTGATACTGTCATTAGGCGCAGCGCGACGCTGTTGGCCCATATTGCAGTAGCTTAGGAGGCGAATGCGCTTGGTTTCGGCGTTGCATGCACTGACGACCGCCACGTCCCGCAACTGGCGTAGATCGTAATGCCTAAGACTAAGTACTACGCGGTTCGGAAGGGACACCAGCCAGGGATTTATCTGACGTGGCCGGAATGTCAACGACAGGTAAGCAGCTGTAGTAAGGTATTTCATTACGTGGCGTTTCGGTTTGCTAGGTATTCTATCTTTGCTGTCTCGTGCTGTTCAGTTCGGTTCTTCATGCTATAGCACGGTTCCCTCGCATTGCTGGCCAAGAACGCAACACACACCGAACACAACCGTGTTAGATTACTCGAAAACGAACGTCCTTTTCTCACCCCCAGGCCACCTCTCACCCTAAACCCAAGCCCAGGCGACAACAATGCAGGTTCTCCTTTTCCTTAGTTTGAGAGCTCTCAAAAAACGGAATCAGCATATATACACACACTGTCCAGTCCAGTCCACCATATCGAGTATACAATGTCCTCGTTATAATCTCTCCCAGGTGAATAATTTCAGAGGCAATGAGTACAAGAGTTTTGAGACGCTGGATGAAGCCAGGTCGTACCTCGCCTTGGCTAATGTCTCTTCGCCCTTCACGCAACCCGCGGAGGCTCCAAGTCACGCCTTTATGCCTGCTGCTGCCGCTACTGCTGACCCGTATACCAGTGCTTCTTCAAATTACTCCTTTACGCCCTCTGCTGCTGCTCCCGCTACTGCTGCTATTACTCTTTTTGCTGTCGCAACAGGGGTATACGATGGTGCTGGTGAGTGCTCAAGTGCCTAGTTGTTTGTTACTACCAGTAACTCCTATCTCTTTTGATCAAGAGGTGCAACATGTTTTGCTGCGGCTAGGGCCAGCATTCCCATTCCCATTCCTGCTGCTCAGCGGACCGGCTTAGTAACCGTTTCTTCAGTTCGACTCTACAATCTGCTTCATGGTTTCAGTACTTTCAAGTTTCCACTGGCATATAAATACACAACACAGCCCTTCCCCCCCATCCCTACTCACTTCCACTCACTACCTTCCTCTCTCCTCTCGTTCTCCTACTCTCCCTCCCCACTCACTCGAGCACTTTCGTTTCTCTCCTTTCCCTTCTTCCTCCCTCCCTCTCCACTCCACCCTAAGAAGGTTTCTGAAAACACCCTCCCACTTTTCCTTACCCTCCCACCTTTCCTTTTCCCCTCCCTTTCTACCCCACCCCATCATAGGAGGATATGCAGAGAGCCAGGGAGGAAGGGGGTGGTCTGCTGCAGGAGGGAGGGATGGGAGGGAGGGAGTGGGTGTGGGGAGGGAGGGGGGAGCGAGAGTAGTGGGAAGGCAGGGGGCTGTGAGGATGAGGAGAGGGGAGGACATGCGACCAATCGTAGCATCACTTGGACTTCAAGTAGACCCTCAGGTGAGTCTCAGGTGGATTCTCAGGTTAGTTTCCTTAGTCATTCAAAGCAACCCTTCAGTCAATTCAAAGGTGGGCTGGAAGTGAGAAGAAGTGAGGACATGCGGCCACATGTAGAGAGCCCCAATTCACAATTTGAGATTCACCTTTCATCCCCCCCAGGCGCTCTACCGCATGGAGTTTGACGGCGCCTCCAAGGACCGTTCTGCCTACTCAACGCCCTCCTCCTCGCAACGCGCCTTCTCGCTCCTACTCCATGCCTCTTCGAACCCCCCCCAGGCACTTTACCGCATGGAGTTTGACGGAGCCTCCAAGGGCAACCCGGGGCGGGCAGGGGCGGGGTCTGTGCTTCGGGATGAACATGGCAACGAGGTGAGTCTGTTGGGCTTGGGGTGGGCTGAGAGAGGTGGCCTTTCGAGTAGCAGCAGCAACCCGGGGCGGGCAAAGGCGGGATCTGTGTAGTGGGATGAACGCAGCAACGAGGTGAGATGGAGGGGCAATGAGGTGAGGCTGTCGGGCTTTGTTTCGGGAAGGAGGTGCGTTTTGAGTCGTCTCGAAAGTATATGTCCTGTGGGACGAGCGGGGTAAAGAGATGAGTTGAGTCGACCATTGGAGTGTGGGACCCCTCATACCCGCCCTCCCTTCCCTCGCCCCCCTCCATACCCCACATCACCTGCCAGTTGGTGTGCATGAAGGAGGGAGTGGGGCACGGCACGTGCAACATGGCAGAGTACCGCGCGTTCATAGGGGGGGTGGAGCTGGCTCTGGCTCTTGGGATCACACGGCTGCATGTGCAAGGAGACTCCATGCTCGTGGTCATGCAGGTGGGTGGGTGAGGATCATGCTCATGCATCTGATGCTCATGCATCTCATGCTTATGCATCTCATGCTCATGCATCTCATGCTTATGCTGGCACTTGTGCATGCATACCCACCTGCCCCCTCTCCCCACACACACACCACTCTTACAAACTTTTACCTACCCCCCTCCCCCCCCCCCCCCCCCCCTCCCCCAAACACACACAAATACACTTACAGGTGCAGGGCAAATGGAAGGTGAATGCGGAGATGCTGCGGGAGCCGTGCAGGCAAGCACAGCAGCTGGTGTGCCGGCTCAGAGAGATTGCCATCCGCCACGTGCCCAGGGTATGTGTCACACATTAAGAGAGGGGAGGGGCACACAGGGTGATGTTAGTGTTTGGGGAGCAGGGCAGCAGCACTGCAAGCAAACACAGCTGCTGGTGTGCCTTTCCAGAGAGATCGCCATCCGCCACGTGCCCAGGGTAGGTGGGGAACGGAGAGGTTTTGAGAATGTAGTTTAGCCACTATGCCGAAGGAAGTCGGAACGTGATGCATGCACACGGTGTTGGTGTTGAGGGGAGGTCGTGATTCGTGTTCACACACTCAACTCAATATCACTCTTTTGAGCTGAGTAGGGTATGTGACCATAAATGGACGTACATGCATGCTATTGTGCTGGTGCAGTGAGATTGAAATTTTGCAGAGTCATCTTAGCACAGCAAGCAGGCTCTTTGCCTGATAACTATGTTTGGCCGTTTTGCCATATCGTGCCATTGTTGCACTAGTGCATCAGTTTTCCACATGTCTATCACCTCCTTTGCCACCCCTCCACGCCCCTCATCACCGCTCACCACCTCCCAGGAGTGCAACCAGTTTGCTGATCGACTCTCCAATGAGGCGGTGCCTCTCGCAGGTTAGTCAAACCAGTTAAAGCCAGCTAGTCGTGTTTCTCACTCTTAGAGCCGTCACAGTCTTCACGTGCAAGGTCTTAGCCAGTTCCTCTTTTGGGTCGACTAAAAGTTCATCCCTTAAGAGTTATCTTAATAATGTGTAAAGCTCGTCTCTTACGCAAGGCCATGCTCCCTACAGTTCTGGCAGCTTTTTCGGAACTGCACCACCCCCCTTCCTTCATTCTGTCACGATTATCCTATCCTCCCATTATCCTCTCACGATCCCTTCTATCCTCCGCTATTGCGTTTGCTATTTATTTTCAGCACCCAACCATCCCTCTCTCCCCCACCCTTCCTCCCCGGGGCCTCCTCCCTTCCCTGGGCATCCTCCCTATGTTTGTTTTTTTCCAACCAGAGGGAGAGCGGGTAATCGACCCCTCCACCTCCACCCACAACACCCACCCTCTCCACGGCTTTACTGCCCACAGCACCACGGCCGCCCTCTACTCGCCCTATTAAAAAGGAGCCTCAAGAACAGCATCTCTAGACTTGGGCGCCCGCCCAAATTCCACCCATAAACGCTGTCAGGCTGGCACAACAGCTCAAGCAGACGAGCTGCACACTAGATTAGGCCTCCCGACACTTAGCAGTGACTTGGATTGTTCCTCCCAACCTTCTTCTTACGTCTGCCACCTGTTTGCCATGCCAACGAATCTGCCACGTTCTTTCTACATCTGCCACATCACCACAGCTGCTGGTTCACTTTGCTGCACTGTGCACTCTCATGAGGGAGAAGGCAGCGATAACATGATGCTCCCTTCCCTCATGGGGGGGAGGCAGTGAGGGAGTGAATGAGTGGGAGTCAGGCTATGGGGCAGTGGGACAGTGTGGGGCATAGTGGGGCATGGGGCAGTGTGGCCGTGGGGTAGTGGGGCAGTAGGGCAGGGGGGCAGTGTGGGCAGAGTGGGGCAGTGTGGGCAGAGTGGGATTGTGAGGCAGTGGAGCAGCGGAAAGAATTTTCAAATATTATCAGGGTTAAACAAATTATACGGTAGTTTGTACAAATGTAGTCTAAATAATGACTCTCAGCAATCAGCTATTTGCCTTCAATGTTGTACATTCAGTTTCTGTCAGGCAACATACAGGAATGCCACAAACCCTAAATTCTAGTAAACATGTAGCTCTAATTGTGTACAAAGATAGTGGGTTGAATTTAAGATGGGACGTGGATAGATTCATACTATTTATGGTATTGGTATGTGCCTACAGCTACCTACATGCAGCATACATCGTCTTTCTTTATAACTTACACAGAGATTGGGTGGGGTGTAGAAAGTGAACTGTGAACGGTGCTAGTGTTATTGCTAGCCAAATCAAGCAGCCACCATATGGCCATTACTGTGAGCCGACTTGCTCACAGCAGTGCGCAATGTGTAAAGACCCGACACAGAGTCCCAGAAGAACGTGGCAAGATGTGCTCCACTGGTACTGTCCGTACAGATTGCGAAGTCCTCGTATGCAGGAAACGTGGTGGTGACATGGAGGTCTTGAAGATAACCAACTTCCACCCAATTCCTGGAGGACGAGTGGACGTGCAAACCTGTGACAACCAAGATCCGCTCACCATCAGTGGTGGAGAGCCAAGGTGAAACGCACCCCTTAAAGATCGGAGTGGCTACGACACCAATGGTGGAGGCGATGGCGCGAAAGAGGGCCTCGATCTTAGCGAGACTAGTTTCAAAGAGATCGATAGTGAGGTGCATGGGGTGCATGGCGAGGAGAGCGTCGCGAGCAGGCGCAAAGCAATCAGGGAAGCAGGCTGCGATGAGGTATACTGTGAGATGCATATACGGAACCTGGCTAACAAGCTGGGAGGTAGCGCAAGCTGCGCGGTAACTAGCGTCAAGCAAGCGCAGGTGGGTAATAAGGTCTGTGACAGTGGAGAACACTGGAGGATTGGAGAACAGCAAAGCCAGTACGAGGCGCAATCGAGTAGCAGGCGAGTGGGTGGAGTAGCGAGCAATAATAGCATCAAAACACTCCTTTGCCATCCTGAAATGACGAAAGTGCACCCACTCGGTCGGCGGGAGGAGGCGAATAAGGGCAAGGCGCGCAGCAGCGTCACGCGACTCCCAAATTCTGTATGCAAGTTGGAACACGCGGTGAGCCTCCTGCTCTGCCGATGCGGCCTCAGCAGCAAGAGCAAGAAGACGCTGGGGAGCAGGTAGCTCACCCGACGCGTATGCGTACAGGGTGGCATTACCCTGGAGCTGGCTTCGCAGGTGGAGTGTGGCGTTGAGCAGCCATGCGTCAAAGTCGACCGCCCGCCCCTCCGCATCGAGCCGCAGCATTAACCCGGACGCCATGGTAGGAGTGAGAAGAGGTACAGCTTCAGCGGAGGGAACTACTACCCGCTCGCCCTCTGGTTGGAAAAAAAAAAGGGGATGGAAAGAAGCGGATGGGAGGGAGGAGGGAAGGAGGAATGGGGAGGGATTGGGAGCGATAGAGAAGGATGAAGGAGGATGGATGGAGCGATTAGAAAACAGTGAGAGGTGCATGAGGAAAGGACGACCAATCGTTGGAATTGTCAGAATATTATGTTTCTCTAGTCTGTAGTGGGGTACTCTATGGTGAGTACAACCCTTTTAGGGTTGGCTATATGTATCCCAATGTTTGCTAGTGAATTCCTCCTTCTCTTCTTCACATTCTCGTTTCATTTCTCGACATGTTATCAGAGTGGTTTTTATCCTATGACCTAACTTTTTCCGCTGCTACTCTGTGTACTGCACGCCCCGTGGCGTGCCCCTTCGCGTCGCCCTTAGCGGCCTCTCTCCAGGCCCCTCGCGGCCCCTTCGCGGCCCCGTTGCCGCCCTTCCAGGCCCCTCGCGGCCCCTTCGCGGCCCTGACGCCGCCCCTTTCGCGCCCCGTCGCCGCCCTTCCAGGCCCCTCGCGGCCCCTTCGCGGCCTCGTCGCCGCCCCCAAGCGGCCCCGTCGCCGCTCCTATCGGCCTCGTCGCCGCCGCCAGCGGCCCCGTCGCTGCCTTCAGCGGCCCCGTCGCCGCCACTTGCGGCCCCGACCCCGCCCCGGCCATGCCCCGTTGCCAGCCGCGGCGCACCGGGGGCACGTGCACCCCCCCCCCCCCCCCCCTTTTCCCGTCGCCCGTCGCGGCTCCTTCGGGGGACCTGGGGGACGGGGGCGAGCTTCGCCCCTTCTGCCGCCTGCTTTGGCGCCCTGGGAGGCTGCGCGTCGGCCCTTCCTCCCCCCCCCCCTTCCCGCACATCTGAGTTTGCTTTCCGCACACCCGAGTTCGCTTCCCGCACGCATGTGCACGCTTCGCGCACACCTGAGCTCACTTACCGCACACTCAGGGTACGGGGGTGGCGAGTAGGGGGTGGCGGGTGTGTGGTCTCCCCTGCTCCTCCTCCTCCTTTGTCTCCCACTGCTGCAACTGCCGCTGAGGGGGGTGGGTGTGTGGGAGTCGACGGAGTGGTGCTAAGGGGTGAGGTGTGAGTGGACCTAGGGGTGCAGTAGGGGGTGTGTGAAATGGGGGAGGGTTAGTTTGGGGAGGTTGAAGGGGGTGGCCGCCGTGAAACCAGCAGCTCCAATCGCCCGTGAGACCATTGCGCCAGTCGCCCGTGAGCCCGTTGCGCCAGTCGCCCGTGAGCCCGTTGCTCATGTCGCCCGTGAGTCCGTTGCTCCTGCCGCTCAGAGTTAGCCGCGGAGCCAGTTACTCTAGTAGCCCGTGTGCCAGTTGCTCCAGTTGCCAGTGTGCCAGTTGCTCCAGTTGCCCGTGTGCCAGTTGCTCTAGTTGCGCCGAGTGCTAGCAGCTTCAGCTGCCGCCCACTACCTCCTCTCCTCTCATAGTCCCTCCTCCTTCACACTTGCCCTCTGCGATAGCCTCTAGCTTTGCTTACATTTGTGAACTTTAAACTGTTGCTTCTTGTACTTGTGCTCAGAATGTGTGGTGACATTGTGATCCACCCTGAGCTTGTTCTGCTTTGCTTGTTGTGCTGATTACACCCCACTTTGACTATGGGGGTGTGTCAGAATATTATGTTTCTCTAGTCTGCAGTGGGGTACTCTATAGTGAGTACAACCCTTTTAGGGTTGGCTATATGTATCCCAATGTTTGCTAGTGAATTCCTCCTTCTCTTCTTCACATTCTCGTTTCATTTCTCGACATGAATTTTAATGGAAAAAGGAAGGGGGTGGATCTAGGAGTGGAGGGGTGGAAAGGAGGGGAAGGAGGAGGAGGATGGGGGTGGAGAAAAGAAGAGGGAAATTGTTGGCACAGGCTATTGTTTACAAGAAAAGGGATAATAGGGAGGGGAGAGCAGAAGGGATAAGAGATGATGCTGTGATGGATGAAGGGAAAGGAAGGGGGGTGGAAGGATGAGGAGAAAGTAGGTGGTTTAGGCCGCAAAGGCTGCAAAGGCTGCAAGGCCTACAATCGTTAGACCCTGGCTTCAAAATATGGCTTTTTGGTTGAAAATCTTGGAACTTACTTGTGAAGTTGGAAATGATACAAGCTCGTCCTTATTTTTCCTTTTATAAGCTTGACATATAATTGTGACATTGTAAGGAGTGAGCAATAACACTAGTTGTCCAGGTCTGACTAACTAACCTGCGAGAGGAACAGCCTCATTGGAGAGTCGATCCGCCAACTGGTTCCACTCCTGGGCGGTGGTGAGGGGTGACAAGCGTGACGAGGGAACGTAAAGGGGTGGTGATCGGTGGTGTGCGGTGGTGAGGGAGGTGCGTGGGAATTTGATGCGCTAGTGTAAGAATGGCACAAAATAGTTCATGTTTACAGTCCAAGAATGGCACAATCAAAGAACGGAGCACGTGTGCACGAGCATGGCACAATCCAAGAATGTCTAGCACTGAAAAAGCTACCATCCAAACAGCACTGAAAAAGCTACCAACCAAACAGCACTATAAACAAACGTTGTCGCCCTTGCACTATGGTCACAGTATGTGCATGCTGTGTTGATACGACTGTGCCTTGCTGCTGATTTTTTAGACGCCTCAAAAATCCGCGTGCAGTTGAGGTGGTTTTTTTGGCGCCTCAAAAAACAGTCACAGTATGTGCTTGCTGTGTTGGCATGAATGCCTTGCTGCAATTTCATTCAACCGGCACAGCAGCTTGCATGCATCTCAACGGATGGCCACTACATGCCTCACTCAGCAAAGAAAAAGAGATGTTAAATGAGCGAGAACTTGAGTGTCTGAACCCTCACACTCATGAGTCACGACCTACTCTCTCCACACATCAACATATGCATCACTTTCACCAATTTTCTCAAGCCTCCCTCTTCACCACCACCTACCCTGGGCACGTGGCGGATGGCAATCACGTTGAACTGGCACACCAGCTGCTGTGCTTGCTTGCAGTGCCCTACTCAACCTAGCAACAATTTCCTCCACCACACTGACTCCCTAGTACCACCTACCCTAGGCACGTCGCGATTTCTCCGAACTGGCACACCAGCTGCTGTGCTTGCTTGGGGACCTGCTGAGTGCATGTGCTTGCCTGCACGCCCCCCTAGCATCTCTGCATTCACCTTCCACTTGTTCTGCACCTGTGGGGATGTAAGTAGAGGGGGGAGTGGCATGTGCGAGGCTCGAATGGATCCGTGAGTGCATGTGCTTGCCTGCACGGCTCTCTTAACATCTCCACATTCACTTTCCATTTGTTCTGCACCTGCGGGGGTGTGGGGAAACGGGGAGTGGCCTGTGTGCGTGCATGTGTGTGTCTTTGCATGTGTCTGTGTGCATATACTTGGATGGCATGCATTCAATCGCCGTTCAAGGGTTGCGTTTAACAAGAAGCAGAAAAAACACACTCAAATTTCTGCAGACATAGCTGCGGGCATGGTTAACGAGACCATTTTGTGAAACGTGACCGTCAGCAGCAGCCGAAGCCAACGAAGAGCAGAATGAAGGAGAATGGGGTGATATCGAGGTGACTTTTGAGTCGACTCAAAAGTCGCAAGCCTAACGACACCACATTGTGAAACGTGACACCACCACCAGCAACTGAAGACACCAAAGAACAGGATGAAGAACTGGTGATGTCGGCGGTCTTTACTCGACTCAAAGGCGGTGCGATTGATTAAGACAGAAACACTGGGAACCAGAAGATAAAAGTTGTGGCGAAGGGAAGGAGGGGGATGCATGCCAAGGCAACGAGCATGGGATTGATTTTGATCTCACCATCCTCACCCACCCACCTGCATGACCACCAGCATGGAGTCTCCTTGAACGTGCACCCGGGTGATGCCGAGTGCGAGTGCCAGCTCCAAACCCCCTATGAACGCACGATACTCTGCCATGTTGCACGTGCCGTGCCCCACTCCTTCCCGCATGCACACCAGCTGGTGGGTGGTGTGGTGGAGGGGATGGCGGAGAAAACGGAAGAGGCAGGAAGAGGAGGGAGGGGCAGGTGGGGATGTAGAATAAGGCCTGTCTCGATTCCACCCCCCCTATGAACGCGCGATACTCTGCCACGTTGCACGTGCCGTGCCCCACTCCTTCCCTCATGCACACCAGCTGGTGGGTGGTGTGGTGTAGACAGGGGGAGCTCAGGGAAAAAGGAGGAATAGGAGGGAAAAAGGAGGTATAGGAGGGAAAACGGGTGGAAATTGCGAAAAGGAAGGTGGGGGGTCCCACCCACACTCTAAAGGGCGTCTCACCTCATTTTCTCGCTCGTTCCACATGTAGTAAGTCGATGTTTGAGTCGACTCAAAAATCGTTCCACATGGCATCTTTCCCAAACCAAAGCGCGGAGTCTCTCACCTCGTTGCCATGTTCGTCCCACAACACAGACCCCGCCCCTGCCCGCCCAAAGTTTCCCTTCCCACACAGAAGCACGCCTAGCCCTCCCCAAAGCGCACCCTTCCTCCTTCCCCAACCCCTGCCTCACCTCGTTGCCACGCTCGTCCCACAACACAGACCCCGCCCCTACCCAATGCCCGCCCGAAGTTTCCCTTCCCACACAAAAGCACGCCTAGCCCTCCCCGAAGCGCACCCTTCCTCCTTCCCCAACCCCTGCCTCACCTCGTTGCCATGCTCTTCCCACAGCACACACCCCGCCCCTGCCCGGCCTGGGTTGCCCTTGGAGGCGCCGTCAAACCCCATGCGGTAGAGCGACTGGGGGGATGTGAGTTGGAGGAGGGGTTGAGGTGTGCGTTGAGGGGAGCAGGACATTAAGCAGGCAGCACATGGGATGGATGGCAATGGGTCGGTTGGCCTTGGCAGCTCCGTCAAACCCCATGCGGTAGAGCGCCTGGGGGGATGTGCGTTGGAGGAGGGGGTGAGGTGTGCGTTGAGGGGAGCAGGACATTAAGCAGGCAGCACATGGGATGGATGGCAATGGGTCGGTTGCCCTTGGCGGCTCCGTCAAACCCCATGCGGTAGAGCGCCTGGGGGGATGTGCGTTGGAGGAGGGGGTGAGGTGTGCGTTGAGGGGAGCAGGACATTAAGCAGGCAGCACATGGGATGGATGGCAATGGGTCAGTTGCCCTTGGCGGCTCCGTCAAACCCCATGCGGTAGAGCGCCTGGGGGGATGTGAGTTGGAGGAGGGGGTGAGGTGTGCGTTGAGGGGAGCAGGACATTAAGCAGGCAGCACATGGGATGGATGGCAATGGGTCGGTTGCCCTTGGCGGCTCCGTCAAACCCCAGGCGATAGAGCGCCTGGGGGGATGGGAGTTGGAGGAGGGGGTGAGGTGTGCGTTGAGGGGAGCAGGACATTAAGCAGGCAGCACATGGGATGGATGGCAATGGGTCGGTTGCCCTTGGCGGCTCCGTCAAACCCCATGCGGTAGAGCGCCTGGGGGGATGGGAGCTGGAGGAGGGGGTGAGGTGTGCGTTGAGGGGAGCAGGACATTAAGCAGGCAGCACATGGGATGGATGGCCATGGGTCGGTTGCCCTTGGCGGCTCCGTCAAACCCCATGCGGTAGAGCGCCTGGGGGGATGTGAGCTGGAGGAGGGGGTGAGGTGTGCGTTGAGGGGAGCAGGACATTAAGCAGGCAGCACATGGGATGGATGGCCATGGGTCGGTTGCCCTTGGCGGCTCCGTCAAGCTCCATGCGGTAGAGCGCCTGGGGGGATGTGAGTTGGAGGAGGGGGTGAGGTGTGTGTTGAGGGGAGCAGGTCATTAAGCAGGCAGCACATGGGATGGATGGCAATGGGTCGGTTGCCCTTGGCGGCTCCGTCAAACCCCATGCGATAGAGCGCCTGGGGGGATGGGAGTTGGAGGAGGGGGTGAGGTGTGCGTTGAGGGGAGCAGGACATTAAGCAGGCAGCACATGGGATGGATGGCAATGGGTCGGTTGCCCTTGGCGGCTCCGTCAAACCCCATGCGATAGAGCGCCTGGGGGGATGTGAGTTGGAGGAGGGGGTGAGGTGTGCGTTGAGGGGAGCAGGACATTAAGCAGGCAGCACATGGGATGGATGGCAATGGGTCGGTTGCCCTTGGCGGCTCCGTCAAACCCCATGCGGTAGAGCGCCTGGGGTGATGGGAGTTGGAGGAGGGGGTGAGGTGTGCGTTGAGGGGAGCAGGACATTAAGCAGGCAGCACATGGGATGGATGGCAATGGGTCGGTTGCCCTTGGCGGCTCCGTCAAACCCCATGCGGTAGAGTGCCTGGGGGGATGTGAGTTGGAGGAGGGGGTGAGGTGTGCGTTGAGGGGAGCAGGACATTAAGCAGGCAGCACATGGGATGGATGGCAATGGGTCGGTTGCCCTTGGCGACTCCGTCAAACCCCATGCGGTAGAGCGCCTGGGGGGATGTGAGTTGGAGGAGGGGGTGAGGTGTGCGTTGAGGGGAGCAGGACATTAAGCAGGCAGCACATGGGATGGATGGCAATGGGTCGGTTGCCCTTGGCGGCTCCGTCAAACCCCATGCGGTAGAGCGCCTGGGGGGATGTGAGTTGGAGGAGGGGGTGAGGTGTGCGTTGAGGGGAGTAGGACATTAAGCAGGCAGCACATGGGATGGATGGCAATGGGTCGGTTGCCCTTGGCGGCTCCGTCAAACCCCATGCGGTAGAGCGCCTGGGGGGATGTGAGTTGGAGGAGGGGGTGAGGTGTGCGTGGAGGGGAGCAGGACATTAAGCAGGCAGCACATGGGATGGATGGCAATGGGTCGGTTGCCCTTGGCGGCTCCGTCAAACCCCAGGCGATAGAGCGCCTGGGGGGATGGGAGTTGGAGGAGGGGGTGAGGTGTGCGTTGAGGGGAGCAGGACATTAAGCAGGCAGCACATGGGATGGATGGCAATGGGTCGGTTGCCCTTGGCGGCTCCGTCAAACCCCATGCGGTAGAGCGCCTGGGGGGATGTGAGCTGGAAGAGGGGGTGAGGTGTGCGTTGAGGGGAGCAGGACATTAAGCAGGCAGCACATGGGATGGATGGCCATGGGTCGGTTGCCCTTGGCGGCTCCGTCAAGCTCCATGCGGTAGAGCGCCTGGGGGGATGTGAGTTGGAGGAGGGGGTGAGGTGTGTGTTGAGGGGAGCAGGTCATTAAGCAGGCAACACATGGGATGGATGGCAATGGGTCGGTTGCCCTTGGCGGCTCCGTCAAACCCCATGCGATAGAGCGCCTGGGGGGATGGGAGTTGGAGGAGGGGGTGAGGTGTGCGTTGAGGGGAGCAGGACATTAAGCAGGCAGCACATGGGATGGATGGCAATGGGTCGGTTGCCCTTGGCGGCTCCGTCAAACCCCATGCGATAGAGCGCCTGGGGGGATGTGAGTTGGAGGAGGGGGTGAGGTGTGCGTTGAGGGGAGCAGGACATTAAGCAGGCAGCACATGGGATGGATGGCAATGGGTCGGTTGCCCTTGGCGGCTCCGTCAAACCCCATGCGATAGAGCGCCTGGGGTGATGGGAGTTGGAGGAGGGGGTGAGGTGTGCGTTGAGGGGAGCAGGACATTAAGCAGGCAGCACATGGGATGGATGGCAATGGGTCGGTTGCCCTTGGCGGCTCCGTCAAACCCCATGCGGTAGAGTGCCTGGGGGGATGTGAGTTGGAGGAGGGGGTGAGGTGTGCGTTGAGGGGAGCAGGACATTAAGCAGGCAGCACATGGGATGGATGGCAATGGGTCGGTTGCCCTTGGCGACTCCGTCAAACCCCATGCGGTAGAGCGTCTGGGGGGATGTGAGTCGGAGGAGGGGGTGAGGTGTGCGTTGAGGGGAGCAGGACATTAAGCAGGCAGCACATGGGATGGATGGCAATGGGTCGGTTGCCCTTGGCGGCTCCGTCAAACCCCATGCGGTAGAGCGCCTGGGGGGATGTGAGTTGGAGGAGGGGTTGAGGTGTGCGTTGAGGGGAGCAGGACATTAAGCAGGCAGCACATGGGATGGATGGCAATGGGTCGGTTGCCCTTGGCGGCTCCGTCAAACCCCATGCGGTAGAGCGCCTGGGGGGATGTGAGTTGGAGGAGGGGGTGAGGTGTGCGTTGAGGGGAGCAGGACATTAAGCAGGCCGCACATGGGATGGATAGCCATGGGTCACTTGCCCTTGGCGACTCCGTCAAACTCCATGCGGTAGAGCGCCTAGGGGGATGTGAGTTGGAGGAGGGGGTGAGGTGTGCGTTGAGGGGAGCAGGACATTAAGCAAGCAGCACATGGGATGGATGGCCATGGGTCGATTTCTCTTGGCGGCTCCGTCAAACCCCATGCGATAGAGCGCCTGGGGGGGATGTGAGTTGGAGGAGGGGGTGAGGTGTGCGTTGAGGGGAGCAGGACATTAAGCAGGCAGCACATGGGATGGATGGCAATGGGTCGATTGCCCTTGGCGGCTCCGTCAAACCACATGCGGTAGAGCGCCTGGGGGGATGTGAGTTGGAGGAGGGGGTGAGGTGTGCGTTGAGGGGAGCAGGACATTAAGCAAGCAGCACATGGGATGGATGGCGATGGGTCGGTTGCCCTTGGCGGCTCCGTCAAACCCCATGCGGTAGAGTGCCTGGGGGGATGTGAGTTGGAGGAGGGGGTGAGGTGTGCGTTGAGGGGAGCAGGACATTAAGCAGGCAGCACATGGGATGGATGGCAATGGTTCGGTTGGCCTTGGCGACTCCGTCAAACCCCATGCGATAGAGCGCCTGGGGGGATGTGAGTTGGAGGAGGGGGTGAGGTGTGCGTTGAGGGGAGCAGGACATTAAGCAAGCAGCACATGGGATGGATGGCGATGGGTCGGTTGCCCTTGGCGGCTCCGTCAAACCCCATGCGGTAGAGTGCCTGGGGGGATGTGAGTTGGAGGAGGGGGTGAGGTGTGCGTTGAGGGGAGCAGGACATCAAGCAGGCAGCACATGGGATGGATGGCAATGGGTCGGTTGCCCTTGGCGACTCCGTCAAACCCCATGCGGTAGAGCGCCTGGGGGGATGTGAGTTGGAGGAGGGGGTGAGGTGTGCGTTGAGGGGAGCAGGACATTAAGCAGGCAGCACATGGGATGGATGGCAATGGGTCGGTTGCCCTTGGCGGCTCCGTCAAACCCCATGCGGTAGAGCGCCTGGGGGGATGTGAGTTGGAGGAGGGGGTGAGGTGTGCGTTGAGGGGAGCAGGACATTAAGCAGGCAGCACATGGGATGGATGGCAATGGGTCGGTTGCCCTTGGCGGCTCCGTCAAACCCCATGCGGTAGAGCGCCTGGGGGGATGTGAGTTGGAGGAGGGGGTGAGGCGTGCGTTGAGGTCAACTACAGCTGCTTACCTGCCGTTGGCATTCCGGCCACGTCAGATGAATTCCTTGCTGGTGTCCCTTCCGAACCGCGTAGTACTTTGTCTTAGCCATTACTAGGATTGCGCCAGTTGCGGCACGCGGCGGTCGTGAGTGATTGCAACACCGCAACGAAGCGCATTTGCCGCCTCAGCGACTGCGATACGGGCCAACAGCGTCACGCTGCGCCTAATTATGGTATAGTGGTTGGAACAGGTGCGGAATGTGACAAATGGAGATTGTTTACCCCCTGGAAAAACTGCATGCAGTTCCAATCCAAATTCCGGGGCGAACAGCTGAATACGGCGTGGTACGGTACATTTCGAATCTGCATGAACTATTCTAGGGTCACACTAATACAAATATTTACTCACACTATTATGTATTTATGTCACTGACCCAGTCTTGCAGGAAACACTCTCCTACTCATATTACAGAGTCTTGGCTAAGTGTCACTACCACCCTACTGATGTGTACTGCCAGCAAAGCGTATCAACTGTCATGGACCTGGATTTTGCAGCATTGGCTGTGACAAATTCTGTTCTCGTCAATCCAAGATAAGCAGACAATTGTTGCAGTGCATGAACTTTTTATTCGAATATTGATATTATAAAACACAAGCACATGCAGTTGTAGGTGTGACACTGGGCGATATCCAGCCAATCATTCACACTAAAGGCCGCAGCTCATGTGTATCGGTACTGGAGGCGATGCGTTGTGTTAGGAGACCTTACGGACATGGAGTTTCGGAGGTTGGCCGTGTCTAGGAGCAATTTTGTTCGACCCATGGCCAAGAGTCTCCTTGAAGCAGTCAGGAGGAACGAATTTGGTGAGACGGCTGCATCTGACGCTGCAAAGTCTGACACCTAGCTGCAGGTCACGTGTGCTTGAAGCGCTGCGTTGGTCATGACTCAGGAGGCTTTAGAGGAGCGGATTTTGGGCGGCCGGCCTCGTCTGGGGATGGGCTTGGGGGAGGGTACGGAAGGGGAGGGGGTGGTGCTGCTGCCGTGGAGAAACCGTGTTGTGCAGGTGGAGGGAATTATTACCCGTTGATTCTCTGGATTGGAGTGAGGGGAGAGGGGGGTGGAAATGGGGAGAGGGGGGTGGAAATGGGGAGAGGGAGAAACCGGGTTGTGCAGGTAGAGGGGATGATCACCCGTTGGTTCTCTGGTTGGGAAATAAAGGGGGGGAGAGGTGGGGGGGGGGAAAGAGGAGGGAGGTTTGGGTGATTTGAGGGGTGGGCTTGGGGAAGGGTAACGAGAGGGAGGGGTTGGTGTTGTTGGCGATGCCGTGGAGGAAGCGGGTTGTGCAGGTAGATGGGATGATCACCCGTTGGTTCTCTGGATGGGGGGTAATGCAAGGGGAAATGGGGTGGAAAGACGAGGATAGGGGTGGGAAGGGGTGGGAGGAGAGATGGAGGAAGAGAAATCAGAAGTGGAGGGGGGTGAGGGACGGAAGGATGAGGAGGAAGAGGATAGTGAAGGTAGAGGGGACGATCACACATTAGTTCTCTGGTTGGGAATAAAGAGGGAGCGAATCAAGGGGGGGAGAAAGGGATGGAGAGGGAGAGAGAAATAGGGTTGGAGCCACGAGAGGAAAGAAAGTGGGTTGTGAATGTAGAGGAATGGGCATGAGAAGACAGCACCATTGATGGCTTGCAGGGTTCTGACTGACCCACTGGAGGCACGGCTTAATATGATTCCCGTTTGAGACAAGTGTCATGAGTACCATTGCTGGCTTGGTCTGAGATGGGTTTGAGCAGCTACAAGCTTCTAGGTTTTGCAAAGCCTGGGTGTTATACAAGCTTTTGAGAGATTTTAGAACTACTATTAATGGATTCACGGGTTCTGGTTGACTGACCTTTCAAAGGCACTGCTTCGTTGGAGAGGAGATCCGCCAGCTGGTTGCACTCCTGGGGGTGGTGAGCGGTGATGAGGGGTGGTGCAGAGTAGTGAGGGGTGAAGAGAGGTGAAAAGGGGTCGCAGGGGATGATGAGAGACGATAAGAGAGGATGAGGGGTACGTACATGATGTGACACATGCTCAGACTAGGTGATACGTAGACCATAGTCCATGGCACACAGTACGTGTAACGTACGTAACACATGTACATGACACAGAGTACATGACACCCACCCTAGGCACGTGGCGGATTGCAATCTCTTTGAACCGAGATATCAGCTCTTGTGCTTGCTTGCTGTGCTGCTGTCACACGTACCCTCCCCACCCCACTACCCTCCCCACCTCACTCTCTCCAGCCGTCTCTGTTCCCCACCTACCCTGGGCACGTGGCGGATGGAGATTTCTTTGAACCGAGTCACCAGTTCCTGTGCTTGCTTGCACTCCCCCCTCAGCATCTCCGCATTCACCTTCCACTTCTTCTGCACCTGCGGGTGTGTCGATGAGGAGGGAAGGAGTGGTATGTGTGCATCATGTATGTGTGCATCATGTATGTGTGCATCATGTATGTGTGCATCATGTATGTGTGTGGCATGTGTGTGTGGCATGTGTGTGTGGCATGTGTGTGGCATGTGTGTGTGGCATGTGTGTGTGGTATGTGTGTGTGGCATGTGTGTGTGGCATGTGTGCGTGGCATGTGTGTGTGGCATGTGTGTGGCATGTGTGTGTGGCATGTGTGCGTGGCATGTGTGTGTGGCATGTGTGTGGCATGTGTGTGTGGCATGTGTGTGTGGCATGTGTGTGTGGTATGTGTGTCAGTCTTTGCATGTGCTTGCTTGCACTCCTCCCCCAGCAGCACCTCCGCATTCACCTTCGTGGCAGTCTTATTCTGTACCTGTGGCGGGTGGAAGGGCAGTGGACCAGCAGAGTGGCACACCTAGCAGCTTGAGTGGTGTGTACATGCATGCATGCGTGTTTCTGTGCACGTGCTTGCTTGCACTCCTCCCTCAGCAAGCTTGAGTTGTGTGTGCATGCATGCGTGGCTCCCTCAGCCATGCAAAGAAGAGAGTGTTTCTGTGCATGTGCTTGCTTGCATGGCTCCCTCAGCATCTCCGCATTCACCTTCCACTTCTTCCCCCCACTTTCACCCACCCACCTGCATGACCACCAGCATGGCGTCTCCTTGAACATGCAGCCCCGTGATCCCAAGAGGAGATGGTTGCATTGCCCTACACCTCATGTCACCACCCATCCACCCACCCACCCACCTGCATGACCACGAGCATGGAGTCTCCTTGAACGTGCAGCCGAGTGATCCCAAGAGGAGATGGTTGCATTGCCCTACACCTCATGTCACCACCCATCCACCCACCCACCCACCTGCATGACCACGAGCATGGAGTCTCCTTGAACGTGCAGCCGAGTGATCCCAAGAGCCAGAGCCAGCTCCACCCCCCCTATGAACGCGCGATGCCATGCTGTGCTGAGGCACGAGGTGCCTACTAAATTGCCATACAAGCAATCTCACCTGCGTGACCACCAGCATAGAGTCTCCCTGCATATGCAACCGGGTGATCCCAAGAGCCAGTGCCAGCTGCAATCCCCCTATGAACGCCCAATGCTCCGCTGTGTTACACGTGGTGCTACGAGGTGACTAGCAGATTGCCATACACCTTACCAACCATCCCACCTGTACAATTCCACCCATCCCACCTGCATGACCACGAGCATGGAGTCTCCTTGCACATGCAGCCGTGTGATGCCGAGAGCCAGAGCCAGCTCCACCCCCCCTATGAACGCGCGGTACTCTGCCATGTTGCACGTGCCGTGCCCCACTCCCTCCCTCATACACACCAGCTGGTGGGGAGTGGGGTGGGGTGAGCATAGAAATACGAGAATAAGGGGGAGATGATAGGCGGGAGGGAGAGGAGGAGGGGTGGGATGGATTTGAATAGTGGTGGGATGGAGGAACAGTGGTGTGGAGGGATGTGAGAGATGTAAGGGAAAGACAAAAGGAAGAAGAGAAGAGGACCGGTGGGATGGTGTTGAGTTGAAGCCAGCTCCCTCAGTTGAAGCCCCACGCCTCCGCCCTCCCTCAGTGGAGTTCACGCCAGCTCCATTCCTCGTATGAACGCCCGATACTCTGCCATGTTGCATGCGAGTGCTTGTCCAGTGGCCGGAACGACTCACTCACCCCCACCAGAAACCCCCACTCACCTCGTTGTCGTGCTCATCCCACAGCATAGAGCCCGCCCCTGCCCGCCCCCAGTTGCCCCTGCTCTGCTACCCAAAACCCCACCTCTCACCCCACCCCGAAGCCCACCTCACCCTCCATCACCTCACCCCCCACCACCTCACCCTCCATCACCTCACCCTCCATCACCTCACCCTCCATCACCTCACCCCCCACCACCTCACCCTCCACCACCTCACCCTCCACCACCTCACCCTCCATCACCTCACCTCGTTGCCCCCTTCATCCCACAGCACCGACCCCGCGCCTGCCCGCCCCGGGTTGCCCTTGGATGCCCTTTCAAGCCAATACCTGGAGCAGGCACCTCACTACTCACATCACAGCCCATCATCACTCACCTCGTTGCCCCCTTCATCCCACAGCACCGACCCTGCGCCTGCCCGCCCCGGGTTGCCCTTGGATGCCCCGTCAAACTCCATGCGGTAGAGCGCCTGGGGGGGTGAAAGGCACACAGTGAGTGAACCAAAAAGGGGAAGAGACGAGGCACTTAAAAGGCTCCAAGGCACTGGGTACGGAAGAGAGAGCTCGAAGCATTGCCCTTGGAGGGTCCGTCAAATTCCATGCGGTAAAGGGCCTGGGGGGGAAGGTGAAAGACACAAAGGTCTCCTTGGGATATATGTCAGCACAATTGGGGGGGTCAATCTGAGAATGACACAAAGGTCTAACTGGACTAGAAGAGCTGACATGACACGTGTGGTTGCTCGCATGCCCTCCTGTGTGGTTGCTCTCGATCTGAGAATGACAGGAAGGACTGACTGGAACGGCTTTTGAGACGTCTCAAAAGTCAATCTGAGAATGACAGGAAGGTCTAACTGGAAGCCAAGGGCTGACACGACACGTGTGGCTGCTCGCATGTCCTTCCCCTCCTCTCTCCTCATCCCCCACCCGCAGTAACATCAATCAACGCACTCACAATAAGCCATAGTCTTTTTGTTTTTGCCTTTGATTTTGCCTTTTTATGCGTCTAGATAAACTTTACCTGCGGGTCTATTTGCAAGCGGAGTGTTGCTACGTGTGGCTGCATGTCCTCCCCTCCCCTCATCCTCACCACTCCCTCCTCTACCACTGCACCCACTCCCCTCTCCCCACTCATCCCCGGGACCAGAGACGGACCTCAGGGTGTACTTGCAGGCAAGTGTTGCTACGTGTGGCTGCATGTCCTCCCCTCTCCTCATCCTCACCGCCCCTTCCTCTACCACTGCTCCCAACCCCCCCTCGCTCGCCCTTGCGTCTATCAGTGAGAGAGACTGACCTGTGGGTCTATTTGCAAACCAAGTTCCGCTACCCGTTGCCGCATGTCCTCCCCTCTACTCATCCTCACCGCCCCTTCCTCTACCACTGCTCCCACTCCCCCCTCGCCCCCCACACTTCCCCCACCCCCCTCCTCCTCATCCCCCCTTCCTGCACCCGACCCCCCCCTCTCGCCCTCGCTCTCTGTGCTTTCACCTGCAGAAGCGGGTTAGGTGGTTGGTGTAGAGAGGGAGGGAGAAGGGAAGATGAGAGCTTGGCCTTTGAGGAGGCTTATACGAAAAATAGCCCGCTTTCTAGATTGGGGTAGGGTGGAGAGGGAGGAAAAATGGAAAGGTGCAAGCGAGTGAGCGGGAGAGGGAGCGAGAAAGGTGGGACTTCACAAACAACGAATAAGTAAGTGAGAAGAGGGAGAGGAGCAGGATTCGAGAGTAGGAGAGGGAGAAGAAGCATCAGCAGCAGCAACAAAACACAAATTCGTAGCAAAGAATATTCCAATACGTACCAGCAGCGATACGATCCGCATTCGCGAAAGCAGCAGCATTGGCAGGCGCAGCAACAGCAACAGCACCAGAGACAGCAGCAGGAGTGACACGAGCGGGCAGGTATAATGGCGAAGAGACGAATTGAACACCTACCAGCAGCAGTACGATCTGCATTTGCAGCAGCATCGGCAGCAGCAGCAACAGCAGCAGCGGCAGAAACAGCAGCAGGGGTGGTGACACGAACAGCAGCAAAAGGAATAGCGGTTCTTTTCAGAGCAGAAGCAGCAGCGTGCTTGGGGGGAGAAGAGACGAAGACGTTAGCCAGGGCGAGGTAGGATAGAGCTTCATCCAAGTTGGTGAAGCTCTTGTGCTGATTGCCCTTGAAATTGGTCACCTGGAAAGGAACAGAAGTAGACAGTATAGGGTACAGTGAGTGCACAGACAGAGGAGATGGGAGAGCGAGGTTGGGGAGGGGATCATTCATTCAATGTGGTGGAGCTCTTGTGCTGGTTGCCCTTGAAATTCGTCACCTGGGGAACAAATAAAAGGAAGGTACAGTGAGTACGCGAAGGAACTAAAGAAGGAGCATGCGTTGCCCTTGTAATTAGTCACCTGGGGAATAATCAGCAAAAAGTGGACTTGGAAATTTGAATGGATGAAGCAAAGGAATAGGTCATGCATGGTGGATGCATGGTGGGATGGATGGTGGGATGAAGGATGGGATGGATGGTCAGATGCATGGTGGGATGAATGGTGGGATGCATGATGGGATGCATGGTGTGATGCATGGTGGGATGCACGGTGGGATGGATGGTGGGATGCATGGTGGGATGGATGGTGGGATGCATGGTGTGATGCATGATGGGATGCACGGTGGGATGGATGGTGGGATGCATTGTGGGATGCACGGTGGGATGGATGGTGGGATGCATGGTGGGATGGATGGTGGGATGCATGGTGGGATGGATGGTGGGATGCATGATGGGATGCACGGTGGGATGGATGGTGGGATGCATGGTGGGATGGATGGTGGGATGCATGGTGGGATGCATGGTGGGATGGATGGTGGGATGGATGGTGGGATGGATGGTGGGATGCATGGTGGGATGCATGATGGGATGCACGGTGGGATGGATGGTGGGATGCATGGTGGGATGGATGGTGGGATGCATGGTGGGATGGATGGTGGGATGGATGGTGGGATGGATGGTGGGATGCATGGTGGGATGCATGATGGGATGCACCGTGGGATGGATGGTGGGATGCATTGTGGGATGCATGGTGGGATGGATGGTGGGATGCATGGTGTGATGCATGGTGGGATGCATGGTGGGATGCATGGTGGGATGGATGGTGGGTTGGATGGTGGGATGGATGGTGGGATGCATGGTGGGATGCATGATGGGATGCACGGTGGGATGGATGGTGGGATGCATTGTGGGATGCATGGTGGGATGGATGGTGGGATGCACGGTGGGATGGATGGTGGGATGCATGGTGGGATGCATGATGGGATGCACGGTGGGATGCATGGTGGGATGGATGGTGGGATGCATGGTGGGATGCATGATGGGATGCACGGTGGGATGGATGGTGGGATGCATGGTGGGATGCATGGTGGGATGGATGGTGGGATGCATGGTGGAATGGATGGTGGGATGCATGGTGGGATGCATGGTGGGATGCATGGTGGGATGCATGGTGGGATGCACGGTGGGATGCACGGTGGGATGCATGGTGGGATGCATGGTGGGATGCATGGTGGGATGGATGGTGGGATGCATGGTGGGATGCATGATGGGATGCACGGTGGGATGGATGGTGGGATGCATTGTGGGATGCATGGTGGGATGGATGGTGGGATGCATGGTGTGATGCATGGTGGGATGCATGGTGGGATGCATGGTGGGATGGATGGTGGGATGGATGGTGGGATGGATGGTGGGATGCATGGTGGGATGCATGATGGGATGCACGGTGGGATGGATGGTGGGATGCATTGTGGGATGCATGGTGGGATGGATGGTGGGATGCACGGTGGGATGGATGGTGGGATGGATGGTGGGATGCATTGTGGGATGCATGGTGGGATGCATGATGGGATGCACGGTGGGATGGATGGTGGGATGGATGGTGGGATAAAAGGTGGGATGCATGGTGGGATGCATGATGGGATGCACGGTGGGATGGATGGTGGGATGCATTGTGGGATGGATGGTGGGATGGATGGTGGGATGCATGGTGTGATGCATGGTGGGATGCATGGTGGGATGCATGGTGGGATGGATGGTGGGATGGATGGTGGGATGGATGGTGGGATGCATGGTGGGATGCATGATGGGATGCACGGTGGGATGGATGGTGGGATGCATTGTGGGATGCATGGTGGGATGGATGGTGGGATGTACGGTGGGATGGATGGTGGGATGGATGGTGGGATGCATTGTGGGATGCATGGTGGGATGGATGATGGGATGCACGGTGGGATGGATGGTGGGATGGATGGTGGGAAGGATGGTGGGATGAATGGTGGGATGGATGGTGGGATGAATGGTGGGATGGATGGTGGGATGAATGGAGGGATGCATGGTGTGATGCGTGGTGGGATGCATGGTGTCATCCATGGTGATTCAGGATTACGTATACGCAACACCACGTCAGACTCAACTCCAGCTGCTTACCTGTCGTTGGCATTCCGGCCACGTCAGATAGATCCCCGGCTGATGCCCTTTTCGAACCGCGTAGTACTTATTCTTAGAACCCTCTTTCCCGCCACTAGACGGCTTCGCCTTCGTCATCGCCTTCTGCGCCAATTGCGTCACGCGGCGGTTCGACAGGGCTTGAAGCGCGGAGACGAGGCGCATTCGCCCTCGCTTCGCTTACGTCTGTCGCGTAGCGAGAACAGGTTACGAATGTTCAGTGCGTGGGACGAGTCAAGAATTGTAAGCGCACTCGCTTCGCGCTCTAACAGATGGAACCCCAGCGCTGCCGCGATCCCACCTCCCTAGCAAACCCTAACTTGGGTGTGATCGTCACAATATGGTTGCAGCTCTTGCTTCCCCAACTCGTGCGACCGCGGACCGCTGATGATTTTAATTGCTGAAAAAAGCCACCAAAATAAGAGCTTCTGACGGGAGTTATTTTCCTGTTCTGTAAGTGATCAACGCCCTAGAAGATGGTCGGAAGAATGCTCGTGTGGTGAATGTCAGTTCAGAATGTTCTATTTTCTTCACCGCTTGGAAACGCTACCAATCGCATCGAGTCTAGTTTATGGTGAGCAAACTTTGACGGTTCGCTACATCTACCCTCGACTTCGTAAAAGTCAAGTGTTCCAATTTACACATATGATGTACAATGCATATTTTGTTAATAAAGACACTAAAGTCTTGCTGCACTAGAAATTATGTTGCTCCGCGACATTCACAATAACCTCCTACATGGCATAATCGGTAACAATAATTATACCGAGATTTTGGTGCCATAATCAATAAGCCATGCATTTATCCTGTGTAAATTGATAGTTACTGGATGAATAAGAGTGCAATAAACAGCCACTTCGTATATACGCCCTCAATGGGGTTTAGCACACACCTGGAAACTGAGAGCTGGAGCGCAGCTGCCCAGCTTCCCACCACGTAACTTCATTACCAAGGACATGCCCCTACCTTCGTGTCTAATGGAATAAAACCTACGACACGAAATTAGGGACGCGGCCTAGCGGTTCCCTGTAGAATTGCAGTCTGTTATACGGTGCCCTCAATGAGCACACCCTCCAAATTTTTTGTTATAACGCCTCTTAGCACCCTGCCAGAGCATCTACGGACGTGGAGAAGGCCTGAAAAATGAGCCAACACCGTTGATGGTTCCACGAACAGTGTCTCTAACGGTCCCGCCAATAGCGCGTCCGATTCCCCCGCGGAGACTCGTGGTGCTCGCTGCGGGGATCAGGTCCGGCGGGATGAGCAGCGTGCTCGTACCCTGGATGGTGAAGTCCGAACCTACCCACAGGTTCGGCACGACCAGAGCTGTCGGCAGCTTCGACCCACCTTGAAACGTGACGATTGGCCGGCCCTTGGGACCGCGCTTCGCGACAAGGTTTCCCTCGATAGTGTCGATCTGGGTGCCGGGGGGGATATCGGTGAGGTTGCGGAAGAGGTATCGCGTAGCGATCGTGTTATAAGAGAGAATCGTCGACTGCTGGTCCTTGGTGTAGCTCTGAAGCGCCGCAATGTTCGCCGGAAGCAAGATGGTTATGTCCGTTAGAGGGATCTTCGACTTCACTGTAATGGAGGGGAGACGTCGAATAAGACATATGATTAGCACCGGACTTGGGGAGGTTCTGGCGAAGGTTTGGCGAAAACAGAAGGCAAGGCTTGGCAGGAAGGAGATGGGAAAGAGAGTTTGTTGCGAATTGGATCCCTCTATTGAGTGACTCGCTTTACGCCCGCCGGAACTTACGATAGTCGTCGACGAATTTGTGGAGGCCTTGGTACGCCGGGTGTTGCGAGATGCCGTTGACGGCTCGATCGACCTCCTTTGTTCTAAGAGCGGAAACGTGAGAGCCGCTGTGACACAGCAGGAAGATCATCGCTAGGAGACCGACAGGATGGAGCGATCCCATTCTCAAAGCTGGTTACGGGCTGAGAAACTATGGAACCACAATATAGCACAAAATGTACCTAATTGGCGTTGGTTTTGCGAGGATATGAAAAAAAACTTAAAAGAGTGTCTAAGGGAGCGCTACCCTGAGGCTAAGCTGAGGGAGGTTTTGAGGTGCGCAAGGGGAGAGCGAGTAATGGAGTACCAGGAAAACTGGTAAACAGGAAATGGAGAACTGGAGGCTAGGAGAGTTGGAGAACAGGAGAGAACCGGAGTAGAGTGGTGGAGATTGCCGTTAGTGGTGATGAATGATGATGATGCAGGTCATCAAACTGCTTTTGAAGTGCGATTGAGAAACTCGAGTCGCGTGCGACAGAAAGTGCTAGTCTGACGATATCGCAGGCAAACTTTGTCCGAGTCGCTGCAAGGAAGGCTCATCGCAGGGCCAATGAAGCTCCCATTACCCACGGTGTGAGGCTCCGCGCCTGAGTTCGTGAAACAGTGTTCCGTCCATCACGCGGTTCGTAGAGTCGCCTGCGTCGCTTGTCGGTTCACGACGGGTCACCGAAATCCACCCAGCGAGAACAGTCGGTTACACTGCGAAGAATCCCGCTGAACGGCGAGACTGTCGGTCAGCAGCTGGCTGGCGTGGCTCATCGCATTGTCGTTTCTGTTGGACGACGTTCTGGCGAAATCGAAAATGCCCTGCCTTGCGAAAGTATTGCACTGCACCGTGGCATTCGATTGGCGGGGTTTGCTCCAGGCCTTGTGGTGGCCGAAATTTACCTCTGTACGCGATGTAAAGGGACTCAAAACTGAAAAGGCAAATGCGAAATTTATCTGTATGAAACTGTTACGTCACCTGCCATCCCAACAGAAGTGACATCGTGGCATTACGCCACGAAATAGCATCCATGAATGCTGCTTCTGCCTGACGAGGTAGCCAGCAGGTAGCTAGCGCAGCTAGTGTAGTACCAAAAAACCCCTCGCGTTGTCACAAGCAGACAGTTTTTGCAGAGAATCTCGCCATTGCTTTCACCTCGCGGTGAATCGAACCATTCCGTCGCTAATCGGTTCAGGCTGAGCCCAGCTGGCAGCCATGGCCGCCACGTTAGCGTTTGATCCTGAGAATTCCCGCACGGGAGGAATCTCTCCGCGCAAGCCAAGTCTATTATATTCCAGACCGGAAATTCCAGAATCCTTGTGCGATTTCAGATCGAATTCGCCGTCGCTGTGCGACCTGCCAAGCCCAATCGTCGCACACATTCTCTCGCGATCGCTCTGCGATCCGCGCGACGTTGTTGCCGTGAGAAGCGCCTGTCGCGGTCTTCGCGATGCAGTTGCCTCGGCACCTCTCCGGCTGTCGCTTCTGCAGATGGATCGGGTTTCTGTTTGTCAAAAGGACGGAGCCAATGGCAGCGTGCCACGTAAGTGCATTTGGCGTGCTTGTCGACTCGTTGTTTGGCGCGAGGGGATCTGTGCGGCTTAATAACGGGGATAGCTGGTAATTGATTTTTAGTGATAAGGTACAACCTCCAGCGGCTAGCTACTTTTTATAGCGGGATAATAATTGGTTAAAATGCTCCTAATTCTTCCGAGTCGTGTCTAAACTGCACCGCCTTTGTGTCTTCGTGCTTAATCCATCCACATCCTTACAGAATCTGCGAACGCCAGCTCAGCTGCCACGTCAGCAGAGCAACTTGCCTCCTTCCCCCTGCACAGCTCTACATGGTGCTCTCAGGCAGTACCGGGAATTGCACACGTGGCGCCGCTACTGCACACGCTGTCACTTGCCACCTCAGCAGTGTCTGATGCTGACGTGGCAATGTGTATCTCCTCGCTGACTAGGATGCAAGTGCTTGTGTTGGATAACTGCAGAAAGCTGTAAGTAATCTGGGTTTCCTTGTTCTTTTCTTCTTCTTCTCCTTTTAACCTATACGTTTCAGCATAGGCTGATGCGAGATACCAAACATTCAGAACGTGTAAGTATGCATTATCTGAACCCAAAAGGCTCTGGGTGTTGCGCATTTCCCTCCTCTTCTGTCTCCCTCTCTTCCTCTCTCCCTCTCTCCCTCTCTCCCCTCCTCTCCCCCACCAGCACAGATGCATTGGCGCCTCATCTCGCCTCCTCCCCCTCTCTCACCACCATCTCCCTCCACCGCTGCTTCAGCCACACACGGCCTCGCTTGCTTCCAGCGAACCTTGATCATTGCTTATCTTTTTCCCTCTTTCTCTCTTCCCCTCGTCCCCTCTCGTCCCCTGTCTCCCTCTCTCCCTCTCTCCCCTCCTCTTCCCCACCAGCACAGACGCATTGGCGCCTCATCTCGCCGCCTCCCCCGCCCTCACCACCATCTCCCGGCACTGCTGCTTCAGCCTCACACCCCACACCTCCCGTCCTCTTCCCCTCTCTCCCTCCCCTACCCCCCCACCCCACCAGCACAGACGCATTGGCGCCTCATCTCGCCGCCTCCCCAGCCCTCACCACCATCTCTCTCCACCGCTGCTTCGGCCTCTCCCCCCACACCGTCTCGCTCCTTCTAGAAGCTTCCAGGAAACCGGGCTCGGTGCTGACTGCCCTGGTCTTCAGCCACGTGGACAGGCTCTCTGTGCGCCACGTGGCACCCCCAGATACCGCTATCCCCAGTGCCGCCCAGAGCGACCCTCCAAAAGAGGATGAGGATGGGCGCATGTCATTTCTTGGACTGACTCAGAAGAGAGAGGAGGAGGGTGAGTGGTGGGAAATGACATGCAAAGGAGGGGGTGGGGAATGGGGGTTGGGTAGGTGAAGGGGGTTGGATGAGAGGAGGATGGGCTCATGGCCTTTCTTGGACTTGCTGGGACGACGGGGGAGGAGGGTTGATGGAATGACACGAGAATGAGAGGAACCCCTCTCAACCTCCACCCCACCCCCATGAACCCCTCTCAACCTCCTTCTCAGCTGCGCTCTCACGAGAGTTTCACCCGCCCTCCCCCTGCGCCCCCTCCCCCTTGTGCATGTGCTAACCCGCTTCCCCTCGTTCACTGCACACCCTCCCTCCCGGCCCCCCTCAACATCTCCCCAACCCCACCTCACCAGCCTCCTTCCCAGCAGCACTCTCTCGAGCGCTCCAACGCCCTTCTTCCCTGCGTTCCCTCTCTCTGCACTCCTGCCAAGCGCTCTCAGCCAGAGCGCTGCAGCTCATTGTGAGTGCAAGAGTGGGTTGGTAGGAGCTGGTTGCTTGCAAGGAGAAGAGGGTACTCACGGTATGTGTGCAGGGATGTCCCTACACTCCTGCCGTGTGCAGGGATGGCCCTACACTCCTGCCGTGTGCAGGGATGTCCCTACCCTACACTCCTGCCAAGCGTTGCCCGCCAGAGTGCTGCAACTCCTGGTGAGTGGTAGGAAAGAGAGGTCCAAGAATGTATACAGTATCCCTCCTCCCCGCGCGCCCTCTCTCGGCACTCCTGCCAGACACTCTCAGCCAGAGCGGTGCAGCTCATTGTGAGTGGTAGAGTGTGCTTTTGAGTCGACTCAAATGCAGCTCATTGTGAGTGGTAGAGTGTGCTTTTGAGTCGACTCAAATGCAGCTCATTGTGAGTGGTAGAGTGTGCTTTTGAGTCGACTCAAATGCAGCTCATTGTGAGTGGTAGAGTGTGTGTGAGAAGTACAGCTTGTGGTGAGAAGAAGACGGTCTTAGGATGGGGAGAGCAGCTGGGGGTTGTGATGTGAGAGAACCACACACACACGAAATGATGAGGAAGAGAGTGCACAGGAGGGCCCTAATTAGGCTCAGAGGAAGAGCGCAGAGGGCAGAGGAAGAGGGCAGAGGAAGAGCACAGAGGAAGAGGGCAGAGGAAGAGCGCAGAGGAAGAGGGCAGAGGAAGAGCGCAGAGGAAGAGGGCTGAGTGCTAGGGCCTTCTCTCTCTCTCCGTCTCTCTCTCCCCTCACCCTCACTACTCCCCCCTCCACTTGCAGGCCTTCAGGTCAGCTTCCCCCACCTCGACCTCCTGTGTCTTGGCGGATCCTGCTTCCCCACTCTCCCTGACACCCTCCCGCCCTCCCCTCCCTCTTACTCTCCTCTCGCCCCCACCATCCTGCAGGCCCTCGGTTGCCCCCACCTCGAGAAAGAAGGAGTGTTTTGAGACGTCTCAAAACACTCCTTTCACGTGGCACCATCCTGCAGGCCCTCGGTTGCCCCCACCTCGACCTCCTGTGTCTCAGCGGATCCTGCTTCCCCATCTTCCCTCACGCCTCCCCTTTCCCCTCGTTCTCCCTTCTCTTCTCCCCCACTTGCAGGCCCTCTGTTTTGAGACGTCTCAAAACACTCCTTCTTTCACGTGCCCTCTGTTGCCCCCATAACGGGCTGCTCTGCCTCAGCGGATCCTGCTTCCCCATCCTCTCTCTCACGCGCTCCCTGCCTGCCTTCCTACACTCTTGCTACTCGCCCAACCTGTTACCATCCTTTCAGGCCCTCTGTTGCCCCCATTTCGAGCTGCTCTGTCTTACCCCATTCACGACCATCCTGTGTTTCCCATCCTCCCTGATTCCTTCCCTCTGCCACTCGCTCTCCCATCCCATCGCTCTCCCTTCGCTCTTTCCTCCAACGCCCCTCACAACTCCCCCAGTTGCTGGCCCTCATTGCCCCCATCTCGAGCTGCTGTGTCTCAGAGGTTCTTGCTTTCCCATCCTCCCTCACGTGATTGAACAAGGGTTTTGAGACGTCTCAAAACCCGTCTTCAATCAGAGGTTCTCGCTCGCCCATCCTCCCTCACGCCCTCTTCCTGCGTCCCTCTGTGTGACTCTTTTTTCCCCGTCCTTCCTCCCCCATCTCCTCTTCGCCCCGTCCCACCCCTCACTACTCCCCACGTCAATGCAGGCCCTTAATTGCTCCCATCTCGAGCTGCTGTGTCTCGGCGGCTCCTGCTTTCCCATTCTTCCTGACGCTCTTCCCCTGCCCTCCCTCTCGCGCCTCCTCCTCTCACTCCCTCCCCGCCTCGTCCCATCCTCCCTGCTCTCCCGCCTGGCGTCTGCCTGCCCACTGCCAAGCGCAGCAGACGCAGCAGCAGCAGGGGTGGGTGCAGCAGGAGAAAGAGCAGCAGCACAAGGAGCTTTAGTAGCTTCAGCAGCATCAGAAGCAGGGGGGGGTGCAGCTGAAAGCGCAGCAACAGGAGTGGGCGCAGCAGCAACAGCAGCAGAAACAGCAGCAGGAGGTACAATAACAGCAGCACAGGGAGCAGCAGCAGCAGAAAGAACACCAGCAAGTGCAGCAATAGCAACGACAGCAGCTGGAGGGGTAGCAGCAACAGCAGCGGGAGCAGCAGCAGCAGCAGCAACCGCAGCAGCAGTGAACGGGAGGGACGCATCACCATTTGCAGCATGGGGGGAAGGGGAGGCGCGGAGGCAGGTGCAACTGGGGGGTTTGCAATGGGGGGTGATGCAAGCAGGGGGGGTGCAGTGGGGAGAGGGGGAGGCACGGAGGCAGGTGCAACTGGGGGGTTTGCAATGGGGGGTGATGCAAGCAGGGGGGGTGCAATGGGGGGCGGTGCAACCAGGGGGGGTGCAGTGGGGAGAGGGGGAGGCACGGAGACAGGTGCAACTGGGGGAGATGCGGGCAGGGTTGGGGGAGTTGCGGCTTGGTGTATGGGGGGGAAGGGAGGCGCAGAGACAGGTGCAACTGGGGGAGATGCGGGCAGGGTTGGGGGAGTTGCGGCTTGGTGCATGGGGGGGAAGGGAGGCGCAGAGACAGCCGCGGGGACAGGTGCAGAGACAAGTGCGGCCGGGGGAGGCACTAGGTGGCGTGGCAGTGCTGCTGGAGAGGCTTCAACTGGTGGAGGTGTCTTTCTGGGAGAAGGGAGAGGTGGACGATATGAGGTGAGGGAATGAAAGGAACAATGGAATGGCCAAACCACCTTACAGTCGACACCAAACCAAACCACCAGAGTTTCCACCTTTCTCCCTCTGCTTGGTGGGGTTTCGTTGCTGCTGGGGAGGGTGCAACTGGTGGAGGTGTCATTTGGGGGGATGGGCGTTATTAAGGACACGAGGTAATTAATAAGCCTGGAAAGCCTCTCGTAAAATCTTGTTTCCATTATACTTGTTTCCATTATAGCGGATCTGATTATTATGTAGCTGGGTTAAGTAGCTATGAAACAGATGGTAAGAAAAGAAATAAAATGTCAAGGTAATGAGATTGAAGATTTTACAGTATGAAAAAGCGGTATTCCTCCACACTCTCTTGATTGCAGGGATGCTTTTGAGGCGCCTCAAAAGTATTCCTCCACACTCTCTTGGTTGCAGGGATGCTTTCAGCTCCCTCCCCTGGTGACTTTTGAGTCGACTCAAAAGTCAAGCCAGCTCCCTCAGTTGAAGCCCCACGCCTCCGCCCTCCGTGACTTTTGAGTCGACTCAAAAGTCACTTTGATTGCTGGGATGCTTTCAGCTCCCTCCCCTACCCACCTCTCCTCCTTAAACCTCTCCACGGATTGAGGGGCACTTATTGCCGCTCACATTTGCATTTGATCAGAGCCACGTGCCTTCTCGCTCGTTTCTTTCGAGACGTCTCAAAACACTCCTTCTTTCATTTGATCAGAGCCACCTGCCTTCTCGCTCGTTTGTAAGTAGACGACTTTTGAGACGTCTCTTGAGACGACTTTTGAGACGTCTCTTGAGTCGACTTTTGAGACGTCTCTTGAGTCGACTTTTGAGACGTCTCTTGAGTCGACTTTTGAGACGTCTCTTGAGTCGACTTTTGAGACGTCTCTTGAGTCGACTTTTGAGACGTCTCTTGAGTCGACTCAAAAGTCGACTCAAAAGTCATTTGCATTTGATCAGAGCCACCTGCCATCTCGCTCGTTTCTCGCTCGTTTTGAGGGGCACTCGCATTGCTTTGCTTGCAGAAATGTTGTTAGCTCCCTCCCCAACCCGCCTCTCCTCCTCGATCTCTCCACAGACCGAGGGGCACTTAACCCTTATCTCCTTATCCCTTCTTCCTTCCCTTCTCCCCAACCCCCTCCTCGTTTTACTTTCAGGGATGTTATTAGTTCCCTCCCCCACCCGCCTCTCCTCCTAGACCTTTCCACTGATCGAGGGGCACTCATTGCCGCCCATATCTCTCGTCATGCCGCCCGGATTCACGCCCGTGCTGCCCAGGGCGTCTCTCATGCTGCCGCCCATACCCGCTGGCACCTTCCGTCCTTTGCGGGCGCTTCCGGGCAAGTGGTAGCAGTGCAAGCGACAGCAGCAGAGGCAGCAGCGCAAGAGAGGGTAGCAGAGGCAGCAGCGCAAGAGAGGGTAGCAGAGGCAGCAGCACCAGAGGTGATAGCAGGGCAAGTGGCAATAGCAGGAGCAGCAGCGGCAGAGGAAAACGTTGCGCAGGTGAGAGTAGCAGAAGAAGAAGCAGCCGAGACGATAGAGGCAGCAGCACCAGGAACATCAGCTGTTGCCGATAGGGCAACATCTCCTCCTCCTGCTGTTGCAGGGGCGAATTCTCCTTCTCCTGCTGTGGCTGCAGCAGCTGGTGCAGCCCGTCACTTGTGCCGGCAGTGTGTGAGGGCCACTCGCCCTGTCAGACCAGCTTCCGCCCCTATTCCCACTTCAGACGAGTGCTGCTGTGAGCTGGACTGGCTGGGGAAAGTGCGGGGGCAAGGACTCGAGCCCAACTCTTGTTCGCATGGTAGCAACACAGGCGGCAGCAGCAGCAACAGCATTTTTGGGAGCAGCAGTAGCAGCAGCAGTGGCAGCAGCAGCAACGCTCTTGGCAATAGCACTATGCTCCCTTTCTCTCTCTCTCTCCCCTCTTCCAATCCTCCTTCCCCATCCCCCTCCCTCTCTCTCCCCCCATCCGCCCTCCTCTGGTCTCTCCGCTCTGCTGCTGGCTGTAGCAGCCTCCAGCAGCGCTCCCCCCTCCACGTGGCAGCCCTGCTGCAGGATACACGTGGCGCCCAGGCATTGGTTGACGTGGTTGGGCTCGGGGGGAGGGCGCTGGGGTTGGGGAGGTGGGGGGAGTGGGGGGGTAGGGGGAGGGGGGTGCCGGGGAGGGTGTATTGTGGCGGGGAAGAGGGAGAGGAGGGGAAAGGGAGAGAGGAGGAGGGAGAGGATGGGGAGCAGGAGAAGGAGGAGGCTCTCAGTGAGAGGATGAACAGGAGGTTATGGGAGGAGTGGGAGAGAGAGGAAGAGGAGGTGGAGAGGGGGGAGAGGGAGTGGGAAAAGGAGGAGGAAGAGGAGGAGAGGGGGGGAAAGGCAGAGGAGTTGGAAGGGCAAGAGGGGCAAGGGAGGGACGAGGAGCAGGAGGGCAAGAGAGGCAGGAGCAAGGGAGGCGAGGGCAAGAGAGGCGAGGGCAAGAGAGGCGAGGGCACGAGAGGCGAGGGCATGGGATTTGACATAGGAGGGGAGGGGCGGCTGGTGGTGAATATGAGGGACAAGGGAGGAGCCACGGCGCTGTTTCTTGCGGCAGAGGCTGGCGATGCGTGGACCGTGGAGGTGGGTGGGTGGGGGGGAGTGGTGAGCGGGAGTTGGAGGGGGTGTTGATGGGTGGGTGGGCCCTTAGGGGAAAGGGGGTGAGAGGGTGGTTGTGTTGTTTTGCTGGTAGTCTTTCTCTATATGCAGTTGCACTCCCCCGCCACTTTCCCCACAGGTGCTACTTCAAGCAGGTGCGGACATGGCAGTGGGCAACCGGGGCGAGGAGACACCTCTTTACATCGCCTCACTCAAATGCCACCTCTGGGTGGTGCGGCAGCTGCTCACACACACACATACCCTTACACCCCTGCGCCACTCGGTCTCTCCTTCACTCCCCCACTCACAGGTGCTGCTACAAGCAGGTGCGGACATGGCAGTGGGCAACAGGGGCGAGGAGACACCTCTTTACATCGCCTCACTCAAATGCCACCTCTGGGTGGTGCGGCAGCTGCTCACACACACACATACCCTTACGCCCCTGCGCCACTCGGTCTCTCCTTCACTCCCCCACTCACAGGTGCTGCTACAAGCAGGTGCGGACATGGCAGTGGGCAACCGGGGCGAGGAGACACCACTCTACATCGCCTCACTCAAAGGCCACCTGTGGGTGGTGCGGCGGCTGCTGGGGCACTGCAGGAGGCGAGGGCTGGACTGGCAGGGGGATGCAAGCCTGCACAGGGGAGGTGAGCTTCTGGGTGTGGATTTCACCCCTTGACTGGGGCACTCAAAGGCCACCTGTGGGTGGTGCAGCGGCTGCTGGGGCACTGCAGGAGGCGAGGGCTGGACTGGCAGGCAGGCAGATGCGAGCATTCACAGGGGAGGTGAGATGTGAGGAGTGGAGAGGGGTGGGGAGGTGTGGGGTCTGGCGATTGATCTCTTAACTGGCAATAATGGGCCACATGTGGGTGGTGCGGCGGCTGCTGGGGCACTGCACAAGGAGAGGGCTGGACTGGCAGGGGGATGCGAGCTTGAACCGGGGAGGTGAGATGTGGGTTGGGGATTCATCCCTTATATGGTGGTTAAGGGTTGCTCCTTGTGGGTGGTGAGGCAGGAGAGGTGAGGCAGGAGAGGTGAGGCAGGAGAGGTGAGGCAGGAGAGGTGAGGCAGATGCGAGCTTGCACAGGGGAGGGGAGGCGAATGGTTGGGAAGGCAGAGCGGGGGATGTGAGCCTGCACATTTAAGTCCCTGCACAGGGGAGGTAAGATGTCGGCGCCTATTAAAGGCACCCTCACATGGTCGTTAGTTAGTCCCTGGGAAGGACCTTAAGGGCCACCTGTGGGTGGTGCGGCGGCTGCTGGGGCACTGCAGGAGGAGAGGGCTGGACTGGCAGGGGGATGTGAGTCTCCACAGGGGAGGTGAGATGTGGGGTGTAAAGAGTAGACTGTCACCATTTTGAGAATTCTCAAAGGCAGCAGAGAGGTTCAGAGCGTATGAGAGGTCAGCGGAGGTGAGGTGATTGGTTTAGCGGCGTGTGGTGAGGTGCCTGTGTGTTTTGATTCACACACCCACACCCATGCACACACTGCCGTGACACAGAGACGAGTATACAAACAACTTTACTCAATCCCAACCCCCTTCTCCCATGCAGGCTCTGGCTGGACGCCCCTCATGGCAGCAGCACTGTCGAACCACACCCACGTGCTGCACTCATCTTACTCCTTCCCTTCTGCTCCTCCTATGGCAATTCCTTTCCACTCTCCCTATGCAGGCTCTGGGTGGACACCCCTCATGGCAGCAGCGCTGTCTAATCACACCCACGTGCTGCACACTCTGCTGACCCACCATGTACACACCCACCAATCTCAAGACGACACATCATCACCAGCCTTAATCAACAAGCAGAATACCTATGGCCTAACAGCACTGCACATCGCAGCAAGGTACGGGTCCTTGGATTGCATTCAATCTCTGCTGGCTGCAGGCGCGTTCACTGCCGTGCCGGACCTGTATGGCGAGCGGCCGTCGGGCCTGGCGAGGAGGTTCGGGCATTCCGAGGCTGTTCAGCTGCTGCTGGCGGTGGAAGGGGTGGAGATTGGATTGGGTGGGGAAGAAGATGGGGATAATGGGAGCAAGGGGGGCGATGAGGGAAAGGATGGCAAGGGTGGCAAGGGGAAGAGGGCAAGGAGGAAGGGGAGGAAGGCCAAGGGCATCGAGGAGAATTGATGCATGGTTCTGCCTCTTACGGTTGCTATGCTGTTTTGCCAAGCTGACAGAATGAAGGCTGGCTAGCCTAACGTGGCTTGATGAATCCTGTTTTGACAAATTTGTACAATTCGTAGTGTTCCACATACCAGGGTAAAATTTGACAAATTTGCACATTTTCTAGGGTTCGTCTCTTTACGAGTATGATATGTTTTAATACAACAAAATTACGCGCAAGCCGTGCTAAAGGCGAGATGAGCTGCATAGCTCGACTTATTCCTGTCAGCCTGTGCGACGTTTGCTGGTCGCATGCGTCGTCCAAGCGACACTGTATAACGTCCTCTCGGACGATTATTTTCCCGTTCAGCTTGTCCCAAAACGTCTTCAGGACCAGGTTCGCCCGCATGCAACGGAGATTTTTGCTTCGTTACAAGTCCGGCGGAAGCATGATGGACGTAATGCCGTGGACGATGGTGTTACGCCCTCGCTGCATGTCGCCTGATACAATCGTCGTCGGAATAAACCCCCTCCCCTTTAGCTGCACGATGAGTTTCGTGTTCTTTCGCGAAACCTTCGTGATCATCCCGCCTTCGTACGTCGGAATCTTCGATTGAGGCGGCATCGCTTTGAGCTCCATGAAATCGTACAGACCCTTTGCGATATGAAATCTGAAAATTTTCATCGCCACGGCGCGCGGGTACGATTGCATGGTCACGCGAATCATCCCCGTGTCGACTGGCATGAAAATGGTTCGCTTTTTCTTGATCAGTCGGAAGCCGCCTCCTTTCCCCTGTTTGGGAGGCTTGGGAAATGTGGGAAGCGCCTCTGCAAATAAAGAAAGAAAGAACGGGCAGCGTTTATGACGGGATTCGTGGGAGTGGGGAAGGGGGAGAGAAAGGGAGACGAAGAAACAATGAGGTATGGAACGAATAATTGAGAGCCAATACAGGAAGGAAGCGACGGAACTATGAGTTGTCAGGGATTAGGTTGATGAGGTGTTGCGATGGAGACACTAAGGAAATAGGGGAATAAAACAGAACCTCTCATTGGGTCCAAGAACGAAATAGCCACTAAAGAAAAGACGTCGAACGAGTCGTTATTTTCACACAGCCAAAGCTGGTGGAGAAAGAAGACGAGCATTCGGCCGCTGAGGATCCACCCATTCACATGCATCACCATTCGTAAGAGAGGTGAGCTTTGAGAATACAGAGATTGGGAGTGCGAACCCATGAGTCGACTCAGAAGTCACCTCGACAAGAAAGAGTTTGGAATCAGCACCCCTTCCCTGGAATGTAGGGCACTTATGCGCTGCTACAAGCCGACTCACCATGCTGTCATAAGCTGACTCACTGTCGACACGAGTTGGTTAGTGAAGTAGATGTAATTCCGAAACTATCTCACAGGCGCCTCCGTATAGTAAGTTCGCGTAGACACCTGCATGATTATGAAGCCACTCAATGTGCCCTGATAACTTACGGGACGATAAGAGTTGGTTAGCGAAGTAGCTGTAGTTCCCCATCTTCGCGACCTCTTGCAGAACCTCTATTAAATCGTCATCGTCGTCTTCACCTTCATCCTCGATACTAGCATTTTGAGGCGTCTTAGCACCGCCGAGTGCGGCGCCACCGCGGAGGGGCCCGCCGGGGCTGCCGCTACCGCTGGTGCCACTGCTGCTAACAGCGGGGAGCAGTGCCGAAGAGAGCAGAGCTACGAGGCAGAGGAGAAGCAGTGCGAGCCTGATTGGGACTCGCATGGTCACCGTTTGGATGGCACTCGTGCTTTTTTAGGACAAGTTAGAGGCGCGCTGTTACGCGAAGCGGATAGCTTTTTGGAAGCAACGAGGCGAAAAGGTCAACAACCGGCAGGCGATTAATTAACTAAGGTCTGACAGCGTACGCGTTGTTGCAATAGACTATCTTCAAGCTGTTCTAATCGTTTCGAACTCCCTTTCACGATGTCAAACCGTAAGCTACTTTCTAGGGCTTCAATATGTATTGCTGCAAAAGGGATCCGACTTGTTTAGCGCGTCCTTCCGTCGAGCGAAGCGTAAATGTCGGTCTTAAAACAAAACCGTCGGCTTTTTATGAGAAGGCCTGTCGGCAGGACAGTGATGGGCCAAGCGCTGTCTGGACGGTATGCGGGGCTTTCTGCCTTCGAACGTGCTGCGGAAGAAGTTTATCCATGTATGATGGCACTTGATGGGCCCATGAAATCTGGAAATGCTAAACCCGCACTTGCTTACTGTCAGCAGGTGGTGTGTTGTACGTGACCTACTCATTTCCAAGTTGTTGGGTGCACCGGTTGTGAGAATGGGAGGGAGAGGGGCGTGGGAGAAAAGCGCGCAAATTTGTCAATGTTGAAAGTGAATTCGAATCTGCGCAGTCGGGCCGCATGTTCCGTCCTTCCTGATGCGTAGCCGAGTCGCAATGTCGGTTGTCGCGAAACCCGTACATCAGGTTCGCCGATGGTGACTTATCTCGCCAAAGTGTTTATCCCCTGTCTACGATGCGCCACGTGCTGGCTGTCAGGCTGAAAGCACGTCCCTCATTAGATTCCACTGCATAATTCACCCTCTATAGTTGCAATATCGTTTTTCTGACGGCTATACACTTTTTGCATAAAACCATAGGGAGTAATAACACTTGATTGACACGCCTTTTGGGGAAAATCATTACAGCATTTAATTTATTTGTGAACGTACCACATCATGGTTAAGGAATAATTTCGAGTGCACATAATCCTATATCATTATGAGCTGTATAGTCAAAAGTTGCACGTTTTCTATATGGACAATGCATGAAGGTTGAAGGTACACTCCCACTAAGCCCTTACGCCTTGTTGTCCAAGTGAAGAGGGTGCTGCAGTGCAGAATACCTCATACTTCCGTATATAATTTAATCATTTACAAGTCAGCTTAGAATCAGGATTCCTACGGGTAGCACAATACCTGGATTGAAACAGCGGATAAACCAATTCCCAACTATATGTTCCGTATGAGCTAAGGGCGGGCGGCAAACGGCTTCGAAAGAGCACCAGCGCCATCCAAAGCGAACCCAACTGTACCGCGGAGAGTTCCTCTGACCGCACCGCGGATGGAGTCAGCCTCGGGCGTCAGAAGCTCCGGCGGGATGAGCAGTGTGCTCGTGCCCTGGATCGTAAAGTCCGTACCAACCCACAGGTTCGGCACCGCCAGCACGCTCGGTAGTTTCGCCGCGCCTTTGAATATAACGGTCGGCCGGCCCTTGGGGCCGCGCTTCGTGACCATGTTTCCCTCGAGAGTGTCTAGCTCCGTTCCGGCCGGCATGTCGGTGAGATTGTGGAAGAGGTAGCGCGTCGCTATTGTGTTGTAAGACAGAATTGTTGTTTGCTCGTCCTTGGTGTAGTTGCGAAGCAGTGCGATATTGGCAGGCAGCAGAATGGTCAGGTCGGTCAGCGGAATGAGAGATTTCACTGGTAGGAAGTAATTGGGGATTGGACGGCGAGAGAAAAACATAGGTAGTTTAGCATTAGGCGGTTTAGTATTAGATATAATATTCGACGGTTTTCACCATGGTAACAGAGAATAATAGGGAATTCCGATGAGGGTGGCTCGGCCGGAGTCCCGATTCGTGTACAGGAGTGAGGTTCTGAGAGGTTATGTGAGGTTGAGTGAGGCTGGCAAAACGTACAATAATCGTCGACGAATTTGTGGATTGCCTTGTATTCCGGTCGCTTCCCGATGAATTCAATGGCTCGCCCCAATTCTCCAGGTTTGAGTGCTGAGACGTGGCTGACGTGGCATACCGCGACTACGGCTAGCAGCAGCACGGCGAAGCGATGCATCGCAGCCATTGTCCAAAGAGAGGTGACAGAGAACTGAGATTTAACAAGTGCGACTTTCAAGCTTTCGTAAACAGAGGGGGAATAGCGTAAGTAACAGAACCTCTGGAAACTGAGAATAAGAGAATATTTGATGGAGCTGAGGAGAAATGGGAAGACGGATTAATGGACGACTGGTGCTGTGCGAAAATCGCGCTAGGAAGGTGCTCGAAGCTGGAGAGGCTGAATATGACGGATTGTATTCAGGTGGATGGATTGAACTGGATGAATTGAGCTCGAATGTGCAATTTCTTCGAATTTGAAGCAGCAGGATATGCCCAAGCCGTGCTTTCGCCAATCCAGGGAAACTTCGCGAAATTCACGAGTCTCGCAGCCCACCGCCACCGCCACCGCGGGAATTCCGCTGTCGCAGGGAGGGGCGAGGGTGCGTGCTGGGTGGTGGGGAAGGCAGTGGTTCGTTTCGTCGAGCGACTCGTTGTGGGATTGTCGCTTGCTGGATGGAATTCCGACGCTGCGGTGGCTGGCGCTGCAGGACATCGGTGGCGTAGGAGTGCAATTGAACGAAACACTTTACAAGCCATGAGCAAAAACTTTATTAAGAAATATGCAATTGGGTCTTTGTTAGCTAGTGAAAGGATTTTTCTCGACATTCCTTACTGCAACCGTCAACATCCCGTACAGCAGCAGCCGTTGTTCGCCTATTACTGCTAACGGGGCTTTGTGAACTTCGCGCGCACTGTTCCACCAAACCTGGCACTGCTGGAGAAGCTGAGTCGGCCTACGCTTCGGGACTAGCCCGAACCTCGCGCCAGCGTAGCACTAGCTAACTCGTGTGCACCGCGTTACCGTTTGCGTTTTCGCCTAAAAGTATTCGCTCATGCCTTCGCTCATACTTTATACTCTTTGAACACTCTAGTGCAATCCTCGCTACCTCAGTTCATTCCACCCGTAATACCTGGTTATCAAAGCCACTTTCTTTCCGGACCGCGAATCTCCGCACCCTAGGAAATCAACTTTTGATTTTTCACTTGAAGGGACGCACGCCCCTTAGCACCTAGGAGCCGCTGTCCTCGCCTTCTCTCGTAAACTCGTGCAGCCACGACTGCGCCTAGACTAAGCTGAGCCGACGCCCTTCGCTATGGCTAAACATGTCGACGTCACCACACTCACAAAGGACCACCTAAACAAGCTGCTGCGAACGGCAGGAAAGCGCTGAAGAAATTGCAGAGCTGACGGCGGAACGCATATCCCCTGCAAAATGACGTCGCACGAGCACAACAATCACATTTACAAGCACCTGGCACTCCGTGACAAACTCCACCACATGCATCGCAGCACGGAAGTGTGGGGCAACCCGCGAGCGCTGCTAGTGATGGAGCCGTCCGCCACAACGGAGACGACGACCATGGCAGGACCCACCCCGAAGCGACAAATGCGGCCAGGAGCCAGGCTCGCGTCACGATTTCGGCACCGACCAACAATTCAGCACTGCCGTCACCGATGCCGCTGAAGCCGGAGCGTCCGCCATGCTTTGACCCGAGTCAACATGGTGGTCCTACCGTTCAGGCGTGGTTGTTCACGTTGAACGTGTTTTTCGACGCCAACTACGTCTCGGAGGATGCGGCGAAGATTCGCTACGCTGTGTCCTGCTACGAGGACCCGCCATGGACTGGTGGCGCGTCATCGTCACGAAGCCGATGAACTACGCGACTCTACCGATACGGGAAGGACAAACCAGACCCTAGACGTCGTCGTATTTCGTGGAGGTGCCCTAATATTGCATGTGGGACGCGTGGTGGGCAAGTCTGCGCGCCTGATTTGAGCCGATTGCGGCTTCTATCGCGCTGCGTCAGAAGCTCCGCACTTGGTGCCAACTCGATTCCGTCGAAGACTACACCAGCGGGTTTCTGGCGTTGTGCGAGCATGTGGGCTACATGCATGGATCTGAGCATATTGACCGCTACATCGGCGGTCTGAAGCATGAAATCGCTCAGGAAATCCACCTCCGTGGCATCACTGATTTTCAGGAGATTCTCGCCATGGTAGAGAAGCTCGATTTCTTCTGCCGACCGAGACCGGGATCCTAAAGAAGCAACAGCAACTAGGGATATCGATCTCATCGGACGAACGAGGGCGCTACGATACGTGTCGTTGCCGCGAATGCCACTGCCGCAACGTTCAAATGGCATTGCTTCGCGTGCCATCGGCCGGGACACCGCAAGAGCGAATGCCCGGAAAATATCGTAGTGGGCCCTAGGTAGCGTTCCCACTAGGGAACCTGCTCGATACCATGATAAGAAACGAGGAATGTTTGCATTGAGCAGAATGAGGAGTACAAGTAGTAAACCGGAAATTGTTGTACCCCATATGAACTACCCCACTACAGCCTACACAGACTATATTATCTATGCTTGACACACCCCCATAGGCAAAGTGGGGGAGAACAAGGGGTCACAAGACCAGTCAAGCAAAGCAAAGCAAGCTCAAGGTGGATCACAACGTCACCACATAGTCCGAGCACAAGAGCAAGGCCACAAGGCCAGTTCACATGCAAGATCAAATATAGAAAGGTAAACAAGCAAATGCAGGTATAGAAAGATCACAGTACAAGCAAGGTCAAGAAGTGAGCAAGTGAGGCCAATTAGGCACAAGACCTAGCATAGTACAAGAGCGCTGATGAGCACAAGGCGGAAGTGCCTTGTTAAGGATATCAGCAGTGTTGGCCTCAGAGGCCACGTAGGTAAGGCGTAGCTGACCACGGTGCTGCAGCTCACGAGCCAGGAAGTAGCGAAGAGCAATGTGCTTCGTTCTGTGCTCCAGTCTGTGCTCCCGACACAAGGCCAGCATGTCCTTCTTGTCTACGTACGAACTGGAGGAGAACGAGGCGGCTCTCCTAGGTCAGTCAGCAGGTAGGTGAGCTAGCGTAGCTCCTGTGCAGCCATGGCTGTGGCGTAGATCTCAGCCTCACAGCTGGAGGTGAGAACAGAAGACGAGCGGGTAGACCGCCACAAAACAGAGCCGGAGCCAAGGCTGAAGGTGTAACCCTGTGACGACCGCTGTGTAGGTTGGTTGTCAGCCCAAGAAGCGTCTGCGTGACCTGTGAGGACCACTCGACGTCGCCCTCCAAGCACTAGCCCCATGCCCGACGTACTGCATAAGTAGCGCAACACCCTCTTCGCTGCAGCCATGTGCTCTGGACGGTGTCTCCCAGGAGCAACATAGCGTGCCAAGATGCTAAGAGGGTATTTAAGGTCTGGTCGTGTGCAGGTCATCAGGTACATGAGGCAGCCAACAAGCTCTGGGTACGGGCCACTCGGCTCTACGGACTCATCCGAAGGAAGAGCTGAGAGCAAGTGGGGAGTAGACAGAGGAGTGGCCTGAGGCGAGGAGTACGTAAAGTCGAAGCGCTAAAGGACCTGCTGCACCATGTGTGACTGCGTTAGGGTAATGGTGCGCTGTGCTCTGTCCCGAGTGATCTGCAAACCAAGGTAGCTGCGCAGTTCACCCAAGTATGTGCACGTGTGTCTCTTCTGCAGCTCGGACTTCACGTGGGCGAGTCCAGCAGTGTCAGCAGTGGCAAAGACCAAGTCGTCGACGTACACGAGGATGTAGAACGGCGGCAAAGAGGTGTCGGTGCGCAGAAACAGCGACGGGTCGGCAGTAGAAGGAGCCAGCCCAAGAGCCACAAGTGTAGTCCTCAGCGTATCGTGCCACTCACGTGGCGCTTGGTAGAGACCATAGACTAGCCCTCGAAGGCTCCACTGGGTACTAGGAGGAAACGACCCAGTGAAGCTAGGGGGCGGTTATAAGAAACGAGGAATGGATGCATTGAGCAGAATGAGGAGTATAAGTGGTAAACCCTAAAGTGTTGTACCCCATATGAACTGCCCCACTACAACCTACACAGGCTATAGCATATATGCCTGACACAACCCTATAGGCAAAGTGGGGGAGAACAAGGGGTCACAAGACCAGTCCAGCAAAGCAAAGCAAGCTCAGGGTGGATCACAACGTCACCACACAGTCCGAGCACAAGAGCAAGGCCACAAGGCCAGTTCACATGCAAGATCATTTATATAAATGTAAACAAGCAAGTGCAAGTATAGAAAGAGTACAGTACAAACAAGGTCAAGAAGTGAGCAACTGAGGCCAAGTAGGCACAAGACCTAGCATAGTACAGAAGCGCTGATGAGCACAAGGCGGAAGGGCCTTGGTAAAGATATCAGCAGTGTTGGCCTGAGAGGCCACGTAGGTGAGGCGGAGCTGACCACGCTGCTTCAGCTCACGAGCCAGGAAGTAGCAAAGAGCAATGTGCTTCGTTCTGTGCTCCAGTCTGTGCTCCCGACACAAGGCCAGTATGGCCTTGTTGTCTACGTACAAAACTCGAGGAGAAAGAGGCGGCTCTCCTAGGTCAGTCAGCAGGTAGTTGAGCCAGTGTAGATCTGTGCAGCCATGGCCCCTGCGTAGATCTCAGCCTCACAGGTGGAGGTGAGAACAGAAGACGAGGGGGTAGACCGCCACAAAACAGAGCCGGAGCCAAGGCTGAAGGTGTAACCCTGTGCCGACCGCTGTGTCGGCTGGTCATCAGCCCAAAAAGCATCTGCGTGACCTGTGAGGACCACTCGACGTCGCCCTCTAAGCACTAGCCCCATGCCCGACGTACTGCACACGTAGCGCAACACCCTCTTTGCTGCAGCCATGTGCTCTGGTCGGTGTCTCCGAGGAGCAACATAGCGTGCAAAGATGCTAAGAGGGTATGCAAGGTCAGGTCGTGTGCAGGTCATCAGGTACATGAGGCAGCCAACAAGCTCTGGGTACGGGCCACTCGGCTCTACGGACTCATCCGAAGGCAGAGCTGAGAGGGAGTGGCGAGTAGACAGAGGAGTGGCCTAAGGCGAGGAGTACGTGAAGTTGAAGCGCTAAAGGACCTGCTGCACCATGTGTGACTGCGTAAGGGTAATGGTGCGCTGTGCTCTGTCCCGAGTGATCTGCAAGCCAAGATAGCTGCGCAT